GATGGATAGGTTGATGGATGGATAGGTTGATGGATGGATAGGTTGATGGATGGATAGGTTGATGGATGGATAGGTTGATGGATGGATAGGTTGATATATAATGAAAATTCACGTCTAATTTAGACAATAACATAGGCTTAGCGTCAGGAAACAGTAATAAATACCTGTACCGGCGTAGAGTCTGCATTCTTCACGTTCAGGAGCAATGTACTCCGTAGAATCCATCCACCGGTGGTCGCGTCGAGGGTCGAGGGAAGCTGGCGATGTGACGAAGTCAAGTGGTGTTCTAGGCTAAAAGCCTAAAGCCTTCTCCCAGTGCTCGTGCAAGACTGGTCACAGGATGAAGGCCGGAGGAGGAGGAGGAGTAGTAATAGTAGTACTAGGTGGTGGTGGTGGTGTAGCGAGAAGGAGTGTAGTATAGATACAGTAGTATATGCGTAGTCTGTATGGGGATAGTGGCTCTTGGCGTATATTTGTAGCTGGGATGCCTAATTCATCCTCCTCTCCTCCCCCTCATCCTCCTCGTCTTCATCACCGGCACCGTCAAGGGGAAGAGGCCATTCTGAGGAAGGACACCTCAACAGCTCTACAGTGCTTCGTACATCTGCTAGCAGTAAGCAGCCACCCACTCGAGCGGACTTCTTCCCCGGCCTCCCACCTCCCGCCTCCGGACGCCACGACCCCCGTCAACCGCCCCAGCTTGGTCGGAACAGTTGGAAAACGGCCATGCGGGGCCCCCACGTCCCTTACTCAACTGTACAAGACGAAGCCTGCCTAAAGGCGGCCACGGACAAACCCCGTCATGTATCTGGCCTGACACAGACCACAGACATACTATGTCTGGTAGCGACCATACTGGCGCCGCCAGGCATCTAGAAAAGATTGGGGTTACGGTGTGCATACATCCAATGTCTTAGAGGCTTTACTCACGATCGCCGCTAAGTCGGTCCTGAGGCAGACGCTGGCAATCAAAGAGGAGTTCCGTTGTCCACAGTCAGTCATCTCATCCCATCTCACCTCCCCCTTCTCTTCCAGTAGTACCGTGGCAGTGGCAGCACTCCCTCTCTCTCCCCCCTTCTCCCGGACAGATGGCATCGAACAATGGCGCTCAGGCTCCCACTCCAACACAAACACAAGTCCTTGTCGTTGGAGCCGGGCCCGTCGGCGCTTTCACGGCACTGCTGCTAGCCCACAGTGGGATCCAAGTGACTCTAGTCGAGGCCAATTCCGACGTCGACAGCTCGCCTCGTGCCATGGCCTTCCAGCCCTGTGCGCTGGCCGAGCTGGTCGAAGCCGGCATCTACGACGAGGTGCTGGAGCATAGTGTCCGGGACGCCGTCATCTCGTGGTGGCGGGCCGGCCTGGGCGCGGAGAAGAAGCACGTCGCTACCATCGCCACCAAAGAAGGTCGAGAGCCGTTTCTGACAGGCCTGAACTGCGCCCAGTCGGTAGTGACCAAAATATTACTCTCGCACCTGGCCAAAGAACCCTCTGCGAGCATCCACTTTGGCCATCGCGTGGTCGGCGTGGTCGAAAAGGAGGGAGAGGAAGATGGCGATGGCGACACCAACAGGCAAGTGGTCGTGACGCTCGAACACACACTCCCACAACCCAAGACAAACCATTTGGACGAAGTAGAAGTAGAAGCACAAGCAGCAGAAAAGAACCAGACGCTCCAAACGCAGATCCGAGCCAGCTGGCTCGTCGGCGCTGACGGCGGACGCAGCACCGTGCGCACAGCGGCAGGGATCGCATTTGAGGGCTTCACGTGGCCGAAGGAAGAATTCGTCGCGACAAACGTCTACTACCCGTTCGAGCAATATCAGTACACGAACCGCAACTTCATCATCGATCCCGTCCACTGGGCGATCGTGGCCAAGATCAACAACGACGGCCTCTGGCGCGTTGCGTACGGCACGACCCCGAACCTCACCGACGCACAGATCCACGCCGAGCTGCCCCAGCACTACAAGTACATCCTCCCCGGGCCGGGGACGGACTACCGCCTCGAGCGCGTCTCCAAGTACCGGCCACATCAACGCTGCGCCGCGACGTTCCGCAAGCCGAACAGCCGCATCTTGCTCGTCGCCGACGCGGCGCACCTGAACAACCCGATCGGCGGCCTCGGCTTGACCACGGGCATCCTGGACGCCGGACCCATGGCGCGCGCATTGAGCGCCGTCATCCAGCGCCGCGGCCCGGAGTCGCTGCTCGACACGTGGAGCGACCTCCGCCGCCGCACGTGGTGGGAACAGACGAACCGCCAGTCGATCGAGTTCGAGCGCATCGCCCAGCAGGGCGGCTACGGCCTGGACCCCAGTCACATCTGGGACCACGACGAAGTTGCCCGCGAGCGAGGCATGTTGCACCACATCGCCCATGCGACGCCCGACATGCGAGAAAAAGACGAGGCCTTGAACGAGGCCCTAAAAGTCCCTGAGAACCAGAGAGCCGCGAGGAGGAGGGTCTGGGCCCTGGCCATGCCTCCGGACTGGATGGCCGACTTTGAAGACAGCGCGGTCGTGGACCGCCGGCGGAAGCTGCGTCCCGAGTCGTGTCAATAAGACATACCTATAGAATCTAGTAGAACGGCTTTCAGGGTTAAGGTTCGGATATGCCGGCCGACGGCTACGACTACAGCTTCTATACATCTTCTCGACCACCACCTGAGGTTTCTGGAAGATGATAGTTCTAGCCATAGGCAGGAACGAGTGATACGCTGTAGTTCACGTCTTCAGATATCTAGTCAAAAGTCTACAGTAGTGCTAATGGCATAATTGAGAACTTGACCAAAGTGATCGAAGGTTGTTTGTTCTCCTATCAAAGAAGCCAAGGCTGCAGAGAGCCATAAATCAACCACAGAAGCCTAGTAGGAGAACAGCGCAAGGCTATATATCCGTACTGAGTACTGTACCTACCTAGGATCGTCTGCCCCATGACCTCCCGTTTCACATGGCCTCCACCTCCAACCGGCTCGGGGAATGGGATTGGGATTGAGAATGAGATTGGTGTTGTTGGACTCGCATTTCCATCTTGTGCAACTGCTCGGATCTGGTACGAGCAACTGGAACCATTGAGTCAGCCAGCAAAAGCGAAAGAACGGAGCTGCGGCTGCGGTTACGCCCACTTACAACCCCAAACCCAACCATTTTCCATCATGGAGCGCAGTGCGCCGAGCGGCACGGCGGCGAAGCCTCCCCCTTTGTAGGTCGGGTCGTCCATCTCGTCCATGATCTCGCGCGCCACCGACCGTAAGAAGCGTGTGTCCGGGTCGGATCGTTGCTGTTTGCCCGCGGCGGACATACAGAATGCAAGGAGAATGGCTTGGAACGGTTCAGTTAGACAGGGGGTCTGGCAAGCAGAGCAGAGCAGAGCAGAAACGCGTCTAGGGGAAGGCCAATCGAAATAGAAACGCCAACCGAAACAGAAACGCCAATCGAAATAGAAATAGAAATAGACTTGGCTTACCTCCTTCAAACCCGGCAACCACATAGTGAAACCCCATTTCCAGCGGTCCCACACGCGCAACGTGCTTGAACCCGACTTTGGCCCGGAGCAACAGATGTGCGGCAGCAAACTTGGCCACGCGGCAAAGAGTGCTCCATTGCGTCTCTGTCCGCGGCATCAACAGGTCCTCAAGAGCCTCGCGAGCGTCGGAGGCGACCCCGTCCGCCGGGACCGATGGATCGGTAGGTCGTTGAGCGCTCTCGCTTGGTACCAGCTGAGCTCGCATGAAAGGAAGCCGGTTCCCCAGTGTATCGCACAGACTTGCCTTGAGAAGCTTGAGCCGTCGAGGAGCACAGGTGTGGTAATAGGCAATCATCAGCAGTGGAACGCAGTCGGTCATGAGCGGATCTTCGTTGGAGTAGAGCGGATTCGTCACGCTTTTGGGGTGGCTTTTCCACGTCCTCTCGCACGCCTGAAGCGCCTTTTCCGTACTTGCAACCCATGGTGCTTGGTCGATGTCTGCAGCGAGGCCAGGTACAATGACGCTGGTGGTCCGCTCCAGCGTCACAATGTGGATTACAAGCCCGGCTATCAGCAGGAGCATCCCAAACGGACTCACAGGAGCGGTCACCTGGGTCCCCTGGAGAAGCAGACAGAAGGCCGAGTAGAATTCCATCTGGGCAGGTGACACCTTGCGGGATCTCTGGAGATGGGCGTTCCATGACTCTTCCGACTTCGCCACCCACACGTCCTGAGCGCTGGGGAGAGCCAGGTCGAACTCTTCTAAATTCAGGAGCGCTATTGGAGTTGCCTGGCCATCGGCAAGGAATGTCGCACAGAGCACTAAGATCCACGAGCCTGCCCTGGACATGTTCAGTAGCATACAAGGATATCGTGAGGTGGGATCTACCTTCGGAACGATTCGTCCCGAATCCACACGTGCCAGGAATGATCTGTTGCGTCCTTGGGCATTCCCGATTGGAATATCTGAAAGCTTCATCAGCCAGTCCGGCCTAACAAACGATAGCCTGGGGAGAATGGATCATATACCATCTCTGCCGTCAAAAGGTGGCCGAGACCAGCTCGAAGAAGGATCTCTGTCCCACGGCAAATGGCAAAGTGAGCCAACAGTACGTGTGTCTGCAGTCTCCATACAAGATCGTCCGGGTCACAATCGTCGGGAGCGATAGAGCTGCTCTTATTTTCGTGCTAGCCAAGTAGTCAGTACAGCATACAGCACGAGGGGGGTCTCAAGTATGTACCGCCTTGAGCAGCTGGCTGCTAGCGTTGTACAGAGTCATGGCAGCTTCTTGCTCGCCCGCATACAAGGCGCCGATAGAAAGGATGATAAGTGTCAAGGGCGCTAATGGGTCAGGTCAATATTTGGCCCACCAGGGGGAGTAAGAGAGTGACTGACGAGAAGCACTTGCAGGCCGAAAGGTTGCAAAGTGAATAAGAGGAGTGTGTGGGTCGAAATACCGAACGTAGGCCGTAAGATAGCGGCAGGCTCGGTGTCTCGATGGCGGTACAAAATCATTCGTGTCTCCGTTCGAGGCGGCAAAGGAGTGAACATCGGCCATGAATTTGTTGATATCCAGCTCCATGCTTATCGGCGGAGACAGCATACTCTCTATTCCGCCTTCCGACGAAAAGGTAGAAGTCTCATCTCCTCCATCCGACCTTGCCTTTGCCCTTGTGGCGGCGGCCGGCGATGTGGGCACAGTCCGAGGCGGTAGGAGGGATTGGTGCGCTTCTGGAAATAGGAAGGGCGAGCTAAGAGCCATGTCCAGGTCGAGCTCAGACAGCTGTAAGTACTCGCCGGCAATATCGGGGAGCCATAAATCCTGTCTGTCGCTTAGGAAAGGGTCAACTAAGTGTGAAGCGTCGTTAGTGGAGATATATCCTGGTCTGTCAACAGTTGCTGGCTCCATAGAAGGGTTCATAGGATCAGGATTCCCGTCAATGTGATTCTCGGCTGGACTTCTGCTCGCACCAGGAGGCTGCTGATTGCTTCCACGCCTCGAGGCTTCATCAAAGTCGGCCGAAGCGATCCACGAGTTTGTGTGGTCGATGTTGTGAGAATCTCGCGGCTCTAGTGATCCGTCGGCGGAGAGCTGACCTATTTCAATCGTGCAGCCCTCATTTGAGTTCGACAACTGGACTAAGTCTTCGCTAGGATTCGACGAAGCCGAGATGTCTGTGATGGCCGAATCCACCGGCTGCTGATTCTCAGGTGGTGATGGCGAAAGGCTGCCGGCGACCGGTGGCCGAGCTGGGTGAAACTTGCGGACATGGCGCAGCAACGTATCTTTCCGGGTGAATTTGCTCGAACAGTGCAGGCAACCGTGTAGGCGTTCGTTTCGGTCTGAAAGCCACCGGGGTCAAACAGCTGTTGCTCTGAATCTGGGCTGTCGCCCAGGAAGAAAGCACTGCACGGTGGGACTTACGTGACTGTTCGTGGCGTTGCAGGTGTTCACCACGAGAAAAAACCTGTCCACATATACTGCAGGTCCGTCTGGCCCCTGGCCGTCCGCGGGGTTTGGGTCCTAAACGTAGAACGCTGCGGCCAGACTTCTCGGATAGTTGTGCTAAGGACATGACTGGCTCGCCGGCTTGATATTGTACAAACTGGTCATGAAGTTTGGCGCCGGATACAGCCATTGTGGTGACTGTGAATGCATATGGTTCTCGTCAATATTGTCATGGACACAGTGTCGGGGCTGGAGGTGAAGGTGTGTCGTTGAAGAAGGATGCGATGAGGATCGAAGAGGTCTTTGGACGAAGAGCGCAGCTGAACAAAATGCGGGAGGGGAAATGTGGAGAAGATCTGGGGTAGAGTTCAATGCAGGACGCCTAAGGAGTTAGGGCCTAAGGCTTAGGTAGGGGCTTAGGGCCTCGGGCTTGATGCCTCAGAGCTCTTAGGCTCCTTAGGCTTACTACAAGCCCGGGATCTCCTACACTGGCCATACTACAGGCACCTAAAGGCTAATTAACAGTAGTAGTGCCCCGGAGAATCCTTCCTAGGCAGCTTGGGCGCAGCCCGGTGCGTCCCGTGCCCCTAAGCCCACGTGATCCGCCTAGCCTCCTCTTTGTTCCTCGTCCAACTCCTCAATCCCTGCGGTGACCTCGTCTCGATCACACATATACTGTCTACCTCCGACGATCGAATCGGTGGGACGAACGCAATCGGTATAGGTTTGTATGGCTGCCACTACAACGTCCAATGGTACGACATCCAAGTGTGTCTGGGCGCATCTACACCAAGAATGAATGGCCAGTTCCCTCTCTCGACCTGTCACCCAACCTTCTCGTCACTCACCATCGACATCGAAGCGGAATGCCCCTGCAGATGTACCTCCATCATTCGGCAGACCCCATAAGAAGTCGACCTTGAGGATATGCAGGTTGTTCTTGCCGATCTCCGCGGCAGCTTCGGGGCTGAGGAACGCTTCCAGGTCATGCTCGCAGTCAATATATCTGCCCCTCAAGGAATCTTTGACTCTCCCCGTGGCGAGAAATACACAGACGGCCGCACATAGGTCGACTGACGTTCGGAAGTTCTTGAGCCATTTGGGTCGATCGGTTGCCAGATGCGGATACTCCTCCGCCACCACCGGATCCATGGTTCCTGGTCGCAGGTTGTCAGTGATAATGATAGCAAGGGAGAAGGACTGGCGAACGTTTGGACATGCCGGTCAAAACGGCACCTGGGTGACAGCAATATAGCTGGATTTTGTCTCCTAGGCCGTCCGCGTCGAGATCTTTCTGGATGCTCTCGGTTGCTTTGATTACACTGGCCTTGGAAATGGAGTAGCCAGCCAGGTAAGGCACGGTCACAGTCCCGGCTCGCGAGGCAACATTGATGATGCAGCCACGGCCACGAGCTCTCATTCCGGGAAGCACGTTGAGCGTCGTAAGAAGCACCTGTGCGGGCATGGTCAGCCTGAATAAGCTTGGAGGATCTAGGACTGCCTATTACTCCTCCGAGGTTGATCTCCACCTCGCGCCAGATGGAAGCGAATGAATCGAGGAGAATGGGTTTGGAAGTGCAGACACCGGCAGCATTGACAAGGATATCAATATCTCCGAGTGACGCCTTCACAGCCTTGACCAATCCTTGCACGTCCGATTCGTTGCTGATGTTACACGCAAACGGAGCCACCTTCGCTCCCAGCGCCCGGCATAAGCCAACTGTCGACTCTAGCTTCTCAAGCGAGATATCTGTCACCGCAAGAGCGGCACCAGCCAGGGCGAAATGTTTTGCGATCTGCTGTGCAATGTCTCCTCCAGCTCCAGTGACGAGCACAAGCTTTCCCGCGTGTGCATTTTCGAAATTCCCTGGTGCTAAAAACGGGTAAATGTCTGAGTGGACTTTGGGTGGACCGACTGGCATGATCGGCAGAGTCAGAGTCGGCGGCTACCGTCACAAATGCGCCTGGACGAATTGGTCTTTCGGCTCGAACAGTCAGTCCTCGTCAAGACAACTTCTTTATGTTAAGAACGTTCAATCCTAACAAGTGTTTGCATGTAGCCTCGACTGGCTTTACCATGCTCCAATCCTGAGGGCTTAGGCGGCAACTCCGCATGAATGAAAGCTACATACAGTACCACACCAACCCCCACCTCCCACCTCCCCAGCTTGCCCCCCCCCCACATCAACCTCGACCAGGTATGAGATACTCATCATGTGTGATGCGCGACGTCCGGTTGGGTGATGGGCGACACAGAGAAGATGGTAGGCACTATAAGCAGGGCTCTCGGCTAGGAACACGCCCATTCAACCATTCTCCATGGCTGATGTGAAGGACAATACTCACGAGCTTGCGACATTTCTGTCACATCTCACCTACGACCAGCTGCCCCAAGAGGTTGTCGACGTTGCAAAGGCGTCAATTCTGAATATCATCGGTTGCGCCATAGGCTCCTCGGACATCTCGCCACGCCGCAAAGCCATCGCAGCCTTACTACCCGGCAAACTTCTCGAGGATCCCTCGGCAGCAGGGGCAGCCACTATCTGGGGCCGGCCGGAGCGGACTGACGTAGAGACTGCGACCATCCTCAACGGAATAGCAGCCACCGCCAGAGACTATGATGACACTCTCCTTCGCACTGTCATTCACCCGTCTTGTACCGCCATCACGGCTGTGCTCCCGTGGGCCGAGGTCCACCACCTGTCGGGGAAGGAGTTGATCCTGGGATTCGTCGCGGCGTTCGAGACACAAGCTGCAGTTGCAAATGCGATCTCCCCCTCCCACTACGACAACGGTTGGTCAGTGTCCCAGACATGTAGCCGAGGACTTGCGGATTTCGAAAGGTCACTGACGAGACTCAGGCACATTACCGGCTCAACCGGGGCTTTCAGTGCCGCGGGCGGGATTGCGAAGCTACTAAAACTCAATCCAGATCAGTTTGCCGCAGCCCTGGGCCATGCATCGAGTATGGCTTCAGGGACCCGCGCCATGTTCGGCAGCGATACCAAAACACTTCACGTGGGCCATCATGGGCGCAACGGTATAGTGGCGGGAAAGCTTGCGCGGCACAACTTCTTTAGCTGCCCTGCACCTATCGAGGCGTGGGCACGACTCGTGTCCACCACGGTCGACATGGGCCTGATCAGTGACCTGGCATGCGGCGGTCCGTGGCAGATCTTGAGCAACGCCTTCAAGCCATACCCGTGCGGCATTGTCATTCACCCACTCATCGACGCCTGCCTCGAGGTTTCCCGCTCGTTCTCCGTTGACGGCGAAGTGAAGCCCACGGGAGGGCCCCGAGACCTGAATGACCTGGCTGAGATTCAAGTCACGGCGAATCCACAGCTGTTGAGGTTGTGTAACGTGCGCCATCCTCGCACTGGGTTGGAAACCATCTTCTCCTTGTATCATGGTTGCGCCGTCGCTCTGGTTTATGGACGTGCCACCCCGGCCGAGTTTTCCGACGACGTGGCTGCCAACGATGCTCTGGTGCACAGCATCCGAGACCGTGTTTCGGTCCAGACAGATGCCAAGTTGCGTGACGATGAAGCTTACGTGACTTTCACGTCGCGCAGCAAGGCACATGGTGCACAAGCGGCGAGGACCGTCTACATCGAGCATGCCACTGGCTCGGTGAGAAATCCCATGACTAAGGCTCAGTTGGAGGAGAAATTTGTTTCGCAGACGGAGCCGCATCTAGGAAAGGAGAAGACGAGAAGGGTAATAGAGGCTTGCTGGACGCTGGAGTCGATAGAGGATGTCGGGGAGTTGGCCAAGCTACTTGCCACGACGCCGTCACCATGAGCTGAGCATGATAGAATCGTTATTGTTCTTATTCTTGGTATTGCCCTTGGTATTGCCCTTGGAATTGCCCTCTTCCTCTTGCAGTCCGACTACCACAGACTGCTCTGCTTGCAACCTGCAACACTTGACACTTAGGTGCAGTATTTAGTAGTATATAGTAGTATTTGGTATTCAGTAGTACGTATATCTCTAAAAACCAAGGGTTGAAGCTCACTCTCTCTCTACTAGCAAGGTCTTTCTTTCGATATCTCTGAGAATATATGACGAACATTTGACGTCGAGCTAGATACTGACAATGAACATATACTGTAGTGTACTCATTGGCAAGGATAGCTATGTAAGTAAATACCTAGAGATCAGGTATATGGATGCATGGGGTAGGGGAGTATGTTGATACTAGATTAAGGGCTTTGCTATTCCTCCACCCATACTGACTATGTATCACCCAGACTGTTACCCACAGTCACACCATTACCAGCACCGGCACCGGCACTATCGACCCATTGAACCAGACCGTCAGTCAGCCAGATCGTTACCTACACTCACACCGTCGCCGTCACCCACACCGTCACCCACACTCATATCTGTACCGGCACCGGAACTGCCACTATCGGCCGATGGAACCAGTCGGTCAGCTAGCCAGCCAGCCAGCCAGCCAGCCAGCCAGTCAGTCCTTATGCGTCGACTCCGGTCTATAATCGACTTGAGACAGCTCCAACCCCTTTTCCTGGGCTTCTTCCCAGTCTCGACGCAGCACCTCGGCATGGTGAGGGGAGCGCGGGCGAATATCTGATGAAGACGGGTCAGTAAGAAGAAACAAGACACCGACACCGACACAGACATAGGAAGCTCAGATGACAGGGATTAGATTATTTCCAATTCTTCCTACTCACCACATACGAATGGTTTGGCAATAGCCATACCACCCGGCAAATAGCCCGTCTGGAAGCTAGCGTCGACGGGGATCTCGATGCCGTTCTCGTCCCGGGCCAGACGCAGGTCGAAGCCCCACATCAGCCGGGCGATGTTGATGAACAGGCTGCGCTCGGCGACGTGCATGCCGGGACAGATGCGGCGGCCGCCACCGTAGGCATAGTGGTCGCGCATGGACGGGTCGGCGGCGGCGGCGGCTTCGGCGGCAGATAGGGGGTGGTTGAAGAAACGCATTGGTTCGTACTGGGAGGGGGGGTTGGTTAGTACTGGGATCGAGTGGAAAAGGAACAGAATAGAACAGAACACATGCCAAAGGTGGTAGAGAATACAATATAGCAGAATAGAACAGAACACAGGCCAAAAGTGGTAGAGAATACAACATAACAGAACAGAACACAACACAGTCCAACAGTGGTAGAAAATACAATATAGCAGAACAGAACAGAACACAATAGTACACATCATGTAGAATGACTTGATGCATACACCATGGGCATGTGGCTCTTTTTCTCACCTTTTCTGGCTCGGGAAACCTCTTCGGATCGTAATGGATGCCCCAGGTATTGATCATGACAATACTGCCCTTGGGGATGAAAAAGCCCTTATACCACCCGTCTTGCATGGCGTAGTGGTTGGTGCCGAACTTGTTGATGGCTCTCCAGCGCAGGAGCTCCTTGACCATGGCGCGGAGGTAGGGCAAGCGCGGCTCGTCGTCGAAGGTCGGGGTCCGATCTGGGCCGACGACGGCGTCCATCTCGGCGTGGGCGCGGTCCAGCACGTGGCGGCCGCGCGACAGCACGCCGACAATCAGATTGTTGAGTTGTATGCTGGTCGTCTCGGCGCCGGCCTCGATCATGGTGCCTAGCACGTAGGCGGCTTGGAGCTCGTCCAGGCCCTTGCCGCGCCAGTCGCCCGTCATGAAGGCTTTGCCGAAGCTGTGCGGCGCCTGCGCGCTCTCCAGCTCCGCCTGCATGCGTCGCCAGAAGAACATCCACACCGCCGAGTCTTGCTGGTGGATCGACGCCCCGACCCGTCGCCAGTCGCTGACCAGGTCGAATGCCCGGAAATTGGCCAGTGCCGGGAAGCTGTCGACCAGCCAGCTGCCCGGCCGGCGGATCGATCCGAATCGCTGGAGGACTTGGAAGATCTTGGTCACGTCGGGGTGTTCCCCTATACGCATGGTCGATTGTGTCAGTGGTGAATGTCAGTGTCAGTGTCGGTGTGAATTCAATTGATCTTCTGGGAGATAGAAGCAGGCGAGGAGCAAGCCAGCACTTGTTCTCTTTGGTAATGAATGCTTCACACCCGTAGCGAGGATTCAGAACACGTACATTCAGGGAGTCGTCGCCCGTAGGTGATTTGCATGATCAGGCTGGACGTGTAGCGTCGGTTGTGCATGTATGTGTCTAGATGGAGGGTGTCAGTGTCAGTGGTAGTGTCGGTGGGAAAGATGACCAAAAGTCTGTCTAGAATCCCGAGGAGAGTGCCTCGATGAGAAACAGAAGACCTACCTCGAGGATTGTCCAGAATGTCGACCGACAACTGCTTCGCTTCATACAACTGGGCGGGAGCGTACGACCGGGACATAGTGGGCGTCAGGAGACGATGGAGGATAGAGCGAATGGTGCGCCAGCGCGGGCCGTGCGGCATGTTGACGACGCGGCGGCCTCCACTGGCACAATCCGAGGCCATAGGCATCGGCGGCCTGCTGGAGTAGATGGCGCTCTTGCGGTCGATGAGCTCCTTGACCGCCTCGGGCGAGTTGAGCCAGATGAAGTCGGTGGTGCCGGCGCGCGTGCGGAACACCTCGCCGTACTGGCGCGCCCACCGGATCGCGTTGGTCACCGTGTCGTCTTGCATGTGGTAGAGAGAATGGTTGAGGATGGGCCACGCCGCCGGCGCCGGTGGCATGTGTTTGCGCCGCGGATCTGATACTCCCAGCAACAGCAACGACAACAGCACCACCAGCACCAGCACCACCATCAGCACCACGTAGACCGGCCGGGCATGTTGAACCTGTACTCCTAGGTTTTGCACCGTCCTCGACAGAAACCGGGAAACGTCTTGCACGCCGAGAGCGATGGCGATGGCGATGGAGCTGGTGGTTGAGTGCGTCATGGTGGTGTGGGCTTGAGATTGAGATTGAGATTGAGGCGATCTGTCTCTATCTGTCGATTGATAGTGCCACTGTCAATAGGAGAAGAGCGAGCGGACGGGAGCAGAATTAGTCCCGTACCGCTGCTATCATATGTATTATGTATGTCCTTGGTATGTATGTTCTTGTTCTTGGTAGTAAGTGTATCCCGGACGTAGTGAGGATGTGTGTGCTTAGTATGTATGGATGTATGTAATGGACTGTCGAGCGAGAGCGAGGGTCAGGGCCGGGTTCAGGATTCCTGTCTCGTGAGACGCCTCCGTTTGAGATGGAGATGAAGATGGAGATGGAGATGGTCACGCCTATGCGTATATACAGTATCAACAAACAAACACCGTCCTCTTCCTCGCACACTCACGCTTTTTAGCATCGCACATGTCTGCTTGAGGCCGCGTGGACGTCCGCCATGTCTGGGAATTGGAACGGCCACCTCACCTCCTAGTCCGGCGAAGTCCAACAATACCGTACTCGAGGCTAGGACCGTAAGATTCGGATCGGGCTTGCAAGACACAGCTCAGGAAATGGCCCCGCCCCCGCTCCCGCTCCCGCCCTGTATCTCAGACGGGGTCAACACTCTGATGTGGCCCAGAAGCTAACGGGGGGATTGGGTTGGGGTTTGGCCTTGTCGGAGTGGGACCATGATATAAGGCTGTACGCTGTACTCTGTACTGTGTACTCCGTACTCTGTACAGTAGAAAACACGACAAGCAGGTACGTACAGCACGTAGTATGTACAGTATGTATAGTGGGCGGGGGTGCAGGTGCCAAAAGGGGAAAGGGGGGCAACGGGAGGGGACCCGGGACCAGGGACCCGGGGTGGAGTGGACTTTGCATAACGCGGGGGTGGGATACGGAATACGGGGTAAGGGTGATCCACCAGCTTACTCTACATACGTACTACATACTGCATACTACATACGCATACTGCATACAGTACTGACAGACTTACCATCCGGGGCGTGGCTGTAGGTGGCTGGTAGTTTTGGATTCTGGATTCTGGATCATTTATATGTTCCAGGCAGATCTTCCCCGGTTCATCCCCCTGACGTCCTCGCCCTTGGTGATTCTAGAATCCAAGACAATATAAGATGTCTGCGTCTCCCACAGCAACAGCAACAGCAATAACAGAACCGGGCCATGAACTGGCACTGGCCGAAAAGCTTGCAGCTGGATCCGAACACGTCGAACTCAGCCACCGGCTCGACGACAAGGACAAGGACAAGGATATTTCCTCCCTGGGACACGATACCGATGCCGACGCTGATACCAACTTGACCACACCGACGACGCACCGTGAAACCCGGCTGGTGCGCCGCGTCGACTTGCGCGTCCTGCCCGTTCTGGCCATCATCTTTGCCGTGTCCATCATCGACCGCATCAACGTCGGCTCGGCCAGGGTGTTGGGCATGCAGCAGGACCTCGACTTGACGGGCAACCGCTACAACGTGATCCTGCAGACCTTCTTCCCCGCCTATTTGTTGGCCGAGCTGCCGTCCAACTACGTCCTGGCCCAGGCCCAGCTCAGTCCCCGCGCCTGGTTGTCTTTCCTCCTGGTCTCCTGGGGCGCTGTCCTCACCGGCATGGGCTTCACCAGTAGCTGGAGAGTGCTCGCCTTCCTGCGCTTCCTGCTGGGTCTGTTCGAGGGTGGGATCCTGCCTGGAATGGTATTCATCATCAGCTGCTGGTCAGTCTGTCCCTGTCTTGTCTTTGTGTCTTATGGGCTTTATGAATTTTGTCTCTTATGCTTCATGATTTCACTACGCCACTCCCACTGCCACTCCCACTGCCACTGCCACTGCCACTACCAATTCCCCTTCCACATGATATGCTATTTGGCTTGGTTGAGGTAGGGTACGGCCCTAACCCCTGACTGACCGACTTCGTGGCTGTCTACATAGGTACTGCCGGTATGAGGTCCATCGGCGTGTAAGCTGGGCCTACTCGGTCGGAGTGCTCGCGTCCGCCTTTGCTGGTGTGCTGGCATACGCGCTCGGGTTGATGGGTGGTCTCCGCGACATGAAAGGATGGAGATGGATCTTCGCGGTACGTGTGGTGCGCACTCTGATCCTGCTTGCTCGTCATCAGTGAGTGAGTGAGTGGTGTTTGATTCGATTCGACTTGACCTAGCCATGTATGCAGACTGCAGACTGCAGACAGACCGCGACACATGAAGATGAAGATGAAGCTGATTAGTATGATTCGTCCACAGCTCGAGGGCGCCGCCACCATGCTGATCGGCATCGTGTCTTGGTTTGCCATCCCCCACTTCCCCCAGCACTCGAACGTACTCAGTGCCGACGACAAAGAGCTGTACACGGCCCGGCTGCAGCGTGACCACGGTCATGGCCAGGCCAACGGAGAAGACAAGATCACCTGGTCTCTTCTCGGAGAGGTGCTCGGCGACTGGACGAACTGGCTCCAAATCCTGCTCTTCACCTTCACCAATACCTCGACATACAGCCTGGCATTTTTCGTGCCCACCATCCTTACGGTATAGTACTAGTACTACTGACACTTTGACACTTACTTCCTCTCCTCAATCCCGAAGTAACAGTGTAATATATATTCACAGCTCTAACCATGACTCGCATTCGCAGGGAATGGGCTACACCGGACTTCATGCCAGTCTCTACTCAGCCTGGCCCTACCTGGCCACCATGGGCGCCATGTGGATCTTTGCCTACGTGAGCGACAAGACCAGGATGCGCACCCCCGTCATTTGCGTCCAGAGCCTTCTCCTGCTGATCGGTCTCCTTCGTAAGTGGCACTCCATCCTTCCTCGTTGGTGGATGGAATCATTTCAAAGGCACATCCTGACCGAATGACATGATTATGATACACCAGTCATCCGGCCCCGGTATTCCAATCAGCTCCGGTATTTCGGCGTGTTCTTGGCCACCATCGGCTGTCAATGCAACGTCCCGGCCCAGCTGGCTCTCGCGCAGTCCAACGCACCGGGATCGGCTAAGCGGTCCATCATGGCCGCCGTCGTGGCCTGGGGAGGTCCGATCGGGGGGCTGGTGGGAAGCAACATCTTCCGCCAGCAGGATGCCCCCACATATGTGCCTGGCTTGTACACCACTGTGGCCATGGCGGTCATGATCATTGTCGGCAACGTACTTGTTGCCTTGGTCTTCCACAGGAGAAACCGAATCGCCGAGCAGACCAACACTCCCGTGCATGGTGTGCCAGACTTCAAGCACTCATTGTGATCTCGATGGAACTGCCTAGAATGAAAACGAGTGTGTGGTTCAAGTGCACGTGGTAAAAAAGGCAACCGATTACGGAGTACATTATAAGCATCCTAGGCGCATCGAAAGGAGGATTGAAACATACCGTTACGCCTCGATCTTTAGATTTGGCTTGCTGACCCAGTATCGTTGTGCCGGGTACTCCGTACACAATATAAAACGACATCACACCTGGCTGACAGCCATAGCGGCAGTCACCAGAGGTTCTCCGGTAAGCGCCGAATCCGATGAATCAATATAAGACGAAGATCATGATGAAAGCCATGCCATCCCATCCAAAGAAACATAAGGCCACATTTATCGGTTCGACCCGAACCCCGTCAACGACCTGCATGGGCTTGATATGCCTCCGGATCCTGCCATCTTCAAGCAAGTGGCGTGAATGCTGGCTAGGGTGGCGACCGCAGTCTACCGTTCATGAGCACGTCTAGGACGTTTGACAACCGTTTGCTGGAGAGCAAGCTCATCCGCTGAAGTTTCGGAGTGCTCCTCCTGCAATGCAGATGAAGATGTACTATTCGTGAAGGCAGTGGAAGGGCTATCGGCAGGTGCGCGTCGAGCCATCTGATTTGCGTGATCGATAAAGGCATCTCGATTCTCCTTCGCCAGATCTCGAATGTTACGATAGGAAGTAACCCCCTGAACGAACGTCTCTCTATCGCTCGTCAATGCATATGCCTTGACTTGAGTCATATGATACTCGGTTCGTCCAGGAACTGCAGACTGGGTCGGATGCGTTGCGTAGATCACTAGCAAGCCTGGGCCAGCCTGATAAGTAGTGGAAAAGCTATACGCGTTGTTGTCGTACACAACGGTCGCCTCATTAGCACCGTAATTCTGGAGCTTGTGCATGGCGCGTGCTCCGACAACGCCATTATATAGCGCCTGGTTTTTGGCCACAAATGGTAATCCACTCGGGCTTTTCGCCTCGAGAAAGAAGTTAGGAGCTGCTGGACGGCTTGTGTTGGTGGAGGGAATGATGTATGGTGCTAAATCGTGAAGCACTTTCGTATCGATGGCTGAAGGTGCCGCTCCGTAGTACCTATCTGGCTTAGGGTCACCGAGACATTTATCAATAGGCTCGAGATTGTTGAGGGGGGTGTCGGCTTCGAAACGATGGTTCGTTTCGTTCCCAGCGATGAATGGAAAGACCTTTTGCAGCGACGTTGTCTCGCCTGATGCCCTTGCATTTTCTTGCTTAAACGCTCGGAAATCATCATCGGTAAATTGTGATGGTGAGAGAGATGCCCGCGGGGCCAAGAGTCTGCCATGGACGGCATCCAAATTTGCCGGTTCGGGTTGTGTATGTCCATCCGGGTGTTCATAACCTTCTGGGTATACGCCGTTGTCAATCATTGTTTGCTCAAAATTCCCGCTTTTGGTCGAATCTTAGAGGTCCTGTTCGAACCAGTCCGTCTCGATGAGGCTGAAGGCCGTTTACGGCTGGGGGAACCGGAATGAGCGCTCGTTTCGTCGGCGATAGGAGGCAATAAGGCAAACTGTCTCCGGTCAGTTTCTTGGACCCCAATGCGTAGAAAGAAGTCGTACTTACTCCTCGGAGATATGATAGATCAGGACCACCACGGCGGGCAAAGCGTTGAAGCCGTTGTCGCGCCCTCCCCGTGGGATCCCCAACGTCTGATACGGGTATATAGGGCGGGTTAGCCGTCTTTGGAACGATCGTGTGGTCGTACTCCCTAAGAGCAGAGCGACTAAGTCGAACCTTAGACAGCCTGTCCCATCCGTTGGAACTGCGAGGGTGAGGATGAGGGTCAGGGCGGCTCTCCGACGAAGATCTGTGCTTCTTTGCTACGGGCACCTGGACCTGACCGGAATCCGTCGAGGTACGGCGTCGTTTCCTCGACGGAGGCTCCGGGAGCATGAACATGAGGATAGAGGAGTGAAGGAGTTGGCCATGAGGCGGCCATGGGCGAGGACGTGGTGTTGCGCTGGCAAGGGAGGGCTGGCGCCTAGAATGCAGCGCAGCCAGGCACCTACATACCAGGCAGCTCCCTGGAGAGGTGGGTTCAAGTGTCAAGTATCAAGTATCAGGTTGTGCTGGCAGTGATGTCGAGATTGGCTGAGAACTAATAATTAAGGACTTGGGATCACGGTTCCCGCCTAGTCGCCGCCAAGACGCTAAGAATTGACTGCGGGCACTAACTGACGCCGGCTGCGGTTGCCTTGTGCCCGCCATATCAACTTGCAACCATCAAGGGTGATTGCTGCCTGTCTTCAATGCCCGAAACTACAAGTATGTGCTGAGGTACTCAGAGAAGACCGGCGTTGATCCCCGCGCCATGGATCCGTTTGTCCAGCGCGTTCGAGAGATACGAATAGGCGGCAAGTATCAACTCCTCCGGAAGCTGGGTTCGGGATCATTTGGCAAAGTGTATCTTGGTATGCAGTTGCCATATGTGGCCGCCTCCTGCCATTGCCCACCCATGTCCGCTTCCACTCACAGGTCTCGCAGGTCGCGATGTAGACTCCGGCGCAGAAGTCGCCATCAAACTCGAGCATTTCTCCGCGGACCCGTCTCTCCTCGACGATGAAGTTCCCATCTACCAGGAGCTGGCCGGGCAAACCGGGTTTCCGCGCATCTTCTGGCATGGTTTTGTGCATGACTTCAAGGCGCTGGTGTTCGAACTTCTCGGACCGAATTTGGAAGACTTGATTCGATATTGTGGCAACCACTTCTCTCTCAAGACGACCTTGATGCTGACCGATCAGCTGCTTCGTCGGTTTGAGGTTCTTCATTCACATCGCTACCTTCACCGAGATGTCAAACCAGAAAATTTTCTCCTAGGGGTGGGTCGGCAGGGTAATGTGGTGTACATGACGGACTTGGGCCTGGCAACCTATCTACGGCCCCGGTCTCCAGGCTCAAACAAGGGCAAGGCCCACGAACATTCTACTTACGAGCCTCACTTATTGGGGACATGCAGATATGCGAGCATTAATGGTCATTTGGGAGCTGGTAGGTGACGGGGACATCAAACAGTGGGTGTGGACGGGATTGATCAGCTGACATGTGTCCTTTGACAGCGCAATCCCCGTGGGACGATTTGGAGGCACTAGGCTATATGCTGGTGTATTTCCTAAAGGGCAAACTTCCCTGGCAAGGCCTCAGGGGCGAGGGCAAATATCGACGTGTGTTGGAGATGAAGCAGACGATCCCCGTGGACGAGCTTTGTGCCGACCTTCCTCCCGAATTCGCCTCTTATATGCATCATGTGCGCCACCCGAACGAGGATGACTTGCCTGATTATCGATATTTACGGAAATTGTTCAGCAACCTTTTCCACCGAGAAGGGTTTGAAAACGACAATGTCTTTGACTGGACGATCCGGGAATTCATTAGACTGGAGGCTGAATCTCAGCCAACCTCCCCTATGTCCGGCGTTGTAGAGGAGAGAAGCTAATTTTCGAAAGGCAAACAAATCGGTAATCATGCTGTTGTATTCCAGAACTGTACAAAAGCTACTTTCCATGTTCCTTTTTCAAAACCTCTTCAAACTCGTCCCGAAAAGACTGCGCCCAATCCTCCTTGGTCCTTTTCGGTCGCCAGCCCAACTCTCTCGCGATATCCGCTCTCGTCCTAGAATTACTGGCATATCCCAATTCACACAGCTGCTCGTCCCCAGCCACCCACTTCGCCGCCGCTTCGGACAGACTCACACTTCTCGTCTCGGCGTCGCTCCATTTCCCCAGCTCGAAGCCGGCCTTCGCAATGTTCTCGGCAACCTCCCTCCACGTGAAGGTTCCTGTGGCGCTGAACATGAAGCCCTGCGCCCCGACAGGAACGATGCGTCTCCCTTCCACCCGGTCCAGGAGCACAAGCTCATACAGCACGGCGAGATCGAGGACGTGCACAAAATCCCACACCCCCTTCCCGCCACCGACGTACTCTGCCCTCCCCTGCCTCGCAGCCGCTCTCATCTGTGCGGGATACTGGATCGACAACCGGTTGAACTGGCCCGAGCCGAGGCCGTAGATGGTCGGACTCATGATAATCGTGGTCGGAACGCCTTCTCTCAGCCCCGTCTCCACCACGGCGAGGTCGCTCGTGCGCTGAGAGTACGGCTCGATCTCGTTCCGCTTCTTCAAGTAGGCGTAGATGTCGATGTCGGGGTCCTTGTCGCTGAAAGTGCGCGGTTCCAGATACGTCTTGCTGATCGGCCGGTCGGCCAGATTCGAAGTCCCCGACGTGTGGATGTAGTATACATTGGCATTGGCATTGCTTTCCAGTTCAAGCTGCCGTTTCCGCCGCGCGAGACCTTCAATCAAAGCTACAGCGCTGCCCGCGTGGTACCCGGACGCGGTGTGGATGACGATGTCGTTTTCCGCCGCCGCCGCCGTAATGGCTGCCGCGTCGTCCAGGTCGCGCATCGTGTACACCTTGAGATTGGCAGACGAGAAGGATTTGGCTCGGTCGTCGTTGCGCGTGAGGACCGACAGTTTCAGGTCTTTGACGCTTGCATTTTCCGACGAGAGAAGGTACGAAAGGATCGTTCCGCCAATATAGCCGGTGACGCCGGTGATGAGGACATGAGTTGGTGCCATTGCCGTATTACAGTATATACCTACCGGTTGTAGGTGCTGTATACAGTACAGTACGAGTACCTACTATAGTAGCTGCTAGGTACGTACTACTAATATATATACCTATGTACCTATATATTAGTAATCTAAAGTTTTATGCAAAGGTGCCAAGAGGGACGTGACGTCAATTTAGTAATTGTTTTTGGTGTTTTCTAATGCCAGAATTAAATACTCCGTACATATAGCTAAGTACTAATTAAGCACACATAGTAGTGGTATACGGAGTACAATTAAGGATTATACTACCTTAGTACTAGGTCAAGGATCACTATAGAGATCAAGGGTCTTGATGGCCCCACCGACCAAGCTGAGTCTAGTAAGTCTGCTCTAGGATTTTGACGAGCGTAGTGACTGACAACTTCAAGTTGTAGTCGTGCTTTGCTGCATGTCGCTCCAGTTACTATGTACCGACTGGAGCAATCTATTCGTGGAGGTTTGGGTCGCGGTGTAGCAGACAGTGCGGTACTACTGTTTCTCTCGTTATACATAGCTGTCGCTGCGCGAGTTCATGCTTGCCGTCTCGCGACTGCGCTTTGTAACGGGGCGGTATACCATCCAGAAGGCACTCGGAGTCGATGAAATCCTTGGATTGCGAGAGGTCACTTAGAGTGTCATGCCGCGGCATGGCTTCAATTCTTTCAAGCGAGACCCGGATCTGGCCAGGTCAGGGTTTTGCTCCTCCCAACAGGCTAGCGCAGATGGCATTCATCTCGAGCACAACCATTTTCAATTTCGAACAATTGCGAGAGGTGTTTGCGAAAGTCCATGGAAGAGAAATAGTATCTGTCCCTGCAAGAAAGACACCTTCAGCACGAGGGCTAAGGCCTCGCAGGCGGTGGCGCAGTGCATACTTGATAGATAGGAAGGTAGGTGCCGAGCCAGCGCCGCAACTTGTATCCTCAGGTCGAGAGGGATGGAGGTTCAGGTATGATGAATGGTCTTTGAAGGTCATCTTCTTTGTGCTGCTATTCCCGGGGTTACAGGAGTATATAGCGAACTCGTATATGGAAATCTCGCCGACGCATCACTTTGATCGAAGGTAGACGCTGTGCCCGACGGAGACCGAAGTGGTACTCGGGGTGGCTCGAAATCTGGGTCGTTGTCTGTCGGTGGGGCACTTGGATTGGTAGCGATATCCGTTCGTTGGTTGACCGTCCTCTGCGTCGAACCGAGAACAGGATCATATTCTTGAGATGCAGTGGATTCCGACGAGTTCTTCTGCAACATCTCAGTAATTCTCCCAGCCTTATCCTGCCTCCTGAACCTGAATATTTTAGGCGTTGATCCCCAGAGCGAGTTTGTGGAGTTCAAGCTTTTGGGAGTGGCTTTATCAACAACAGGACCTGCGGGCATTTGTTTGCCGAAGGACAAGAGTGTTTTCAATTTGTTCCGCTTCGCTGAGGAGGTAAGGTTGCTATCCTTGGAGGAGGAAGCATAGCTTGCAATCTCTGAGCCGTTATTTGAAGTGGCAAGAAGGTGCGACTGCGGTGGTGGTGGTGTGGCAGACCCGTCTCGCTGGTCGTGGTCGTTCAAAGGGTGCTGTCGAGCCTCCAGGAAGACGCCTTGCGATGCGCTATGCGGCTCAACCGCGGTCGGCACAGTATTTGAACTTCCATCCTCCGGCCTCGTGTAATAAGAGACGGGAGTTCCTGGTTTGGAAGAGACAATCCACTGTGTTGGGAAGCTCGTTTTGTACACTCGGTGAGAAAGGCTCATTGTGGGTGACAGCGAAAGGTCAATCTCGTCAGTCTGGAGACAGACAGTTGAGACGTCGCAGGATGCAGGACGTAGGACGGTAAGATACTGTAGGGAGAGAGGATATTAGTCGACATTGTTCTGGTCGAGCCAGAGCCAACCTCGCATGCGGTGTGATGGGGGCCGTGCAGTGTGTGCGTTGCTACATCCATGTACGGAGTACCTGGTAGGGTTAGGCTAAGAGGCCCAAGGGCTTAACCCTTGTGCCCTTGGGCGGTTCAGGGTTCAAGGTTCAGGGTTTGGGAGGCGCAATGAGCGCCATGCATATTAGGGTTAGGGTTAGGGTTAGGGTTAGAGGCGCCTTAGGGTCGACCTATACAGCTCAGCCTCAGCCTCAGCCTCATGCAGACCGCTCATCAACCAAGCATGCCACTTGAAGCAGACGGACAATATTCAAGTCTCTAAATGTACCTTCCAAGGTATTCGAAGTCGAAATCCGTCGAGCGAGACCATCACTATCATCCTGACTCCCTCCTGACGACAACGAGAGGTCAGAGGTCCGAGTGAAAGCATCTTCGGCTGCCATCTGCCATGGCAGAACCTGAGGAAACAAACCCAGTCATCTGGCCGACAAATGCTCGCCACTATCGGCCTATGCTGTCGGTATTCCCACATCGTTCGAGTGGGATCTAGGGAGACTTCGGCTGATGTTGATGTTGATAGGGACAATGGCCTCCATCTCCAGCGAGGCTTTGACGTCTTCGGCAAGAATTTGTTGTCCGATGACACTCTTATTACTGTTCTTGAGGTTGCTGGCAAAGGCGAAGGCAGCAGTGAATCAATCCGAGGTCTACTCCTACTCGCTCATCTCATCTGTGCGTACCTAGAGTTGGTCGAACAAACTTGGCATAAGGAGAATTTTGAAGCCGGCTTAGCAGTGAGTATTGTATACTGCATACAAGCATGGCGCCACCTTCACCTTCTAAACCTCTACAGAAACTTCATCAGGCCAAGGACAAAGACATGTTCTGGTAAGCTTGCTTCTTTGCCAGACGGCGCAGCAACATTTCAACAAGACAAAACTGACAACCAATTCTATTCTGATAACCCGCAGCTTGATCAACAAATTCCTGGTTCCAGCCCCGAATACGCCCATCCGGAATGATGCGAACAGGCTCCAGATCGGGAAGAGCGAGTTGACAAGACTATTTGCTAAGCTCGAAATCCCTTATTCCTTTGCCCTGTGCCTCACACAGTTGCACCTGCCTTACGGAAATGGCTCTTCCACTGCATATAAAGGTACGCACACGCACGGCAAGGTCAGGGCCAGCTACCACGATACTTGGTACATACTGCCAGTTCGGGTGCAATACAAATGCAGTGACCGGCGTCAGAACCACGCCACCAGTAATGCGAGGAACAATCAGATGGACCCGCTCCATTTCCTGCACCTCCAAGATGTGGGCGTCGACATCCGCAGCTCTCACATCGCCATTCTCTCGAGACATTACCTGGAGGAAGGTGGTCAGATGACGCTGGTTTTCAACTTCATGGATGGCCGCTGGAGCCACGCTGCTGATGAACCTAGAAAACGATTGCATGAAATCCATGAATGGTCCACGCGTGGAGATGGAGACTTGGATCCGAATTCAGTGAAGCATCATCCTCTCAACGCTCACTTCATATATTTCACGAGTGCCATGCGGTGGTGGACAAATGCCCTGAGCAGCGTCAATGAACAATTAATCGCCTACGTATGTTCAGAATCAAGCTGGCGGCTGCTGGTCGATATCAGGCTAAGACGAGACAGGAAACCTTGCTTCAAAATGAGATCGACGGTGACATTGACACTCAGGCTACAGATACCTACTCGCTGGTCAACCAGGCTTTACACGCCATTGCGGCACATCTGCAGCGGTACAATTCAGAGCTGTCGTCTGTACGAGACACATTGCACGCACTTCAGGATTACGAGAAGCGATGCAGAGATTCATGTGAAATGAATTCATCATCGGATTCCACGGCCACGACCCATACTGATTTTGATACTTCATCTACGTTTGGCCAATTGACCACGCACCTAATGCAAGTGCACACTTTTCAGCACGAACTTTCCGACAAGCTTCAAAATATCCTGGCACTGGTATACTGTCCCGCCTCTACCTCTACCTCGATGAAGCGGTCAAGTTGATCATCTCTAGCTTTTCAATCGCATCAGCATCGCAAACGACCGGATGATGGTGATGAACGGAGCAAAGATGCATGCTATTCTTGTTGCCACACAAGAGGATGCCAAAATCTCGCGGCAAATCGCGCTTCAATCACAAGAGCTGTCAAGGGCTATGAAGAGGGACAGCGTAGCCATGAAGACAGTAAGTTCACCGCTCTGCTCGAGCGTTCACCTTCTTATACCGATAATCCCGTCCAAGATTGCAGTTACCACGATGGTCTTCTTGCCTGGGACATCATTCGCAGTAAGTTTCTGCCTGTCATTCATCTCCGAGATGTCTATTTCCTGCCACCTAGGTGCCACCGTTGACCCAGGTGTGCGTAGGCTCTATTGGCCATGCCTTTCTTCCAGCAGAGCACCTATCTCTCTCATGCTTCTAAATTCTGGATCTGGGTGTGATTTGTACAGTCCCGACCACCGTCGCTGCATTTGCATTCTACTGGTATTGGAGGAGTAGGGAGGAGGACAAGATTCAGCATATGGAGGCCGCAATAGACTAGCCATCTCACTCGTCGTGACACTAGGCAACTGAGTTCATTTGCAAATCACAAGCTATATTGACGCCTGTGGCGTTACCTTTTTTGTCTCGAAAGAACTCGAACTTGGGCTTTGATCTTTAACAAAGTCCTCGACCGGGAAAGCATCCGACCCTGTATACAACACAACCATGTAGCCAAATTCAACACTACAACGGCACTGGACGGGCAGGTCACTACAATTGTCATGGGTGGTGAAAGCTAATGCAAGCTGCAGAGCACAGCCCAGTCCTAGTGGCTAAGGGGCTTGTGCCCATTCGATCCTACCCCGGTGCTTTCGACATGACCTGTTCTGCCTTACAGCACTGCCACCGCCACAAATTCTCAAAAACCAACATGTCATGAGGAAGGACCACTACCCACATGATATCCTCACATAAGGTGGAAGATATTTACCTTCTGCTGCAACTGTCACCTTGCTTCCAACCCCTTTTAGTGGCAACCAAGCTTGATACTGGTCCTGGTACTGGAAGCAAGCCAGCCTTCGCATGATGGATTCTCAATCAAAAGCTTTCGAGCCACCGCTGGAACGACCTGTCCAGTTACGCGCTGACGAAAGTCGATTCGAAGCACCATTGGAGAGACCGGCGGAGGCGCCACCAGACCTTCCTTTTGATCAATGCAACATGTTCTTCGCTGTTGATGTCTCTGGAAGTACCGCAGGTCTCGTGCTGGCACAGGAAAGAGCGGCCTTGGAGACAATTGCGGACCATCTCCCGAGCCAAACAAAGGCAACGTGCAGAGTTGGCCCGTGGAATCACGAAGCCCAACCCTTGCTTCGGTTGGACGAGCTCGACGAGCTTGTATCTGATGGACTCACGCAACCGCTAGTGCTATTGGAAGACCGTCAGCATCTGAAGGCTGTTAAGGACTCACAGCTATGGTTTCTGTTCACCGATGGTGAAATTTTTGACAAGGAAGTCAGATACTTCGCGAAAAGTATCGATGAGCACAGCGTCCACAATAAAGCATGCGTACTCGTCGTATTTGGTTATCGAGGACGCATGCCGGCTCTCTGCAACATCTCGGTCGTAGTAGCATTGTTCGGGATGGCGTCTGATGCTGTCTTTCTGTTCCACGACATTGACACCGAAGAGCTCTTCATTTTTCAAGCCAAGGGATGTTTCGGCTACCTACGCGGACCTGCTCAGCGAGAGATTAGATTGGAACAATCGACACGTTGGGACGAACTTCCGACGACAAATTACGAAGCACTGTTTACTTCACGCATACCATATCCCCGTGTTCTGAACAAAAATGAGATACTCCTTCAAGACGGAACACGCCTCGATCTTGACCGGATTACCAAAGACAATCTCACGGCTTCGGACGCCGAAGCACTTCTCGACAACGATACCGACCTGATTTCTATTATGATCTCGATGAGGTCCAGCGGAAGGGTGGAAGAAGCCAAACGATGGGTGCGAAACAGAAAGGCTGCCATCGCTACACGGGTCCAAGACCGAATCGATGTTGGCAATCATGCTGAAAGTGCCCTCGGCGCGGTCGTGGATTCCCTACAGAATCCAGACGACTTGCAGACTACATCGAGGATGCAGAGTAGGCTTCGCGACGCACACGTTGCAAATTGGCTGCGCCTCATCCAGGATCAAAGAGCCCAACAGGAAAGGACTGTCATGGCCGAAAACTGCTTGCAGAGAATGTCGCCGAGACATATGCCCCGCCGCCCCCGCCACTCGCCGGTGGTGCTATCGCCTTTGTCTCGCATCTCAAGGCACAAGGCCAATAGATATGAGACGAAACCAGCCGATCAAGGCACGGGGCTCCCGACTGAGTTGCCATCACCATCCCGTCCAGATCTTCTTGAAATTGAAAATGTGAGAACGGAAATCACCTTCTGCCCTGGGCTCACCATTCCCAAAGGCTATCCCCTTCAAACCCTGCCTTTCCTCACTTGTCCGCTGTGTGGAGAGAATATGGTACATTTCGCCATTCTATTGAAAGAAGTTCCCTAGGGCCTCAGAACCTTCACTTCTGGATTCCCGAGTCCCAAAAGCGTGTGTGAGGTGCTATACCCACTGGCACTGGCACCGTACCGCGAAACAGACATTATTGCTCGCACAAGCTGCTGTGAAGTGTGCGCATATCACCTTGTAAAGGCCAAGAGCTCGCTGCATGACGACCGAATTGTGGCGGCTCTGCCGATAGTTCCTCCCCTCGTACTTCGGGAGAACAAGCAGAGGTGGTTGAATACGCTGGACGAGGTGCTCGAGGAGCGATTTGAAAGACGGAACTTACTGGCGATCTTCCTTGCCATCACGACCGAAGCCCTCGAGCACGCGAAGCGGGACCCAACACATCAACTCGATCTCCTCGAGGCCATCCTCCATCATGTATGCCAACAGCTCAAAGACGAATGCCGAATCTCCTTTGACGGCCGACTCGGGACTATTGACCAGGCTGTCCAGGCTTACTTTAGCTCGAACGAACCTGAATCCGAACCAACCTTTGCCAATGGGATTCTCACACACCCCATCGAATCCTTCACCATCATTTTTGCAAACACCACCATGATCGGGCGCGCAATGAAAGTTCGAATCCTGTTTATGCGATTCGTGCTTCTGCTCACTAGCAAATTCACCGAGGCTTCCGGCCCCGGTCCCGTCACCACCACCTCTGCCCTTGCCACGGCGTACCTGAAGCTTCTGAAAGAGGACCGGGCCGCTGTGTCTCGGAGCGGGTTTCCGGGCTACGCGACACCATCCACACCGACACCGACACCGACACCGGGGAATAACTCCTCCACACTGACACCGGGGAATAAGAATAACTCCCGTCGCGCCGTCACGGTCGACGATCTGATCGCCTACTCGCTCATCACGGCGCAGGACTTGGCCACGCTCAAGATCCTCGGGCCCATCTGGCATGATGTCGAGCACGAGGCAGAACCGGCCTTGTATCTGTGTTTGTTGAAGCTGGCGCACGAGAAGACCAAACCTAGCAGTGCGTCTGTCATGCTTGAACGGTGGCGCACCAGAGGCGGGCTTGAGGAGGTGTTTAGGGATCCTACGCATGTGACGGATGATATGATAGATGGGATCATGATCATGTCGCCTTGACAGTCGTGTCAAAGGTTGAAAAGTTCCATGTTCTCTATCAAAGGGTCGCAGGGGGCGCATGCAATATAGTATAGTATACCTAAATCAGCCTTCTGGTGAAAGGATAAGGCTGGGAATGCCTGAATTTGACAAGGAAACGGTATGTACGGTTGGATAAGTATATAGTCAGTCTATATACATAGTAGTATATAGTATATAGTATAGTAGTCAACTAGGTAGTAGTGACAGCAAAGGACAGTCATGGTAAAATAAAACACGTAATTCCCTATCCCAAATCAACGTCTAGATCATCAACTTCAACGACCTTGATTGGTTTGGACAAATCAGGAGAATAATTCATCGGCCTCAAGTTCTCGATCTCGGGATCGATGTCACCAACATGGCGGTCGTTGCCGTTGGCCAACACCCGAGGCTCCATCTTGATGGACATGAGTGATCGGAAACTGGTGACGTCCTTCCACGTATCTTCGATGGCGTCGTAGACCATGTGTAGAGGGTCAATGAACTCGGCAATTAATCGGTAGACTTGGTCGATATACAACACGTCGGTATAATGGATGGCCACGAGACGAACGAACCAGTTCCGTTCCAGGAACCCCCGCGTCGCCATGGCGCCCACCATCAGGAGGTTGAACACGGTGCAGTGACACACGTGAGTCATGGCCATCATGTCCATTCTCGACAGTCTCGACTGCAAATCCAACACCTGGGAGCGAACACATGCCGCCGAAGTGTTGAAGCTGATGTTGTTGAGGTAGACCGACAGAAAGAGTGCAATCTGGTAGCACCGTTGCAGTTCCACCGCCTCGCTCGGCCTGAGGCCCTGGCCCTGGCCCTGGCTATTGGGGTCCATCCTGGCAATCGCAGCCGCCGTGTCCGGCAGCAATCGTGCACTCGGGCTTTCAGACCGCCACGTGAGGGTTCGTGCGTTGACCGCAGCACAGAAGGTGTACCATTCGCGGTCACAGGTCCACAGCTTTCGGTCCAGTTCGACCACTTCCCGGACCCGGCCTGAGTCCCCATGTGGGTGCTTTCTGACCAGCACGGCGGATGAGTTGTGGAGGAAAGCACTGATGAGGTTGATTTTGTTACTGTAGTGGTGCCGCCGTGGGTACCGGAATCTCAGCAGGAGCCCGATATATTCAATAGTAAATCTGGGACATGGACTTGACTTACACTGCCATCTCCTTTTCTAGGTCGACACCTTCCACCCCGACAATCCCAGATATTCTTTGCAGAGCTTTGAGATGCATTCTCCCCGCCTCGCCGTCGGAGAACAGAATCTGCGAGTCGACAGTCAGTTCCATGTTAGTTGGAAGCAATGCCGGCCACGCCGTTATTCATCTCATTGTAAACTAACAGCGGATATCTGCAGCACCACCACCAGCCCAGCCCTGGAGAATGGACGGTAATAGTACCAATGAGGACTTACCGAAAGTCGGAGCAAGAACAAAATGGCCTGGTAGCATGACTCGTCCAGATTTCGGGACGACGGGTCACTCAGGATCGCGTTCAGTTCCGCCAGACAATGCGTTTGTAACCGTAGCCATGGCGGAATCTCCCACAGCGGCTGTTGGCCCTTCTCCACCGGCGGAGGCAGCACGACACCAGGACCTCCGCGAAGAGAGCCGGACAGGAAAGCGGAAGCAAACGTGGCTACTGCGTACGCCAGGACCGGCGACGATTGTACCTGAGACAGATTATCAATCCAAGACCAGCCTTGTAATAAATGGACGGCAAACGGCCGAATAATCTTGATGTAGTAAAATAGACTCGCTTGTAATTCGCGGTCATACTTGAACATGTCGGGCGCAAAGGGATCCAGAGTCTGGCTCCCGAGTCTCGAAGGGGGAGGCACGATGCTGCCGTCGATGAGTATGAGTCTCTCGCTCCTGTCTGCCTGCAGACGATGCAGCTTGAACGACCCGTAAACCCATCGACCACTGGTTTCCATCAGTTTCTGGCGATATTCCGAGAGCAGTCTCTGGTCGCTGGTTTGATCTTGATCGGCCACATCGTTCACAGGGACAGGGAGGGAGCCAACTGCGTGAATTGGTGGGGTTGAAGTCAGAATGGCATTTGTCGTAGGATCAAGGACGAGGCTTTGGTGGTGCGTTTTTCTCCAGCCTCGGTAACGACTAGACACGTGGGACGTGATCGCCTTGGCCTCCGCGGCGGCTTTCTTGGAAGACCGCCGGCGGAAAGATTGCGAATCCTGAACGATGAACAGGAGTGGACGAGGCTCGGGGTCACGAGCAGCCATGCTGATCGAGCCAGTCAGATTCAGATTGGATCAGATCGATCCTGAACCTTCGTCGTTTCCCTCCGGCCAGTAAGCCGAGGGTCAGGGTTCTGCAGAAGTCACTGCAGCTCTCTCCGCCGAAGAAAGACCAGACTTGCCGCACAGAAGATGGCCTAGAGGTAAGCCCAGGTGCCCGAGCAGAGCCTGTGACTGACAGCGGGAAGCAGCACGAAAGATCCCAGGGGGCATGCCGGCCTCCACGGGCATGGTGTGATATTAGTACTACTAATCGGGAATATGGGGCATCTCTGGCTGACAAATCCTTGGCGCTACTAGTGACCCGCTACTGGCCAATGATTAGCCGGACAGACACTGCTAAGCCCCGGCCAAGCTCACTAGTATGCACGTTAAAATAGCAGCACAATCAGTGTCTCAAACACCACAGAATTCCTTACCGATGAGGCAGTAATTGGAGGTAGAGACGGCAGAGAGGCAAGTACTAAGCAGATGGAGTCTCGTCCAAGGTCTAGACTGCCATCCAGTTTCCGGCTAGGCTCTGGAATTCATGCGAATCCGTGCCACCGAGATCTCTGTGAGTGTATATTGCCCCCCGCAAAGTCCATTATGATCTATCGCCCCAACCTTTTTTCACCTTCACCGACCCTCTTCAGAGACTGAGTCTTTGTCACCAATTCCTTGTTTTGTTTTCAAGCAGCAGCAGGTTTTCAAGCAGCAGCAGCATCAGCAGCAGCATCAGAAGCAGCATCAGAAGCATGGACAGCCAAACCCAAACCCACCAGGCTCCGGTTCTCAATAAACTGCCCACCATTTCCACGGTGGTCAGCATCGAGCCCGAGCCCGAGCCAAGTTTGGGGCGTCACACGCCCAACGACATCCGGAAGGATGAGAGTCAGACCCAGTCGTATGCCCAAGCGGTTCGCGACCATCCGCCGGCTTTCCTCTGGTGCATGTACATTGTCTGGGTGATGCTCAGCTCGAATTATACCAACACGGCCGGAAGCTCGGTACTCGGCATCCCTCGATTCCGCAAGGACTTTGGCCATCCATATCAGGGTGGATATGTGCTCGCCGCAAAATGGCAGTCTGCATACTATGGGGCATCCTCCGCAGCGTAAGTGGCGTCCAGATCGATTGAGCCTTGCATCAGTCCTAGTATACGGATATAGAAACGGGTCTCGTTAACACTTGTTATGTGAATCCTAATGCTGACGTTTTTTTTTCAGGGGTGTCTTGGGTGCAATAGGCGCCGCCTGGCTCTCCGACAAAGTAGGCCGCAAACCGATTCTAGGATTGGCCCTCATCGTCAAAGCTACATCGACCACTCTTCAGGTGGTGGCCACGACGAACTCTGTGTTCTTCGGTGGCCTTTTCCTGAACGGACTCAGTACCGGCGCCCTCACCACCATGGCCTTCACCTATATCGGCGAAGTGTCTCCCTTGGCCTTACGCGGCATCATCTCCGCCGGCACCCCCATGGCGATCTGTTTGGGAGGACTGTTCGCCGCCATCCTGACCAACTACACGGGCGAACAGGATTCTCGCTGGGCATATCGAACGGGCTTTGTGTCCGAGTACGGCTTCGTGGCGGTGTCGGCCGTGTTCCTGCCATTCATGCCTGAATCCCCCTGGTGGCTGGTCGGTCGTGGAAAGGTCGACAAGGGGCTCCGATCCCTTCACAAATTGGGCTACAGCCCAACCCAGGCACAAGAACAAGTCAGATCGATCTGCGACACTCTCGATAAGGCAAAGGCCGAGACCTCGGGCGCCAGCTACATTGAGTGTTTCCGTCGATCAAACCTGCGACGCACCATCATCTCGGTGGCACCGTCGTCCATCCAGGCCCTTTCCGGCGTGGTGTTTGTGTCGGGTTATTCCACTTACTACCAACAGCTTGCCGGCTTCAGTACTCGCACCAGTTTCCATCTCTTCATCACTCAACAGGTGCTTTCCATCTTCGGCAATTTCTGCTCCTGGTTCTTGATTGATCGGGTGGGACGACGATCCTTGAATTTCTGGGGTGTCGCCCTACTCACGGTCCTGCTCCTTATCACCGGGGCCCTAGCAGTTGCCGACACTCACAGTACAATTAAGGCGACTGTCGCCTTGATCTTGTTCTATTGCTACGTCTACAACGCCACAATCGGCGCAGCAGCTTTTACTATCATGACCGAGACCGCCACCGCTCGACTCCGGGCCAAAACGGCATCGATGGCCTTTGTCTTGCAACAGGCGCTATTTGTAAGTACTACTTACTCCTTCTACTCAGAGTCTCTCCAGCCCGGGCTGTAGCAGGGCATGTCCATTGCTTTCTGACCGCATGCTTACCACCTATTTTCCAGACCATGTGGGGGTTCGTTCTGCCATATCTGTTCAACCCCGACAAGGCGAATCTTGGAGCAAGGGTCGCCTTCATTTTTGGCGGTCTGAGCGTGCTTTGTCTGATCTACCTGTGGACATATCAACCTGATACGGCAGGATTATCCTACGAAGTGATTGACGAACTTTTCATCAAGCGTGTGCCTGCGAGACAGTTCAAGCATTACCGCACGAGCAAGACAGACGGACCAGGCGTGGAGTAGTGAGGACGTTGGACGACTAGAGGCTTATCCGTCTCGTTGTACTCCGTAGATCTTAAATATATACTGATTTGAGAGCGTTCACTCTGTTCAAGATTTCGCTCCTCTCTCCTGTTCATTGCCAGGGAATGGTAGGATGCCGAACCTCACATATTAGATAACGTTCGATCTGTAATTGCAGACCTCCAAAGAGCCTTGGGTTGTCGAAGCGCAAGGCTGAGGTCGAGGCCGGATAATTATCGGGCCGGCCATTTCCTTTCTTGGCGTCCTTCCACGTCCCGCCATCGTCGTTCGTCATCGGGAACTGGAGTTGGGACTCTAGATACGGAGTGAGTCGACCGTCAACCGCAGTGGACGAGGCAACACTGATTACAACTCCTACCCTCGCATTGTCGCGCCGACACGACTCGCTCTGTCACTCGTACCGGCTCTAGATACCGCCAATTCTCACATCCGTGCCTATATCACCGGATCAGCCTGACCGGTTTCAGCCTGCACCTGCAACAACGTCAACTGCGGTCGAGGCAAGCCGTCCCGTCAATCCTGCGACATTCACTAGTTTCTCATCATGTCTGGCCTTGAGAAGGCGCTCTTCAACCTGAAGGTATGCCTTTGACACTTCCCCCAACGTTCAGCCACACTCCTCGGAGGAGATCGACATGACTCCGCCTGATATCTGATATCCGGATCGCAGTGCAATTGTTGCCTTCTGCTTGAACTTCATTGCTGACCCCCGCCATCTGCAGTTTACTTCGAAGCAACTCAACCGACAGGCGGCCAAAGCCGACCGCGATGCCCGCGCCGAACAGGTCAAGCTCAAGAAAGCGCTGACCCAGACGCCTCCCCAACCTCAAATTGCCCGCCTGTATGCCACCAACTCAATCCGCAATTCACAACAAAGGATCCAACTGCTCACGCTGGCGGCTCGTATCGACGCCGTGGCGGCGCGTGTGCAAACCGCCATCACCATGCGGACGGTGACTGCGTCGATGGCCCAGACCGTCAAGGGAATGGACGTGGCGTTGAAGAACATGGATTTGGAAAAGATCGGGGCCGTCATGGAGAAGTTCGAGTCTCAGTTCGAGGACCTCGATGTTGTTACGGGATATTATGAAGGCGTCGCCGGTGGAGTTGAGAGTCAGCAGATCGGAGTCGAGGGCCAGGGCGAGGTGGAGGCGCTGATAAACCGCGTCGCCGACGAGGCTGGTATCGAGTTGTCCCAGGAGATGCAACAGCCAGTGCCGGAGCAAGAGCTCCCCACGGCAGAGTCGGCGGACCGGGCCAAACTCGAAGAGGGCTTGGGCGACAGATTGCGGGCTTTGAGGAATTGACGAGCGAATCCTTCTTGCCGGCATCATTCTTCTTTTCAATGACAATCACAGGCACGTCCTCCATGAAACCAGCATGGATAGTAATGCTGGTGAATGAAGGGTCCTGTCCTTTTCCGGGCTTGTCCCTGTCCAAGGCTCGAACTCTTCCATGATGAATGTTTTCTCTGGGGAGAATGGCTCGGTATCCTATTAGCTGTACGGAGATATGAGGCGTCTGTATGGATACGATGGAAGGCTGTCCATTCTATTTTCTCTTATCCATTGCGTTGGAATCGGAATCGGCATCGGAATTCGAATTCTTCCATCTCTACACCATGATCTGTCTATCTATTTCTATCCCAGCGTTATATGATTGCGAGTCACCACGAACCAAGCTAGTAGAGTGTTTCCCCGATCTCATTCTCTGATTATGTTTCGAGTGGTTTCCCCGATTTCTTTTTATTGTTCTTTTTCTTTTTCTTATTGTGAGCATATACCTAAGGTCCTGGGAGAGTATGGCGAGTCTAGAACCCGCAATGGAGATCTCATATCACGCGTGTAGAGGCAAAGGCAAGCATTTAAACAGGCCATAACTACCAGGTAACTACTCATGTTCTTAACCAGGTAGTTTTCATGGTCATGATCGTGGTCATGGTCATGGTCATGGTCATGGTCATGGTCATGGTCATGAAATAGAATTCTGAATTCATTGATTGATTCCCTCCCTTGCTTGCAGCTACAGAGTTCCCTTTCTTCTCAGATCAGGCTGGCATGGGGACGAGCCCGAGCCTGAGTCCGAGCCCGAGCCCGAGACCGGCTGCACCTACAGATAGTTCCCTGTAAGACGTATACGTATCACTGATAGTTCCTAGTAACAAGTATCACTGATTTTTCCTAGTAACAAGTATCACTGATAGTTCCCGGTAACAAGTATCACGAGAGAAATCCGTCTTGTTCAACTGTTGCATAAACAGGGTATCAGATTCAGGTCTGGTCTGGCAGATCTAGACGGTCATTGCAGAACTGCCATGCAGACTGCCTCCACATCACCTGCCCTCCGACCATGCAGACTGCCTCCGTCAGGACGCCGTTACCACCGAGTTCAGAGCGGCTTTCCATTGATGCCACCTTCGCTCGGCCAATGCGACGATCTCCACCATCTGGTCTACGCCGACATTGGAGCCGCCGTTCTTCTCAATCCGCAGTATTGACGGCGAGCCCGTCGACGAGCCCGCGTCCACGGTGATGGATCCGGTTTCGCCACACGCTTCTTCCTCAAACCCATCCGTGTCCATGAGGACCCAGAATCCATCCTCGCGGCCATCTTGACCGAGCACTCTCTTCTCGGGGACGAAGACGCCAAAACTACTGGGCACAGGCATGCCTCGTAGGTCGAGCTTTCGTGCATCGCTCACCTCGGCAGAGCAGAGCACCTGTTCTAGATCGGCATCCCACCATGCCTTGGGGAGGAGCGTGTTTTTCAAAGCCGCGTACAGCGCCAGCCATGCGGCGTCGAAGATCGACCCACCATGACTGATGCACGTCATGTCGATGTATAGCGTCCAGTATGCCTTCAGCCGAGGGTCCGTGTCGAGACCCAGCTCGAGATCCTCTGCTTGCGGAGGCGGTGTGTAGCTGATCTCCAGGTCGGAAGATCTGACCAGCTGCGACGTGTGCAGCAATGACAATAAACGTTGTGATATTGACTGAGCTTCGGTCGAAGGGGTCGTGTTTGCCGGGTGTCTCGGCGAGCAGCCGGTGGCGAGCTCGATATTCGGGACCACCAGATTGTACAGCGGGATTGCCGAATACACCTCCTCCTCTTCCTCAGCTGCAGCTGCTGGTGTGGATGATGCGCCGGATCTTGTGATTCTAAAGCTGGGGATCTCCGTGACTGGAAGAATCTCGGCGCGGACTCCGCACACAATTGTTGTTGCGCCGATCTTGACCAGCGATGAGCCATTGCAGTGGGTCAAGGAGCCGACATTGAGTTGGATGGAGCGAAACTCTGAGGGCGCTCGGTTTGACGGTCGCCGAGGCGGGTTCTGCTTCAAGTGCGCGTAGAGGAGGGCATTGGGGGAGATCAAAGGCATGGCCGACGCGGGAACCGAGGGGTCGCGGTCGCTGGAAAGGCCTGATGTGGTGGAGGGCATTCCCGCCATCGAGGACGCGCAGTGTTTCGGTCAAGGCATCTTCGAAGAGCTGGTGGTTAATTTCTGAGAGCGGTAGTATGTAGTTTGCGATAGACGGCCGATACAGTCAATTCACAGTATAGTGGGAGGGAGAGAGGGAGATACTCTGGTTGTACAGATATTCTCGACGCCCGCCGAATTTGATTTGTTTTTTGCCTGGCAGTATAGCAAAGGCGGTGGGTAGGGCTTGGCACTCTGGAACAGGAGGCGGTGAGAACTGCCCCTCCCCCTCCAGAGTCTTTATATGAGACGGTTGATTTGAATGCCATTAGCGAAGACCTTTACTGAGTCGAGAAGCCCGGTCTTCTTCATGATCCGGAGTCACAATTCATAGTCGCCGCCTGCTCAGTGCGAGGGACGTCGAGTCTTAGGTGTGATCTACTACTTCCTACTGCGGTCCGGTTGGGGATGAGCAGAGTCGACACTCGGGACATGACCGAGGAGCGCTGAGAAGCTTGCGGAGAACCGCGACGGTTAAACGGCTTTCGCCATAGGGTGTTGACGGACAGAGCAAGCTTGGCTTCATTCACCATCTTCCGTACATCAAAAGCATTGATATTCACAGCTGGCTCGAGTTGACCAGGGTCAGGTCTGGCTGCAATTCCTCTGTCGAAGCCTCTATCCTGATTGTCTTCACCCATTGTCAGACTAGGATGTCGACCGTCATCTTGGGCGGAGGTATCATCGGCCTGTCGACCGCCTATTACCTTGCCCAGCAGAAGGAAGCATCGACAACGTCCCAATCCCAATCCTACTCACTCTACATCGTCGAATCTTCACCCGCGCTTTTCGAATCAGCCAGTGGATACGCCGGCGGCTTCCTCGCCTTGGACTGGTTCGTCCCTGCCGTCGCAAGTCTCGGTGCACTCTCTTATCGCCTGCACCGTGAGCTGGCCGAGAAACACGATGGTCCAAGGAGATGGGGGTATGGCGGAAGCCATGTCTACAGCCTCAGTGTCGAGGATGTGGGTGTCAGTGGGCCGGGTAGGAAGGCTAGAGGCGAAGACTGGTTGCTCCAAGGCACAAGCCGGGCCGGGCTGGTCGGAACGAATTCTGAAGCGGATAGGAATTCCCATGTTTCTCATTCTCAGCACGCCGACAGGGTGAATGTGAATGCGGATGGCACACCTGCCGTCTTCACGCCACAGCCTGGTGGGACTCTGGAGACGATTGCAGGGCCCGAGGAGTGTGCCCAGGTGGAGCCAAGAGAGTTGTGCGAGTTCTTGCTGGACGAGTGCAAGAAGATGGGCGTCGAGGTGTACCTGTCTACAAAGGCCACGCGCGTTCTGACTGATGACACGGGCGCCTTCAGCGGGTTGAAGTTGCAGTCGACTGACGAAGACCGCCCGGCGGAATGGGACGTCGAGTGCAAGAACGTCGTACTAGCGGCAGGCGTCTGGACCCCGAGAGTGTTCAAGACGCTGTTTCCACACAGCAACTGGCAGATCCCCGTTGAACCGTTAGCCGGACACAGTATCACGGTGAGGTCACCACGGTACAACACCCCCTTTGTCGACCCGTCTAAACGACGGATCGGTGGCGGGGACGAGAATTGGCTGTGCTACTCTATTTACTGCCCTCCTGGTCAGCATTGGCCGTACGCCCCCGAAGCATATGCCCGCCTGGCCCGCAATGGGGAGACCGAGCTTTGGCTTGGTGGCTTGAATCATAGCGACCTGCCCGTGCCGGAACTGGCAGTAGACGTGAAGAAGATGATCGACCCGGAATGCATCAAGGATCTCCGCAAGACCACGGTGCAGCTCGCAGGACTGGCCAAAGAAGGTGATGATCTGAATCAGGATGACCTTGAGACCATTCGGGAAGCACTCTGCTTCCGACCGGTGAGCTCCACAGGAAAACCACTACTTGGGCAATTGCCCGAGAAATATCTAGGCGGCGTCCGTGTCGGCGGGGGAGGTATCTGGGTCGCATCCGGGCACGGTCCGTGGGGGATCACTTTGTCTTTGGGGACGGGCCTGGTCATGAGTGAGATGCTGCTGGGGAAGAAGACTAGTGCCGATGTTGGGCTGCTGCGAGTCGCTTGATTGCACTAGTCTCCTGCTTCCGGTTCCAGCATTCGCCAGTCGTTGTATGAGAAACCATCAGACAACGGCCATTGGAAATCTTGAAAGAGCGTTTCTGGCGACCACCCAGTGCCCATCATGAGACTAGTGGAGTCCATTCCTGGAGAGATGCCTGAAAAGGGTTTGCCGGTACTGTTCGCCAACTCATCTACGCGTCGGTTAGCTTCATGCCTCTGGATCTGCAACCACGGACTTACCTTCGACACCGTCGTATGGATTTGGGTGGCCTCCAAACTCCTGTCGCCAGAGCCAGAGGCTGTCAAAGGACAAGCTCAGCCCGAGTCTGTTCCGGCAGCGCAGCCAAAGACTATCCGGGGTGCCGTCCGGCTGTGTGATGACCATTTTGCTGGTCCATAGTTGCGACAAGATGATTGTTACGCGGGCTGAAATGTCATCCGACCTCACGCTGTGTTTTTTGCTCAACTGAATCGCAGTGAAGTAGCATTTGCGTCCTCGCTTTTCGTCTAGGGAACCAGCAATGTGAGACCTCCCGACCCGTAACACTATGAGGGCGGCGTGGGTCAAAACCGACTGTGATGCACTTGGACCGAACTCGGCAAATTGCTCCTCCTCATCTAATTCGTTCGTAAGCTCGATTAGGGTGCACGCATCAGTGTACAACGTGATTAGATCCGCACTGTCAATGTACGATGACGGCGCGATCAGGCGGTTTGTTGAGAGTAGTGCCCGGGCACTGAGAAGAAGATAGCGATCTGGGAGATTTTAGTTAGATTTTGGTGCTACAATTCTCGTGTTGCAGCGCCTACCAATTTTCGAAGGACAATCCACTGCCAATGTGCTCAGCTTTGAAAGAACATTGTTGACGGTCGGACCCAGGGTCACGTTGCGAACCTCCGGTGTCTGAGAGAGAGCGACGTGTTCGATCTCAAGGATTGCCTCGCTATGCAGCTGGCTCAGCCTTCGTTGAAAGACAAGTGAAGGAGGCAATGCGGTCAGTGGATCCTCCTTGTAGCCCTCATGAGAATACGTGTCGGACATGACTAGCGGGGGCAAACCTCGGTAATTATTGACCCTGACGCTGGATCAGTAGCTGCACCGTGTAGTAGAGCATTCTCCTCACCTTTGGCAAGTCAACAAGCATAGCGCCCATAGTTTTGTCCTGAAATCCCGGTGTTGGCGATCATATTTGAGAGGAACCCTGGAGAAGTCTTGCACAGTCCCATAGACGTGAAGGCCAATGTTGCTAGCTAGTTGTATCATGGCGCCGGCAAGGGTTGGAGTCGTATCCTTTTGTAGAGTATTTATCGGCATCTGCCAAGTGCAGAGCAAGATGAGAGCCTGTATGGTGGCCAGAATCTTGTCCTGGCAGAATATTGCTGTCTTGGCCGCTTCCATCACCTTGGGAGCCAATAGGAGGATCAAGGTGGGATCTTTCGAGTACTTCCGCGCACCAATGGCCACAATTGTCCAGAAAAGAAACCTAGAGCTGTTGTGGCATTCATTGGGCCGCAGTTTCTTTTGGTAAATTGGCAGATAGGGCAGGTATTTGTCGAAGAACCTAGCGGGTGGGCGTCAGCAAGTGAGCGTCCGGTGGACAGGGGTTTGGTCCCACAGTGAGAAGCATTCATCAATGTCCTGAGCATCCACGTTCAAGTCATCGAGAGTTTGCGGCTGCGTGTTAGGATACTGCGCACATGTCGAGCGCATGGAACAGAACCGCGACATCTCTGTGATCGGAGGAGCTGGGTGGGTTTGCTGTAGACTGGCCGCTCGGGAGCCTACTCGATTCGGTGAAACAGAGGCGGGTTCGTTGAGTGGCAAGCGCCAAGCGCAACCGGGCACGTCGCCAAAGGAGGGTTGGTTCTCACTCTTCTGAGCTGGAGAACTCTCTTGGACTCTCTTTTTCAATAGGTCCAACTCGGCTTGCAATTCCGACTTGCTGGTCTGATTCAGTCTAGGTCAAATAGCGCGACAAGGAAAACACTATACGTGTGACGCTTCTCCCTTCGGAACGTTGTCGAGACAACACATGATAGACCCTGCCGTTTGCAACGTGAGCATGGCTGTGAGTAGTCCTGTGACGCGTCGCACCGAAGCTATGAAGTTTGCTCAGCAAGGTTTCCAAAGAGATCTGTAACCGATTGCGAACAACGAACCTTCTGCTGACGACACTCAGTGCATGCTTTGATCCTCGTGCCCTTAATAGCCTCCATGGTATCGCTCATCGGTTCTGGGACGTGTATCAGCGGACATTGACCAATCCAAAGTAGCGGGCGTCCAAAACAGGATCAAAGGGATCCAACCATAACATGTCGGGAGGTCTATAGTCCGCCGGATCTGCCTGCCAAGTCAACGCTCGATGACAAGGGAGCCGGAGGTCCAGGGGTCCAGAGATGTAAGTGTAGGAACCGTGGGAAGGCTAGGTGGTTAATGGGTAATGGGCAACCCGGCTGCGAATGATGTCTGCTAATCGACGCTAGATTAAGACTTTCCGCATTGCTTTTCTTCCTCAATGAGATGTGAGCCTTCAGATGCAAGCAGATATCGCTGTACTGAAGACGAGGCGGCACGAGCCATGAAAGGTCTCTTCTTGAGGGATCCTCAGATGTGGTTGATGTCGGAGAAACAGTATTTCCGGATCCGGATCCGGTGCCAAGCAATCATATCTCCGAGGTCCGACTCCGACTGCAACTTGGAGTCGTTCATTCAAAAGTTCACACTTCTGCTTTGTGAGAGGTGATGTTGTTGATATCGAACCGGGAATACATGCAGCCCTGTGGGACGCTCTCCAGAAGGCAGGATGCCTGTGCGTTTCGATCGGGGCCATCGTGACTGGAGGGACATATACCTGTTCAGGACGGCAAAGACTATCCTGCGGCGTTCGCAGTTCCCCCCTCACTATGGAAACCCGTACATCTCGGTCAACAAGTCGTTACACGATCCAGAATATCTTATAGGACGACTAAAGCGCGCCCAAAGGCTTCACAGGAGTACGGAAAACTGGAACAACTATAGTGAGCGAGCCCCGGGTTTGTGTGCGCTGCTGGGCTGACTGACCTCTTCTGGCAGATATACTCAAGTCTGCCAATGACGGCCACACGGTCGGAATCAAAGACAATATCCTTACGAGAAACCTGCCGACGACATGTGCCTCGAGAGTGCTCAAAGGGTTCTGCCCTTCGCAGGATGCCACGGTCACAAAGTTGCTGGAAAAGGCGGGCATGCTTGTCCTAGCCAAGACCAACATGGACGAGTTTGGCATGGGCTCACACTCGATGAATTCTGCGTATGGGCCAGTGACCAACGGTGATCCTCGCCGGCAAGGCGCCCTATCGGTTGGGGGAAGCTCTGGTGGTAGCGCGCTGGCAGTCGCCCTCGATCTCGCTCACGTTGCAATCGGCACGGATACGGGAGGATCGATTCGATTGCCTGCGGCTTACATGAGCTTGGTCGGTTTCAAGCCGTCCTATGGTATGATTTCGCGATATGGTGTGGTGCCCTACGCAAACTCCCTCGACACTGTTGGGATCATTGCGAAATCCGCGGCCGACATTAGGCTCACGTTCGGTCAGTATGATCCGCAACTGTCGGTGCCCCAAGTTGACCGATCCAGATATCCTCTCTCAACCGGATGCGAGCGACCCCACATGCCTGACTACTGGCTCCCGAACGCGGATCCGAATGGCGAAGAATCGTCGCAGGGTATCGGTCCTGGAGTCCAAGATCCACTTCACCCCAGCCTTCACTCCTCGAGAAAAGGCTCCTCCGATAGCGCGAGCTAGGGCGAGGAATATGTTTCTCTTCCAACGAAGTTTTGTGCGACGAATTGGTGTTCCTTTAGAGTATAATATCGCCGAGATGCATCCGTTGGTACGCTGGGCCTGGACGGCGACGTTAAGCCATCTGCAGACGTACGGCTTCGAAATTGTTCCTATTTCCCTACCGTCCACGAAGCATGCACTCTCATCGTACTACGTTCTTGCTCCCGCCGAAGCTGCTTCCAACCTCGCCAAATACGACGGTGTTCGCTACGGTGCGCCGCGGACTCGCCCTTCCGATGATGATGATAAAGCTGGCACTCTTTACTCGGGGTATCGCCACGACAACCTGGGCCCTGAGGTCCAGAGGAGAATTCTACTGGGGAATTACAGCTTGAGCGCTGGTGCAATGGACAATTATTTTATCCAGGCCCAGAAGATCCGGCGTATGGTGCAAAAAGACTTCAGCACTGTTTTCAGAATGCCACATGCCTTCCACGATTATGCTCCTGTCAAGAACGGAGTGGATGTGATCATCGTGCCCACGGCACCAACTCCTCCTCCGCACATTCAATTTTTGAAGGATGCCAGTCCTGTTGAGTCATACATGAATGATGTCTTTACCGTCCCAGCCAGTCTGGCGGGCCTTCCAGCAATATCTGTGCCTGGACCCCGACATCCTGATTTCCCATGGAAGGCTGAACGGGCAGTCGGGATACAAGTCATCGGACAATACGGGGATGATTTCTCAGTCATATACTTCGCCCAGAACTTCCTGACCAACTTCCACAATTTGAAGACTCTGGACCGTCTGCAGCACGATAAGGTATTCAAGGAATTCGGATCCTCCTAGTGGTGCTGTCAGGCGTTAAGCCAGGCCTGGCACCCTGCTGCCACATAATGTAACTGAAAGGCACCTAGTGCAACTCAACACAGGGGATGTCGTCGTCCTGAGCACGTGCTCTTCGATGCCCTAATGGCAGAACAACGCGACTTGGCGTCCTTCCTCTCTTGGAGTGGTTGATCTCTGTCACTGCTGAGAGCAAGCACATTGGCTTTCAGAACAACACAAACACACCACACACCTCAATCTCTTCCATCCCAACGACCTTTTCCATTTGTTGCAAGACTTGTCTGTCAGCTCCAGTCGTCAAGATGTTCCCCGTCAGTATGCCATACGTGTTCACCATGGTGTTCCTTGGAAGCATCGTTTCCGTCATCGTGGCATTCTTGTTCATCGAGTACTTCATCAAGCGAACATTGACTGTCACTGCTGCCTCAGGCAATGCAGTCTAACAATCTGACAACTAGAGGACTGGAACGGCAATCACAATGTGAAAAGTGAGAATTCAGCACGACCCTTTTGATCATGCGCTGACTGCCTTTCAGAGTGGTGTAGTGAACCCACAGTTTGAGCTGCGCAGTGTGAGCTGTAACAATACGACAAAGAGAGCTGTAACGACACGACAAGGAGAGAAGTCCAGAGTATCAACTGGATGCGTGGCGTGCGCCCACCGACCAATCTTGACTCCGCCGTCACTTGTCACTTGTAACTCGGCGCACAACCTCTTGAAATACTGGCGCTCTCTATGGCCACCTTATGCTTGTGTGTCGGGCATACTGAGAAGGACGGATCTTCACCACAACAAGACGCAACTTGTACAAGCACTGGAGCAGGAATGGTGAAATGGACAACTGAGGTGTGAAGCGCACATGCCCAAGTCAGATTGTGGCGTCAGTCATCCCACAATGAACGAGATTCTTGAGCTGTGTACAGGAATAAAAGTGCTCGACTGATTCAGTCTACATACATGAATGACGATTCCTCCTTGCTGCTGCTCATGATGCCAATGCCGATGCCGATACACGAAGTAGTCCCTTGCCATTCAATGCTCTGTCCCATCCAAGCCACGCCAAACCAGACCAGCACAACACCTAACATCTAATTCGTGACCAAGCCCAGGCTCGTCTTTCCACAAGAGAACACGGGGCCACCTCATCCTCTCTCACCTCTCCTCTCACCTCACCTCGCCTCACTTGGGGTCAGGGTCGTCAGGGTCAGGGTCAGGGTCAGGGTTAGGGTTAGGGTTCACTTGGCTTCTGCTTTTGATGCGGTACTTAGGTAGTTGTGTGTGGCTCACTGGTCGACTGACCGACCGACTTGACTGCCGCTCGACCAGACATCACATCCCATCAATCACATCACGTCACGTCAGCTTTGTGCTCTGTTCTTGTAACTGAGCCCGGCACGGATCAGATCATAGACGGTCCGCTCACGTGACCGCTCCGCGCGGGCCTGCGCAGTCAGCTAGCTTGGTGGGGAATGGATTGATGTATCGAATTCGCCCCCGTCGCCCCCCACGAACACAAGTACAAGCACAAGCACAACCACGCCAATGAATTCCCCTAAACAAACGGGAGCCGATGACATGGCTCATAATGATAGTAAAACGCATACGCATACGCATACTGATAGGAGAGTGAGTTGTTTGATACAATACCTATCTATGCACTAAGTTTGCCAATATGAGTGGCTGACAAGTGAGCTGTCCACCTAATTACCAAAACTATATCGCATCAGCCTGCGTCCGCGGCTGATAAAAGTCCATAATCTCCTTTGTCAGCGCTTCCCGGACAATCGAGCCACACAGTTTGGCATACGGATTCGTCTTGACCGCCAATTGCCGAGCGGTCTCGTTTCCATACCTGCCTCCCAACGCCAGCTCTCTGCTCGCAGCTTCGGCCAGCCGATCCCTCGGCAGATCTCTCAGACCGGGAACGGCGTGCAGCATCATGCGGGTTTGGTCCGACTTGCTCGCCAACAAGAGTAGATAGCCTCTGTGCGTATGCGCGGACGCGAGCACTCTGGCTTCGAGGCTCGAGATCGAACTCGAACCCGAACCCGAATTCGAACTCGGCATAGATGAGGTCGCTCTGCCCGGCGTGGCAAGCTCGATGGCCTGAGCGAGATCTTGCAGGATCTCCGCGACCGCTGCTGGGCTGCGGCTCAGGTCGGCGTCCGCCACCAGCATCCGCCGGGCCTGCGCTCGATTGTTCCATGCAGATGCGTACGAGGGGTTGTCGGCGATGATGGCTGACAGTTGGGAGACGCAGAGCTCAATGTCGCTCCGTGCCGGTGTCGCTTGGTTGAGCGGTCGGAGGGCGCGTTGTTCTTGCTCTTGCAGCGCCGACAGATGGCCTTCTTCCCGCGAGATGTCACGGACCTGGACGGTCATGGAATTCGAAAGAGAAGATTCTGGATCAAATAATGCAGATAAGACACAGGCGTCATTCTTGCTTAGATTGAAGCGATCCATGGCCTGGTCGCATTCGATGTGATTTGACTGCTCGAGCGAGCGCCTGGGGAATCACTGAGTATGAGCCGGCACTGTTACAAGTTGTCAGACAGTCTTGAGGTCGGTGAAGACGATTACGAGGTAGAAGTGGTGGGTGGGTGTTGATAACCTCATCAGGCCTCGAAACCCGGATGTGCACCCATGACCCGGACCGTCCGCTTATCAACGGCACCGTGGGCGGGCGAATGTTTCCGGCTTGGATCCTGCTGACCGTCATTCTTATCTGTTGTTAATGTCTGGGATTGTCGTTGCTGTCTTATATGCTCCTCTTTATTCTGCACTCGAGTGAGACTGCGAAGAGCCCAAAGCGAAGCGCAGGTTTTCGACCCGGACAAACCGACTTGTCGACACAACATCAAGCACCCATAGACGATCAAAATACCATGGCGCCGATTGCTCTTGCTCCTACCCCAACCCCAAGCCATGAGCTGATTCACACAATGCATGACGGTTCAGTGGACGGTCAATCTCTTCCCAAGAGTTCAAATAAGGTGGCAAACTACCGAGGGTACGACCATGTGCACTGGTATGTGGGCAACGCGAAACAGGCAGCGGCCTTTTATGTCTCTCGAATGGGGTTCGAGAGAATTGCATATCGTGGCCTGGAGACTGGCTCAAGACTGGTTGCTTCTCACGTCGTTCGCAATGGGGATGTCACCTTTGTCCTCACCTCGCCTCTCCAGAGCCCTGACTGCACGACTGCCTCTCTCTCTCTGTCTGACGAGGATCGACGGCTGCTCGCAGAGATTCATGACCACTTGCGAGCTCACGGTGATGCGGTGCGTGATGTTGCTTTTGAGGTGGACGACGTGGCTGGACTCTACGATGCAGCAGTCGCCAAAGGGGCGCACTCACACCAGCCACCACAGACCATCAGCGACAAGTCTGGAAGTGCCATGTATGCTCAGATACGGACGTACGGCGACACAATCCACACCTTGGTCGACCGGCAGCAGTACACAGGGGTGTTCTTGCCCGGGTATCGAGCCGTGACTGAGGTCGAGAAGACGGCCAAATATCTCCCTCGGGTCGACCTGGAGGCCATCGACCATTGCGTGGGTGAGTGAATCCCGTTGCTATGCTCGCCAACATGTAGGACGGTATTCAGCTGACGAGGAACAGGCAACCAGGACTGGGATGAAATGGAAGCTGCATGTGAATACTATGAACGCGCACTGGGCTTTCACAGATTCTGGTCAGTGGATGACAAGGCCATCTGCACCGATTATTCTGCTTTGAAGTCGATAGTCATGGCCAGCCCAGACGAGAAGATCAAGATGCCCATCAACGAGCCGGCCAAGGGTCTGAAGAAATCTCAGATAGAGGAATATGTCGACTTCTATAATGGGGCGGGTGTCCAACATATCGCGCTGAGGACAGACGATATCATCACCACCGTCACCAATCTGAAAGAGCGAGGAATCGAGTTCATCAGCGTGCCGGATTCGTACTATGAAGCCATGTCCAAGCGACTGGAAAGTGCCGGGATGCAGCTGAACGAAGACTTTGCCGCCCTCCAGAAGCTGGGGATTCTGATTGACTTTGACGAGGGCGGGTACCTGTTGCAACTGTTCACCAAGCATCTTATGGACAGACCGACGGTCTTCATCGAGATCATCCAGCGGAACAATTTTGCCGGATTCGGCGCTGGGAATTTCAAGGCGTTGTTCGAGGCAATTGAGAGGGAGCAGATGGCTCGAGGGAATTTGTAGCCGAGGGGGACCGTCGTCGTGAGTGAATTGGCCTAGGGGGCCTCGGAGAGTTGGTTGCGCAGCCACAACCACGACATGTAGGCAAAGCAAAGTTCATAACAGAGCAGAACAGCATAACGTGCGAGAGAAGCAAACAAGACTGTGTACCTGTCGTAGGTTGTAGGTTGCAGGGCTGAGGTATAGTTGCATAAGGTAGGCTACATTAGGTACCTGGTACCTTATGAATAGTACTCCGTACTATAGGATAGAGAAATGCCCGGAGCCGAGGTTGTCTACACGGAACAACATTTCTCCGACCCGGCGGGCTTAGGCTTGAGACTGGCAGCCTGCACCGTCCATGCACCGCACCTGGAACTATTTACTACTACAACCTCAGCCTTCATCGTCGCCAATGCTGATCTGTGCGAGACACAACAATGTTATGAGGCATCGACACAGGCCATGAGTGCGAGTCTAGCTCAGTCACGGGTTCGACAAGCCTGCGAGCCATGCAGGTAGGTCTGTCGTGAAGTTGAAGTTGTCGTACGGGTGACCGCCTGGCTAATCAAAGGGCGAAGGAGGAAGAAGACCAAATGTCCGGGCGAGAAGCCTGTTTGTTCCTTCTGTGGTCGCCTCAATCAAAGATGCACCTACGGCAGGCCTTCAGATGCCCCAGGTCTGCGGGTCCAGAAGGGCCATCGAACCGACCCTACAAAGGTGCGAGCCGTACTCCCTAGCCCTCCTAGAATCCTGAACTGAAGGGGTCGCTGACCACGCCGGAGTGAGCAGGGGAGAGACCACTCTGGAGATCGCCTTCAGAGTTTGGAGGCTCGGATGGATGAAGTCATGGGTGCGGTCAGGTGTGTGCCAATCTGCCAAACTCGATTCGAGACACTGAGGGTGTAGTACTCTCATCGAACGACAATCAGATCAGTCGCAGTCGGGAAGGCACCCAACCTCGAGTCCCCCAGACGAACCCGTCTCAACTCCACGCCAATACCTGAATGAGGTCGACAGTTGGCATAACGGATGCACAGGCTTTGACGCGGTGAACAGGTCTGGCAGCATCACGCCACCTCGAGCATGTTCTGACCAACGCCAGGCCATACCCTCCGTCCAGTGTGCTCCAAAATCTGGTGAATGTCTACATACAAAGAATCTCCGATCAGCCACTGCCGCTCTTCGACGTCAACAGCTTGCCAACCTACGCAGCGAGGTTCTCTCCTGCTCTTCTGAACAGTTTTCTTGCATTGACCGTCAGATTCTCCGCTGACGACTTTTACAAGTCTTGTAGACCCACTGCTGTGGAGTTCTACAGCCACACGGCTCGAAAACTGCTGTTCACTCTGATTGCAGAGCCGACAGGCGCCTTGGACGTGCTGCAGGCATTTTGTTTGCTCTGTCTCAACGAGATCGAAGGTAAAGGTGTCCCTAGTCGGGCACAGTCATGGACTGACCTGTTGCAACTGCAGGTGGTAGAATGGCGAGGGCTTGGATGGCGGTGGGAATAGCCGCAAGGCTCGCCATTTGTGCAAACATGTCCAGATCGGAGATGGGGAGATCTGTCACGAGAAAGTCCGATCTGTCTCGGTGTTATTGGAGTATCTTCATTCTCGACCGGATCCATGGAAGCAGTTTCCGGGCATTGCAGGCCATCAGCGACGAAACAATTCTTCCTGAAATGCCCCCATGCGCCAAACAGCCAAGAATTTCCCTTACTCTGCAACATGTCTTAGATAAAGCGGGCGACTCACCCGTGGTTGACGAAAACGACAACGGCATCAACTCGTACGCCTTGCAGCTGTTGTCCACCTGGGGTCGCCTCATGGTGTATCTGAAGACCATTCGAAAAGGCAATCTTGAGGATGCCTGGGTGGCCAACTCTACATATCAACAGCTCAAGTCGGAAATGTCTCGATTTGAAACGGTCTTCCCGGAAGCGCATCGGTTCAAGTACGCTAGGTTTCATGAGAGGACACCAGATGGGCTATCCCGCGACCGAGTATACTGGGCCTCGTGGATATTTACCCAGTGTCTCTACCACACTATTCACTGTACCCTAAACCACCCCTTCCTTCACGTGGTGAGGATCCACGGTCGTCAAAGACTGCGCTCACCGTCGTTTTTGCAACATGCAACAGACCAGGCTATCCTACATTCTGCGTGGGTTGTCCACGTCCTCACTCTGTCACAGGAACGGGACTTTACCATCCACGACCCCTTCATTGGGCACATGGCTTCGATGGTTGCCACAGCGCAGTTCTTCCTACGATTTTCGAAAGATGACAACTTGGCGAAGAAGGCCTCCGATGACTTTGATCAGCTTCGCCGGTTTGTCGAGGACATGGGACAGGACCATCCGCATCTTCAGCATACGCACTCTAAACTCTCTAGACTGGCCCAGCTCGCCGACCCTTATGTAGACTCAATACAGGCGCCCAGCCCTCCCAAGGTTGAGACTGCCTTGATTTGGGATTTACTCGACTACGCCGTCTCCTCGTCAAGGACTATTAGCAGCGGCGGATCCGACAATGTTGAGCTCAGTGTCAATACCCAATTTCTATGGCCGCCGAATCAAGATACATCACAACAATTCGCCGTGGATGGACGAGCGAGCACCACCGCACCTACGGCCATATTTACAACTCCGTGGGACCATCCGCCCTTCGAGTTTGACATGGCAGACTTCTCCAACTTTCCCGACATGTCCACGTTGACCATTCCTGGAGATGCTTGGACAAACGGCTATCTTTGAGCCTGCCGCCTTCACAATCCTTAAACACCCGACGCCATCTCGCTCCGATCATTTTCTTCCACAAAAGCCCGTAGGTGTAGCAGCAACGTGGTTTGGAACCGGGGAGGAACAGCATTGCCGATCTGGCGGACCTTGTCGGTATCTTTTCCGGCAAACCGGAACTCGTGCGGGAAAGTCTGGAGGCAAGCCAATTCCCGTACGGTGTACGGCCGTGTACCACTTGGGTGGTACACTTTCTCGCTACCTCCCCCGGTGGTGACAGTACCGGCCAGCCCTGTCGCATTTATCGCCGCCTTGGGCGGATTGAAGTGCCGTCGCTGGCGGTGGTGCAGCGCTCCACGGTCGATATTGTCAATTGCCGAGGAGATTGACGGCCACGGCTTTAGCCCGGGCTCGGGGCCGTGCGTGGGCGACACGAAAGGAGGGAGTGTTTCTCCTGGGCTTGAATATATATTAGTGTATTTTCCAGACAAGTGGGAGTGTTCTTACCCGGAAGCAATGACGATCAATCGATCACGAGTTTGCGGCACCCCGAAGCTCTTCATGTCGACGATTTTCCAGCGCACGCTATATCCATTGTCGATGAACATAGTCACAAGCTTTCGTAGCCAGTTGTGGTGCCTCGGATGTTCCATCCCGGCGGCCTCTTCGAGGGTGGCTATGCGTGGCTTCGAGACGTTCAGGATGTCGTAGACACTAGTCAAGGCAGCCGTATTTATCTCATTGAGCATCTCATTCGGTGTCGTATTGGCCGGAGAGAATGGTTGGCACGGGGGACTGAGGTGGGCAATGTCGACCAGAAAGCTATCGATCGACCGTCTTGCTGCGGCGAGGAAATCTGAAACATGCTCGTGGCGTGCTTGAACCTGGTGGCCTTCCACTCCCTTACCAAAGTTGAGGCGGTAGGTGCGAATAGCGGCTTCGTCGAGATCAAACGCCCACTTGGGTACAAGGCCTGCCTGAACTGCGCCGCACGTAGCGCCTCCGGCGCCACAGAACGAATCGCCGAAGGTGTACTTCCGCACAATATCGAACCCTCCGTTGTCGTTGACCGCGTGGGTCTTGCTGCTCCCCAGCAAGTCCTGGTCCGACTCGGGGCCACGCCATCTCTTTCGGATCTCAGGATCGGGAATGCCAAGTACGACCTCCTTTCCGACATGTTTTGTTCGCCCAAATGACTCATCAGCCTCGTTCGATCGGAGCCGTTCGATCTTGCCGACCCTATGTCGGTACGGATCGTCAGGCTTTCTCCTCAGATCGGGCGGCGGCAAGCTGTACTTCCAGCGGCAGAAGTAGACTGGTCGGCGGTCGTCGTTGTTGCATATGATATGGCTGACGTTAAGGTCGCGGTGCATGTGGTTGGTGAACAGGATCTTGCAGTTCCTCACAACGTCTCGAGGGTGGTACCCGACCTTCTTGGGGCTCTCTTCCATGTCGTGGTTGAAATACATCTCCCACACCAGTTCGCCTTCCGTCTCAGGCATGAGGATCTCTGGTGCAGTGTGTGACAATAGGCGTCTTCCCTGAATGTATGGCTCATGAAAGTTATCGTAGCCGGTGGCCTCGATCCGGAGAAACGAGCCATCCTGTAATTCCACATCTCTGCCTGGCGTCAGGTCAGGTTGACCAGGTCCTGGCTGCGTGGCGCGTCTGTGTGCATGAGGAGAAATCTCTTCGAACTCGACCTCGTCGTCTTGCATTACCACATCATCATCCTCGTCCTCGTGCATTACAACATCAACATCTTCTTCTTCATCTTCGATCAGAACAGCTGGAGTGTTGGCTGTAGGTCTTCTGTTGCGTATTTCTTGCATGACAACATCATCATCATCGTCCTCGATCAGAACAATTGGCAGGTTCTGGGGAATGTTGGTTGTAGGTCTTCTGTTGCGTGTTTCTTGTCGATTTCCTATCAACTCCTCCCGCTTGACCTGGTGATTGATAGTTGCAGGTCTTTTGATGCGTGTTTGTTGTCCATTCCGACCTGCCCCGGGCTGGGACACCGGCACAGAAGACTGGGCTCCCATGGCTTTTGAACCACCTTCACTGTTTCAGTGGGAGGAGTGAGAATTCGAAAGTGTGGCGTACAGGAACAGGGCGCGAGGTGTATGTAAGGCCTTGAACCTGCCTGTGGTCCAAAGACAGTGCGGTCAAGCCTACAACGCAAAGAGAGTGGAAGAGATGCGGGACAGTGCGAGTAGAGAAGAGTCAGTGGGTAGAGGCTGACTGCCACCGTGGCCGAGGAGTGTTTGTGATAGAAAGAGGTTCTGAAGTGTCTGAAGGACAGAGTAATGACTGGAATGAGAGGTGTGTGATAGAAAGAGGTTCTGAAGTGTCTGAAGGACAGAGGAATGGTTGGAATGAGAGAAGGCGTCCTAATTCAGACGGTGGAGGGTGAGGGTGATCAAGTAAGATCCGCCAAAACAAAGAACCAACAAGCTCACGACCACAACGCTCAGTGAATGAGGCTTGACAGTGAGGAAGAGGTGTGATCAGACGAGAGAATGATGTGAGAGAGAGAGTGAGAGAGGAAGAGACACGCAGAGAAGAGACACAGAGTGAGAGACTTCCTGTGGACTTGTGCCGCGGGTAAGAAAAGAGAAAGTTAGGCTGGGGAGGGATCGAAGAAGAGATCATTCTGAAAATCTTTATACAGAGGAGCGTGGACGCGGCTTCAGCAGCGCAACGTTACGCCGTGAGCGTTCCAAGGTCGTAATAGCTTCGTATCAATCCTCCAGGGGAGATGGTTCAGTGAGACAGAGGCACAAAGCCTGCTGAAGGGGAACCGACACAACCCATATGTCTGGGATTGTTCTGGGAAATGCGAACAGACCTTGAAAGACCTCTGTCTATCATGATAATGCAGTCCTTCAAGGAAGTTTCCAGCCCCATTACCTACCCCCTGTATGCGAGGCCTCTTCCGGATGTTGGCTGCCTGTGATTTTTTCATTGTGCCGGCGGCATGAGACATACAGCACGCAACAGCAAACATTGCGCGCCTCTCCTTTCTTTAGGAGAGAAAAGACAATGCAAGATGTCTGGCTCGGGAACCAAGAGAACACCACGGTCTCTTCAATGAGGGTTTTGTGCTGCTTTGGCAGTGAGAGAGGTCGTTTGATGATGCCGGTGCTGGAGGGTGAGGATTACTACGTCTAATGTCTAGCAGCACGAGGCTGAGAAAAGGGGGTTCAGACAGCTCGCTCTACCTTCCGTTCGCTCCACCTTCCTCTCTGTCGCCGCCGAGCCTCTAATGCTTGCCCGATACGCGATAAGCGATAAAGCGGAGGACGGAGTTAGTCGCACGGAGTACGGTCGGGAGAAATCCCCGTGACTCAGGTCTCGGGTCACGGGTGTGGCCAGAGAGAGATTTTCCGCATCGCAAAACTGCACAACCATCCACCAACCAGCAGGCACAGAAATGCGGGCAAAGCAATGGGCCTCCTAAATCTTTGGTGACCATGCGTGCCTTGCCGGGACGCTTGCTTGCTCCTCGCCGCCGCCGCCGCCGCCGTCCAGAGAAATCCTCCATTGCATTCTGAACTGCTGTTGTCTTCCTAAAAATTTAACACCATGTCGTCTGTCCGGACTTTCCAGCTGTCGCAGCCCCCCCAGTGCTCCCGCCCACCTCGTCGTGCGGTCCTTCAACTTCAGGTTCAGGCCTGTCGCATCGCCTTCATACCCACTGCCCCTCGGTCCGAAGCGAACTAGTCCTTGAGTCTTCGCCCATCCTAGATTCAATCTTTGTCGCGTGCTCCCAGCCATCGACTCCTTCGAACGAGGTCCAACCCTCTTGTCATGATCATCTAGGTGCGTTACGCGTCCCCGGCCTTCTTTCCCACAGGATGATCCCCATACTTGATTAAAGATGTTAGACTTCAGAAAAATCTTGTTGAAAAAATCGGGTCTGATCGGACAGCATTTGGCGCGAACAAACGTGCGAGAAATTTGAAGAAAGTGTTTGGCTGACCCTTCGGTGCAGAGCTCTTCGACCCCGACTCAAGATGTGTGGCATTCTTGCTTTGATCCTCGCCAACACGTCGGCCACGTCGGCCGCCATCGACCTCCATGAAGCCCTGTATCTTCTGCAGCACCGTGGACAAGATGCGTGTGGGATTGCCACATGTGCAACAGGAGGAAGAATATACCAGTGCAAGGGAAATGGCATGGCCGCCAAGGTATTCCATGAGGGCGCAAGAGTCGTCGACCTGCCTGGCTTCATGGGCCTGGGTCATCTGAGATATCCCACCGCAGGCAGTAGTGCCAATGCCGAAGCCCAGCCATTCTACGTCAACAGCCCCTATGGAATCTGTCTGGCACACAACGGCAACCTGATCAACGCTCCCGAATTAAAACGACATCTGGATCTGGAGGCACATAGACACATCAACACCGACAGTGACAGTGAGCTCATGCTGAACAGTTTCGCCAATGAGCTGAACGAAACTGGTAAAGCTCGTGTGAACGACGATGACGTCTTTGCCGCCCTGGGCAGAATGTACGAGCGATGTAAAGGCGGTTGGGCATGTACTGCCATGATCGCAGGCTACGGTCTGATCGGGTTTCGAGACGCCTTTGGCATCCGTCCTCTGGTGCTGGGATCCCGCGACTCGGCCGATGGCCCAGGAAAGGACTACATGATGGCTTCAGAGTCCGTCGCACTGGCACAGTTGGGATTCGATGTGATCCGTGACGTCCTGCCAGGCGAGGCCGTCATCATCCAGAAGGGTCATGAACCGCACTTCCGCCAGGTTCAAGCGCGCAAGGCGTACGCTCCCGACATCTTTGAGTACGTGTACTTTGCCCGTCCAGACTCAGTCCTGGACGGAATCAGTGTCCACCGTAGTCGACAGCACATGGGGGCAAGGCTGGCTGAACAGGTCAAACGCGTGCTCAGTCCGCAGGATTTGAAGGAGATTGATGTGGTAATTCCAATTCCAGAAACCTCAGTCACTTCAGCGTCTGTCGTGGCCCAGGCACTGGACAAAGAGTACTGCCAGGGATTTGTCAAGAATCGATACGTTTTCCGCACCTTCATCATGCCTGAACAGAAGGCCCGACAGAGGGGCGTCAGGCGGAAGCTGAATGCCATGGCCATGGAGTTCAAAGATCGCAACGTTCTGCTGGTGGATGACAGCATCGTGAGAGGTACAACCAGCCGGGAGATTGTGACCATGGCCCGAGAGGCTGGTGCCAAAAAGGTGCACTTTGCCAGTTGTGCTCCTCCAATCGCCCATGCCCACATCTACGGAATTGATTTGGCATCTCCTCTCGAGTTGGTTGCACACAACTACCATGGGGCCGAGGCCGTCGCCCAGCACATCGGAGCCGACAGTGTGGTCTACCAAACACTAGACGATTTGAAAGCGGCCTGTCTCGACGCTGCAAAGGAGGCCAACAGCCGGGATGCCCCCAAGGACTTCGAGGTGGGCGTGTTTTGCGGCAAATACGTCACGCCGGTCGACGATGATTACTTTGAACACCTGGAGCGCGTCAGAGGACAGACTCGCAAGATGAAAGTCATAGACCAGGCGAGACAGGCCGTTGCCCAAGGTGTGGCAGGAGAAGACCAGATCCGGCTGGCTACCAATGGGGCTGTGGTCAACCACCATGGCCAGGTGGTCCCAGCCGTCAACGGCAACTCGCGCAAACCTTCTGACCAGGGTGACGGGTCAGATCTTGCGCAGCGGGAGTCTGGAGCTGAGCACGAGCACGAGCACGACAGCCCTGATGTGCGAGAGCGAATGGATATCAGTCTGCATAACCTGGGGGATTTCCCTTCGGCTTGACCCAACTCACTGATTCTCTCCACCATTTAAGCTGGGAGGGCTGTGTACGGATACACACGGGGCAATCGGAATGCAGGTAGGGCGTCACCACTTGCAAAGAATTCATTGATTTTGACAACTTCGCGGGAAGCGCATGCTCCTTCCGGGACTGGTCCAGAAGTGTCGCCTGGTTCCCTTGGACCCATCACCGTTGCAGTAGCCACAATGGAGGAATCCCTTCCAAATCTTTGAATAGCACCTGCTCGTCCGGTATGGGCTGTCCGTGCGACGGTTCTTGCCTCGCATTGTCCCTGCCTCCTCCAGCAATAGACATATCTAAAACGCTGATTTTCTCACTCCGTCTTGTGGACTCCTCAGCTTGTGTTTTGACTTTCTTTTTGGAACCTCTAGCTGACGCGGAAGGCCTTTGGGAGTCCTTCATTGACCTCAGCGACGCTCGTTGACTCCATGATCAGACATGTATCTACCATTCCTCTTGCTAGCTATTTCCCTGCATGGACTGTCTGCTCTCGCGACTCTGGAGGCCGACATTGACGCGAACAACAAGGTCTCTTCCGCGGCAGACTCATGCCCTGGAAATCTCCCTGCGGCCCCAGACTTCGAATTTCCGCACCTAATTATCCCAATCTCGTCCAGCAACCCCAGTACTGCATACCCAAATACCCTGACTCCCTTCGTCACGGCTGGAGACATATCTGAGATCTTCAACTTTGACATTCCGCCGAGTCGAACGGGTCAGACCTGTTGCTTCCAATTCTTCTTCCCGTTCCTGGACCAGCTGAACACTTCGTACTTCCAGCTTCGGGGCTTTGGGACCTATAGCTTCTCCACGTCGCCTCTTGGTGACGGCGCAGTCGAGGGCAACACCACCTTCAACAATCGACCGCTCCCGGCGTACGTTCACGGCTTCCCCAAAGCCATCAGCATGCAACCAGGGCACGCGTACACGATCGGGACCACCCTCTGCGTGCCGGGGAGGATGAGCATAACGATGAGTAGCTCCGACAGCAATTTGGCGTGGTTCCAAGATTTCAATCCGTGTCCCATCGGGCTCTTCATCACCTACTCGCCATGAAGGCGGACAAGGGAACAGGCGGACGGACGCTGGACGCTGGACACTGGAGGGGAACTGGCGGGGTGGGCTCGGGGTAAGGCCAAATGGAGGGATCGCGATCATCCATGTCCCATCCGCACGTCGCCGAGTCGGGGGCAGGCTGGGGGCGACGGGCTTTGGGGATTGGTAGGACGAGGAGGAGCAACAGGCAAGCGTTGCCTTAGGGTCGATAATAGCGGTAGTGGGCTCTGGGCAACACCAGCCATCTGCATGAACTGATGCCAGCCTTACAGTTTGAAACGTAGGTGCGTACTCCATACGGATACTGCGTACTCTGTAATGTACGTACTGCTGCCGAGGAGGCTGGTTGTTGGTGGGGCGCAGTCACAAGATGCGCTGCGCTGCTTTCTCTGTTTAGATTGCATCGCATGTCTGTCTCGCAGCGAACTAACTGCACCATCCTTCACCTTCACCTCTTGCTACTACAACCGTCGTCGCCCATTTCTCCTCTCTCCTCTCTCAGCCTCTAATCTGTGCGTGTCTGTCCAGGCATTGACTCGGGTCAGATCTGCGCCCAAGTCGATGGAAGCCCTGTCGCGACATCGGATTTCCTCTCGACGACGACGGCGGTCTTGTCTGAGGCTATCCGCCTTGAGCTGACCGACCAGGTGGCATGCTGAACACGTACCGATAGAAACATCCTCTGGGATACGCACGGACACAGACGTGGACACTTCTTCACAATGTCGCGCCCTCCCGTACCGCGTTCCTCTGTCGCCAGTGGCCTTGCACCTCCCGCTCCACCCCCGGGTTATCCTCCCAGCATGCACGGATCAGGCGTGCTTCCCCCACCTCTCAGCGCAGCACCAAGTCGACCGCACTCACGGATCGAGCCGCCCCCGTTGAGCTCGACTGCTGGTCCGATGCCCGGGACACTTGAGCGACCTATCGCCGGGCCGCGCAAGAGACTCATTGTCACATGCGACGGCACCTGGCTTGACTCTGACAATGGATTGATGAACGGTCAAAAACAACCGCCATCCAACGTGTCGCGAATAGGCTGGGCGATTAAAGACACGTCAAGAGATGGGATCCCCCAAATCGTCAACTACCAGGCGGGAGTGGGCACATCTGGTGGGCCAGCGGCGCGAGCGGTGGGAGGTGCCACAGGGCTCGGGCTGAAGGAGAACATGCGCGAAGCATACACTTACCTGGCCATCAACTGGAGAACCGGGGACGAGATATTCCTCATCGGCTTCAGTCGGGGGGCATTCACGGCGCGAAGCATCGGTGGCATGATCGGGGCGTTGGGACTTCTCACCCGAGCCGGCCTGCCAAGTTTCAACGAGATCTTTGAAGACTGGCAACACCGCTACGACGAGCGATACGTGTCCAAATTCCCCAGTGTGCCGTTTCCCGAGAAGGGGCCATTTGACCAGCACTATGTGCACGAGCTTGCGAGGCGCGGGTTGACCACCCTCAACGTGCCCATCAAGGCCATAGCTTGCTGGGACACTGTCGGCAGTCTAGGCATACCGCGCCTGGGATGGATGGAGTCTCTTCACTTATCCAGCCCAAACATGCACAACTATGACTTCTACGACACCCGGCTACACCCGTGCATAGAAAACGCATTCCAAGCCCTGGCACTGGATGAGCGGCGCGCTCCTTTCTCGCCCGCTGTGTGGGAACGGCGCGACAACGACCGGACGAACCTGGTGCAGGTGTGGTTTCCCGGCGTGCACAGCAACGTGGGCGGTGGGTATGACGACCAGGAACTGGCCAACATCACGCTCGCTTGGATGATCTCCAAACTCGAGCCGTTTTTGGATTTCCGGCCAAACTTTCTCATGAGTCTGTGGGAAGAGAACCGCGCGTATTACAAGTCGACGGGCCAGAAGACGAGATGGTGGAGTTTCGGCGAGCTTTACAACTCTTTCAAGGGCTTCTACAGCCTAGCCGGCTCCAAGATACGAACGCCAGGCAACTACTACCGCACCGACCCGTACACGGGCCGGCCGATGAGCAAGAGACTGAGAAACACCAACGAGTACATCCACGCCAGCGTCCGGAGTCGTCTGGGTCTTCAAGGGCCTGGAGCCCAGGATCGGGGGGCGTACGATCCGCCTGCTTTGCGCGACTGGACGTTCGATTCCGAATTCGTCCCGCCCAGTGAAGGTGGCAACGCGAACGGACTGCTTGTGGTGTGGACAGACCGCAGCACGAAGCGCAAAGGCGGGCAAGACAAGATCCCGGAGGCGCGTCTGTCCGAGACCGAACTGGTTCTTCTCCAACGGAGCCCCAGGGTGTATGACTACATATCCAATCTGAGGCCGCCGTCGGCCCCGAAGGAAAAGAGGAGGTCGCGTAGACACGATAGCGTGCCGCCAGAAATGACCGGGGCTGGCGAACTCCCGGCACAGAACGGGCGACGGAGTGGAGTGAAACTGGATCCAGATGGTCTACCGGATACAGATGACGATAGACGACGGAGGAGGCGGAGAGAGAGTCGTGGCCCGGACCGGCAGAGACATCGACACAGTCGCCGGTATGACGACGATTGAGATACACACACCCGCCCACCCCGACCCACGGACACAGAACACAAAGGTTCGCGGAATTGTGCCAATAGTGGTCTATTTGACAACTATCGACCGTCTGAACGGCTGAAAGGGCCCCGGCATTACACATGTGTACAGCACAACAACCTTGGGACCAATCTGCGGCCATCTGCGTCTAGCTTGGTCAGATTATTCGCTCCAGACACGTCGACAAGATCTATCCCAAACACAGATCCTCGTACGTCTGGTCTCGAGCAACATCATACGAAGCAGCAAGAGTGATTGGAGAAACCTTATCATTGGCGAACAGGGCATTTCCTTTGTTTCCCTTCTCTGCACTGCACTACACCGCACCGGAGCCCAGTCGATGCAGAAGACGAAGACGCTGCTGAGAGAGCAGGTTTTGGCTAAATTAACTGAAGCAGGGGCAGATGCAGGAGCTGAATCGAAACGGGGCCGGGACAGGGACTCCCTGGTCGAAGTGTACCAACACAATGCGCTGGCTATCAGACCAGGCGAGTATACAGAACCAAGGTTCGACGGACGCCCGATTTTCCGGCTTCGGTTGACGCGAGAGGATCCCACCGACCGCACAAAGGCTCTGATATGATATGAGACGATAGCAGAAGATGAATCTGAGCAGATCGAACAGTTTCGGGTCCAATCTCAATCTCAATCTCAATCCCAATCTGTACTTTGATCCCAATCTGTGAGACTGGGCCGATCGCAACGCTAGCAAGAAATGACACGATACGATACCGAGTCCTGACGGCAAGGTCCAAGTGCGCGGATCAGGATCAGAATCGGATCGACATGGATGACGAACGAGATTCAGACCATTACGAGCCGACCCTGCAGGTGTGTAGGATCTTTTGATGGATGTTTGTCAACACAACGAACGGAATTGAACCTCGAAGATCTGGGATCTGGTTTCAATCATTGCCAATGAACTGGGAAAAGGAAAAGAGTACCTAGCCAGCTCGAAATGAAACCTAATTAGAATTAGGTTATGCCGGCCAAACAGAATACTATACGGATACGGATACTACTCTGTGTACTGTAGATAGTGATACTATACGGATACTACTCTGTGCTATAGTACCCGGGTATCCTTGAAGACCCAGCAGGAAGGGAAGTCGACTGTAACAGCTCGGTTGAGCCATCTATACATCCTAAATAGAGTCGAGGCGGATGCCACTACCATTCATGCAATCCGTACTCCGTCTGTCGACACCTACATTTCGATCCGCGCCCTAGGTCGACGGGAAGCAGAGCAGAGCACGTCCTTGTCGGCACGGCGCGAGTTCTGAGTTCTGAGATCTCTCCGCTCCGGGCGTTGTGGATTTGGGGTGAGCAGGGCTGCTGAGTTAGCTACAGCTACGACGGAAATGTGCTGCTTCAAACCTGAGCTGCCTTTCTCTCTCCGAGAAACGTGGCCACCCCCACCCCACCCCAGATCATCCTCCGGCGACTTGCGTCGACACATACATAGTTGGAGGACCACTGTACCAGCAGATCAGGTGAGTAGGGTGAGGAAGAACATGGATGCGATAAGGCTTTGCTGCTGAAGAGAAAGCACATGGCCTCACTCGGTCAGGGCGTCGGTGTGCAAGTTCGCAAGAACAGGATGCTGGTCGGCCTCGAGGGTGGCGGCGAGGCTTTGCGCCCGCCTTCTCCCGGCCACCCATTCCATGAACCCACCGTACGTCTGGGGCAGGACGCTGATGTTGTCGGGCGAGAAAAATGTGTAGTAGAATGTGCCAGTGGACTTCCTCTCTTTATCTTGATGCTCGACCGGTCTCACGTGCGTGCGGACCATGATTTGAATGCGGGTTCCGCCCGTGGGATCCGGCTCCGTGTACGATACGCTGGCTGAAACGTACAGCACCGAGCCTACGGGGACCGGTTCCTCAAACGTGCTCGGGTCGAGATTCAGGAAGCGAGGGCGCGTGTGCGAGAACGACGCGGCGCATGTGAAGGCTAGCTCAAAGGTGGTTTTCAGCAGGAAACCGCCGAAGATCATGAAGTCGTGGCGGTTCCTGTTCTGCGGCTGCATGATCTGCGTGCTGTGAATGGTCGACTTCGACATGGCCTGCACATTGGGCGGCTGGTGCTTTGGATTTTGGGAATCCCGGTACGCCATCGAATCCGTCCACATCTTGTGGATGAGCGCGGATTCTTCTGCATCAGGGGCTTTGGCCAGAATATGAGAAGACTTCATCATCTTTTTCTTTCGATAATTCTCTTCGCCCTGGGCGAACAAAGCCTTTTCAGCCGGGGTAGTGACTTCCAACGGCGCAATGTTGACCGGCTTTTTGGTCTTCGGATCCAATGCCACCATGGTGAAGGCACAAGTCATGAAAACGTCCTCCGGCGCGACTGGCTGGCCTTCCTGAGACGCTTTGGCAATCTGAAGCGTCACCTCCATGCTACTCCTGCCGGTCGCAAACGAGACTTGTCCACTCAATTCCAGATCGCAGATCTCTCGAATGGGATTCTTGATGGTGATACGGTCGACGGCGGCCGTCACGTTGCTCACTCCCTCACCGGTATGTTTGTACGCCACGACGCCAGCCAACGCATCCAAGTCCATGAGCAGACTGCCCGTACGGATCTGCCCCGTGTAATTGGCATAGGTGTCAAGCAGCCACGGATCTTGCTACAGTGATAGGATCAGCCAACATGCCAACCGGCTGTACCGTTAGGAGCACTGACAGACAACGGCAGAACAACTCTGACATAACTATCCGACATCTTCTTCGGGGTCAGGTCGGGCTTAACACGTTCCACGTCTGATGCGTCAGGGTCGGTTCCCCCTTGTTTCTTCCTTCGTAGCGCCTCTATCCAGGGTGTCCGAACTCGCATTTCCGTCAGCTCCTTGTAAACGCCGTCGGTAAGGCAATCTGGACTCGAGTGGAACGCGCGAAGAGCTGCGTTTTTGCTGACGGTGAGGGATGGCAGCGCTCGGCACAGGGCTTTTGCCCGCAACACACGAGGCAACGGGCTTAGAGACATTGCGGAGGACGGAGACGGAGATGGAAGGTTGGGCTCTGAGGGCTTGCAGTAGCAGTCAGCAGTATCATGCCAGTAGAAGCCCAGTCATGTCGCTGAAGCTTTGAAATAAAATCGCGTGCGATACTCCGTACTGATCCCACCATTGAGCAACTGCGGTCGGCGGAACGAAAGTCCGCTCCGAGCTCGGCCTGGCTTCCTGTTGTCGAGTACACAGCAAACTACTACTACACAGCTAGCTGTTCGTTCGAGATCATCCACAACCCTCTCATAATGTCCCATCTGCCATGAGTCTCGTCAGCTGCCGTTGTGTCCTCCAGTAGCATGCAGGAAGCTTCCTTCCAGCTGGGAGAGAGCTCATTTGTGCACCGCAAATCTGGTGTCTGCCTGCGGACGAGGGCCAACATCGAGGTACTGTGTAGGAGGGAGGGTCAAGCCTCTACGGCTACGGCAGAGTCTCACCATTTGCTTCAGCCCATGCATGCCTGGTTTCCTCGTGCCAGAAACATCCGCCTATCGCTTCATGTCTCCTTCGCTGACGATCTAGAGCTGACACCACTCGCTGGCAGAGATGTCAAGACCACCATCGCAAAGAATCTCGAAAATGCTGATGTAAGCCTGTCAAAGGTCTCACCGGTCTTATCTCACCCTTACTGATCCTGATGAGTCAAGTTGTGGAAGCAGCTTGGTTACGAGGCCTCTCTGGACCCATCGGTGAGCCACCACCAGAGGGTGGATTTTGACCTTTGTGTACGCCAGACCCTCCGAGTCAGATTGTTACTGATCTAACCCAGTCCCAAAGACACAATGGTTCGTCTGCATTATGTCCCAATGGTATCTCCCCCAAAATCCTGAGGTCGATCCACCTGCATCTGCACTTCGCGGGCCCGGTTCGGTCGGCTGAAGAGCTAGAAAAGACACCTGGCGTGCGTAGGGACAACCAAGAGTTAGATGGCACTCATCTGGGCTTGCTAGCCCCACAGAAACAGGTCGAGGCCTTCCTTCTCCCTGCATTGAGACATACAGAACCGAAGCATGGCCGCCGCCCGCCTGTACTGACACCGGGGTCCCCCGGTTGCCGAGTTGAGGAAGCCTACTCTCTTGTTCCACGGTTGCAGAAGCCTACGAAGACAACTTCATTGGACGAAGTAACACTCATGGCATTGTTTGATGCCGGATTTCGCAGCAGTATTGCTCCTAGACCAACCCGACTGGCCGCAGGAGTCAGACTGTCGTCTGAGCAAGACCTACTTCGACTTTGTGACATCGCCCCCACCAGTTTCACCCCCCATTACACGCAAAAGTTCGAGGACCAGGCCAAGTTCACCTCAGGCATCTCTAGATTTCTTACCGCCTTCCTTGCAGCTTCAAGATCTCGGACTCCTGATGGCCACGTTGGACAGAAAGGAGCCTGCTCTCAAGAGAAAGAGGAATGTGGTGGATTCAAATCGACGACAGAGTTGCAGAAGGACCTCTGGGAGACCATCGCCAGCGGCGTGCAGAATCACGAACTTGCTCGAAGACTGCGGCCTTTGTGGTCGTCAATGACGGGTCATCCCTCTGGGAGACTTACAAAGCCTCCGGATCATACAGATCATGGGGCGCCTCTGCAAGATGAAAATCCATTTTGCGAGATTTCGAATCTTTCCTTGCACCAGCATTCAAGCTATCCGTCCACTGATGAGGAGGATCTTTTCGATTGCACTGCCAAGTTCGATAGACAGGCTAATCGATTTCCAGGCTGCATGCCCATAGCCACATATCAGGATAATGACGGCAGGCACAATGCAGTAGCAATGGACATTTGCGATGCAGAAATGGGAGATCCCAGGTCCAATCGATACTGTGAAGCCGACAGCTTAGTGGATTCACATGACAGAAACAGAGGTCGAACGGGCAGCATGTCACAAACGAGTGACGTGTCAACGTTTATGACTCTCGAACAACCTATAGAAGAGGCACCCATAATCGGGCAGCCCGGTGTCATTGGTGGACCACGTTGGCTTGCCCAGCATATCATCCGCACGCATCCGCTGAGGCAGCATGAATCAGAAGTCTCTTTGGCTGAGCAATGCGACCTCAACGGGAAGGGGCACAGCTTATGTGAGAGGGCCGGCTGGCGTTGGTCAGAGGAGAGTCTGTCAAGCGAAGGGTTACTCGAATCACAAGTGCTTGGGCCTCAATATACAACACCCCAAGGAACTGGCATCTGCTCTTCTCTTGTCGACCTCCACAAACAACAACTGACCCCAGAGCTTCGGGACGCAGCGTACGGTTCAATTGAGCACAGCAAGTGCGACAGCACGCCCATACTTATGTCGGCACAGCAGGGCGCTTCCTCATCGAATGCACCATTGGCCGACGTTCTCGGAGATGATCATTTGTTGTGGTATATGTGGAAGAGACGAGCCAGTGTAGCTCTCCGTGGAGAAGAAGAAGTCCATGAAATGAGAAATATGTATGAGATGGATCCCGACATGAAAGTCTTTGGGGCAGGATGGGGGATCGATCTCAGTGACATTGGTCCAGAAAGTAACGAGGATCCTATGCTCCAGGACAACATGGAGAACCCATCTCCCATGGGGGACGACACCCAGCCACCGACGCCCACTTCAGAAAGACGGTCATTTTTCTCACCGATACGGTCCGCTTCCTCCTCTTCGGCCGTCGGATCACGCAATTCAAGCTCAAAACTTCACAGTCGAGGCAATATTCTGAAACGGTTCTCCTGGGGAGTCCGTAGACACGCTGTCGAGGTGACAGAGTTCGACGCGGCTAACCCAGGTGGCCGGACGATCGAGGTGAAACGAAGAAAGACCTTGGATGACTATGAGATGATGGATATGGAGGCCAGCAACGATGATTCGAACGAGATGCTCTTTTGACGCGGCAGTAATTTGCACAACAGACGGCGTTCAGGTGATGACTTCAATATCTCAGTAGGCGAGAACGATGAGTTGGCGCACTGCGTCTTTTCCTAGTAGTAGTTACCCGGGAAAAGCTCTCGCAAAGACAGGTAGGGGGGCCAGGCGAGTAATACAATGTTAGCATTCCAATCGACAAGTGCGGAACCACTTGAACCCATCTGGCGTCGGCTTCTTAGTTCAATTCAGCTGCTCTCTGCTGGCGATGGTGGCTAAGGCTTCCTCAAGCCTTCCCTGCGCTGAGCGACCACACGGCCGGCGGATTGACGGGCGACTCCTCCATCTGCACTTTGTCAGGGTCGACGAGCAGATTGACAGATAGAGACTGGCAGGAGACTTCTGAGGTCCGACCACCGAAAGAGGTAGCGAGCTTGTCAAAATTTGAATCCACACCAGCAAGCCACCGAGGTCACACACAGCTCTCGATACGACATCATCACCTCCAACTCCTCTACCAGCTCTTCCTCCCAATCCCGGTGTGCACAGTCGCCTACGAAACCAAGGACCTGCATAGGCTACCATTCCCTGACCTGCTGTCCACTGGTACAGCCCCTCCTTATGATTTTATTCTTACCTTATTGTGTGTAGAGCTGCCCCTCCCGCACGAAAGCAAAGCTGGCTTCTCAGCAATTTGCCCGTCTAGAAGTCCGGCAGACTACTCTTTGGCAGAGAACTCTTGGTGGGATTCCGGGTACTGAACAATATAGGGCACGAGCAAAACTGTCACCAAACCCTCGCATTCCTCTCCTCTACCTTGCCTCGGGCGTGATCCTCCTCCTCGTCCTCCTCGCCCAGCTCTTCCCACATCGAAGAGACATCCCGCCGCACCTCCCGCCGACTACTCAGCAGACACGACATCATTTGAGCTCCTTCGGAGACAGTGTCTATAGGCAAGAGGCGTACTTCGAACAGCTAGAACCCGGCACACAGTGCAAGCCAAGGTCTTTGTTTTCCCTTCCCGTCACAAGTGCCCCGACCAACATGGCGCTCGAGGCGGAGACCAAACGCATGGTTGCACAGTTTGAATACCCCGCCGAAGAGGTGAACAAGGGAGTCAAAGAGTTCATTCGGCAGATGCAAGAAGGTCTAGAGGCACAAGGAACAACACTCAGCCAGATCCCAACTTACGTCACCTCGGTCCCCAATGGCACAGAAAAGGTAGGGAGACAACAGCGCCATCTGGCGATTCGGCTGACCGCTCTAGGGTGTATATCTGGCCGTCGACCTCGGTGGCACCAACTTCCGAGTTTGCTCGGTCACTCTGCACGGGAACCATTCCTTCTCCCTTCAGCAGTCCAAAGTGGCCGTGCCAAGGTCTTTGATGGAGGCGGAGACTGCCCACGAACTGTTTTCGTTTCTTGCCAAACAGATCGAAAGTTTTCTGAAATCGCACCATAGCGACCATTTCGAGAAGCACAAGAATGTGCCTGCCGCCGAGGACTTCTTCGACTTAGGCTTCACCTTCAGCTTCCCTGTCAATCAGATTGGCATCAACAAGGGCAAATTAATGCGATGGACCAAAGGCTATGATATCGAAGAAGCCGTCGGGAAGGATGTCTGTGAGCTGCTGCAGCAGGAAATCGATGCATTGAAACTCCCCGTACGGGTAGCAGCTCTTGTCAACGACACCGTGGGTACCCTGATGGCTCGATCATACACCTCGCCCGGCAAGATCAAAACGTTGATTGGGGCCATTTTCGGCACGGGCACCAACGGGGCCTATGTCGAGAGACTGGAGAGAGTCACGAAAATGAAGGCGATCGACGAGGAGCAAGGCGGCATCACCAACTACGACCCGTCCACGGGGCTCATGATTATCAATACTGAGTGGGGTAGTTTCGACAACGGGTTGCGCGTCCTCCCAAGCACGCAGTATGACATTGACTTGGATCGAGAGTCGGTAAACCCCGGGCTGCAGATGTTCGAAAAGCGCGTGTCGGGGATGTTCTTGGGAGAGATACTGCGACGGGCCTTGCTCAGCCTCCATGAGCATCCCGATGCAGGCGTGGCCTTGTTCAAGGACGCATCGTCCCTGGACAATGATGTTAGGAGCACCACCACGGTGGGTGAAGACAGTCCCCTGCACAAGCAGTGGGGTATCGACACCTCCTTACTCTCTATCGTCGAGGAAGACCAGTCCGACCACCTCCGAATCACCAAGCAGACCCTAGAAAAGGAACTAAAGATTGAAGCGGCATCCACGGAGGACTGTGTAGCGGTCAAGACGCTCGTTCACGCCATTGGGAAACGCGCCGCCAGACTCAGTGCGGTTGCCCTGGGGGGTATTATCCTCTCAACGAACAAGCTGGAGGAGGACGAGATTGTGGATATCGGGGTCGATGGCAGTTTGGTCGAATACTACCCAGGATTCGAGGATTACATCCGAGAGGCGTTTCGGGAAATCAAAGGCATTGGGGAGAATGAGAAACGGATCAGGATCGGCCTGGCAAAGGACGGCAGTGGTCTTGGAGCTGCTCTGATTGCCTTGGTCGCCCACAATGCTGAACCACAGTGAGAAAGATGGGTATCTAATGGTTGTAGAAGGTGTTGTTTCCTGACGAGCGTCAACTTCAGCACCTTGTATTGTTATGAGAGACGCCATAAAATTCAATTCGAGAATATGAGCACTTTAATACCGACCATGACCCGTTAAATATGCGTTGATGCGTGGAATCGAGCGTGCCGTGTCGTGGGCCCGTTGGAAGATAAGATGGAATTATTGCAGCACCTGCAGTATATGAGATAATATGACATGTCCAATGAGGCTGCCATTTCACATTCGAGACGGGCCAGTCGATGACTCCACCAACATTTGGGCACATTCAGAAATCGACAAATTGCTGCTCACCCAACACCTGAACCGTCATCGACCGGTCTGACGTCCGTCCATATTGCGAACAGTACCTAAGGGACCCTTCAGCGACGCTTGATTGTCCCTCCTGCCGACGCAACCATTACTGGCATGAGTGGCGATCTCCAGCCGTGGGCCCTGCCCCGGCTCCAACGGCTGCTCCCCATCGACGACGGCTCGCTGAAGGAGATCATCACGTATACATCGAGCCTTCCAAAGGCTGCAGCTGCCGATCATCTCAAGAACCTACTGGGCGACTCACCGCAAGCCCTGGAGTTCATCTCGTCCTTCAACGCGAGACGGGCAAATATCTCATCCGATCCGGCTCCATCCTCAGTCTCACGCGGCGAAGATGGTTTCCCACCTCCGAAGAAGAAATCAACGAAGAAATCAAAGCCTCCTCTCCACTCTACAGGTCCTGCACGCCGTCCTGAAGGCTACGGCAACGTGGCTGGTGGATACAAAAAACACTACGAGGACGATAGCCATTCTTCAACCCAGAGACCAACATCACGCGACCACAGCGCCGCTCTTCTCTCAGAAACACCTGAGGCGTGGCAAGCACCGTTTTTAACAGAAAGCCAGACCGCGGGCCTGCCGTCTGGAGACGTTTCACCAGCTAAACCGTCACAGAAGCTACCACCATCCGCATCTGGGCAGCTGATATCTGACTTCGGGTTTGCAAATGTGCGGGCGAAGCAGTCCAAGAGGCCTGTGCATGCCACCCACCCACAACCACAGTCTGGAACCTCGACACCGAACAAGGCCGGTGCCACGACAACTACGTCAAGCGTGGCCGACTTGACAGCAGCCATCGCGGCTCTGGAGCTCGCTACAAATCCGACGTTGTCTACCAAGAGGAGAAAATGCGATTGCAACGCTTCAATACATCCTCTATTTACAACCGCACCAAACTGTCTCAACTGTGGAAAGATCATATGTGCCTTGGAAGGACTTCAGCCTTGTTCGTTCTGCGACACGCCGTTACTGACCAAAGACCAAGTCAACGACATGATAAAGGCGTTGAAGGAGGAACGAGGGATCGAGAAAATGGCGGCCCACAATGCTGCACAAGCTCAATCAGGCAGGGGCACGCCGGTCTTTGGTGGTTCGACACCAGACAGTGCTTCTGGAGATGAGTTGTCCTCTGCGGCTTCTCGGGCTCGAGCGCATCGAGATAAGCTGTTGGCATTTCAACGGGACAACGCACAACGGACGCGAGTGTATGACGAAGCCGCAGACTACGATATGAGTTTAACACCGGGTGCCACGCAGTGGATGAGTCCCGTCCAGCGGGCTGCGGCACTAAAGAAACAGCAGAAGTACCTGCGGGAGCTGGAAGAGGCCAGCCGTCCGGAATGGGAAAAGAAGAGGACGGTGATGAGCATGAGTATCAAGAATGGGAAGCTGGTCAAGACATACGGGCACGGGAAAGTACCGACAGCGGCCGAGAAAGACGAGTCGGCCGCGCCTACGGATGATGAGGACGAAGGCGACAGTCAAGACCAACACCTTAGTCTTGGTGGCAAAGACGCCTTCAGCAACAACCCTTTGCTGGCTACTGGGAAGCTCATCCGTCCCGTGTGGAAGGCTCCCGAGGGATCCGAGAAAGGCAAGAGCGCTGACACAGATGGTCAGGTCCCAAGGAAAAGTGTGTGGAGAAGAGTTCAGGATGACAATGTTGATAACGAGCACTGGATCTTGGATGGAGGCCTGCATGGATCCGGAACAGAGAGTACTACTTAGTACATAGTAGATCGGTGGAAGACAGAAGCAAGTAGAGGTGCAGATGAGACACGCACCACTCTACTCTGTATATGGCAATGCTCCAGAAACCTCAGATGGATTGTGACAGATACGAAGAGACGATATGATGGTGTTGATAGGTAGGTATCAAAATCTACCAATTGCACCACTAGCCTCGGAGTAGTCAGCCACTGCCAAGCCTCTAACATGAGGCACCAGGTACCGATCACGTGGATCCGAAGCATTAGTACTACTAGTAGCAGTCTGAAGGACGCTAGGAGCTCTTTAGCCACAAATCTAGTCCAGATCTAGCGTAGCAGCGCCACGATGACTCCGGGTTGTCTCCTGCCAGGGCGCGCGCCATCTACGCACGCCAGCCAGCATTGGACCAGCTATCCTTTTGCTGCCACCTACCACCCCATGGCTTTGTGATGACCCCAGCAATACCCTGTCACGCCCGCGTTCAATGTTATTTCTGCAGAATTGAAGAAAAAAGAGAGCCTCAAGGGGAGGCTTTTAACTGCCAACTTCCAACTTCCGCTCCGTCAATCTCGATATCTAAGACCCGTTGACCACTCTAGTCACCCGCCGCACTTCTGCCTCCGGGATTCCTCGTCAAGCCTCTCCTACCCCTTGACCACGACTGATCCACCCGCTGCGACCCCCCCTCTGCACGAGCCCTCTTCGCGCTCCTAATCCGAGATACCTGCCAAGCTACGAGACGAACGATCGATTTATCCAGGACCTAGACGCCTCTGCAATGGTCTGACGAGCGTCGACGTGCAAAGCCCACATCTTCCTCTTCCTCCTCGTCCTCCTCCTTCCAAACCTCGGCTGCACCGCCGACTATGCTGTGGATGCGCAGGCCACTCCACCGCGTGACTCTCCTTTTCGATGCTGGCCATTGAGACCATATCTGCCTCGGGGTTCCGGAACACGAGCAGCTTCGACGTGATGGATTCGGACGTTGCCCAGCTAGCAAATCCTCGGCCTATGCTTCGACCTGCAGACGCTACACGCCTAGGCCGACCCTTTCGCCCTGAAGACGCCGAAAGACCTCGAGCTCCGAGCGAGAACCCCAGGCCGAACGGTGAACGAACAACCCCATCCCCAGCCGTGGACACTTCTCCCCCCGTGGAAGACCGGCCGCCGGTACAAAACCCGAGGAACGAGCAGGCCTTGTTGTCCCTCGAGGACACCACTGAACTGTTTAGAAAAAGGGTCGCCGACGCCAGACAAGATACGGAGCATGCACTCGCCGGCGGTGAAGCAGTCAGCGAGGCGGTCAAGCCCAAGCTCACGCTTGACCTGGGCCACTCAAACATTGCAAGACTCCCCGAGAGTGTGGTCGACCTGATCAAGGCCGAAGTGGAAAGACTGTCCCTGTCACACAACCAGATCTGGCACATTCCTCTACGCTTCGCCGAATGTACCCATCTACGGTACCTCAACATACGTTCCAATGTATTCAGGGAGATTCCCCGAGGGGTGTACAAACTCGGTCAGTTGGAGATACTGGATATCAGTCGCAACAAGGTCCGCAGGATTTCGAGTGATATACGGAACCTCAAGTCTCTGCGGGTGTTCTCGATCGTGCATAACCGGGTGGAAGACTTGCCCACGGAACTGTGCGAGTTGAACAAGTTGCAGATATTGAAGATTGCGGAAAATCCTCTCCGGTTCAAGCTGAAAAAGATTGTGGAGACGAAGGAGTCGGAAGTTTCTTTCTCAGAGATGACGGATCATGAGAGAGAAACGGCCATCACAACCGAGATCAAACGGTATCTGAGGGAGACGCACCCCGTGGTTGTGGACGCCGAAGCATCTCCCGATATCGAGGAGGTCCCTATGGAAACGCCGAGACCTCTGAGACGAGCGCTGAGTAGCCGATTTCCCGTCATACCGAGTACCGGTAGTTTCGACACTGGCTCTGAGGGAAATCGATCGTCACCGCTCCAACCAAACGCACCTCCCATACCCACGCGTTCACATTATCGCATGACTTCAGGAACCCAAACCATCCTTCGGAGGCCTGGGGTTGCACCTCTCCTCAGCCAGCACAGTAATGAGAGGAACCGAAGCAACAGCGAGAGTGTGTTGCAAGCGTCGGCAGCGGCTCGCCATAAGAGGATGGGCATGCTGAGAAAAGACAAACCCGACCTGGACAGCATTGACGAACTCAAGGCGAATCGCAACAGCCATCTCCGAGGGTTCAGTCATGGCTCCGTTCTCAAGCGCAACGGTGTTTTGTCATCCCCCGGCGGGGCTAGTTCTTCCAGCCCTAGCAGTCCGCGGGATGCAAGAAGGCACAGGCTTGCGTTTGTGAAACGATTGTCAAGCCTGCCTGAACACAAAGTCGAGCACGACTGGAATAGCCCGGTCATCGAAGGTGCCAAAGGCATCCTGTATGCTCTGTATCAGGTCCACCCACATATCTCCGGCCTCATCGCGGCGATCAGAGGGAAAGAGTTCCGACGAAGTACGTTGGAGTTCACCTTCTTCAATGCCTCGACGCATGTGGATCGTCTGAATGAGGCACTGGAGCAAGCCGACATGGTCGACCCGGAGGATGAAGACGCCGTTGAAAACATCGAGTCCACGGTCCGACAGGACTGTGCGACGTGTATCATGGCTTACACGCATGTGACGGCTCAACTTCAGGATAACGTGAAAAAGATCGTGGCCGGGATCGATGCCCGATATGTCCGGACGCTCATGCTTCTTCTGTACGGGAGCATGGCTGAGGTCAGGAACGCAATCCAGAGCTTTGGCGCGGAAGTCAAGTTGAAACAAGGGCTCGGTCATAGAAGACAGATGTCCAGTGGGAACACGCATCCCATCCAGACCATCCCGGAAGAGTTCAGCACTCCTTTGCAGCCTGCTCGGGCCAGCACTCCCACCCGAGACAGGAATTGGCCTTCCAGACCAGGCGGGAGATTGCGCAGTGACACGGCCTTTCAACATGCAGTGGTCGGAACCAACCCGGTCCATGAAGCGAACTCTGTCCCACCTCTCAACACGGGTGGGCCCCCAACTCCGATTCACTTGACCGGCACCACTCTGAATGGCGGATTTCCAACGGGAACCTCGTCGACGTTTTCCAATAGTGGCACCATGAACTCGGCATCCTCGGCTGGCTTGAGGTCGAGGTCAAGCTCACGCACCGCACAGCTGACGAACGGCATCAGCTCCTTGTCTCTTGCCAGCACCCCTCACTCTGGCGAAGGTTTCAACCTGCCACCGTCTGCTTCCTATGCGGCCCGAGTGAACCCTTCGACCGGTCTGACTGACACTCAAGAGGAGGCCATCTTCGAGCAAATCTTCCTTGCTCTGACGCGTGCGTACGATGCGGCGTTGCATACTATACCAATTGCCAAACAACAATTCCTCCGATGTCTGGAAGCAGCCGAAGAAAACCGCCAGCCCAAATCGGTCCACGAACTGTGGTCTACGCTTGTGTATCGGTGTAAACTGAGCATCGAGGTCAGCGAAGCGCTCCAAATCAGGCTTGTCAACATGCGCTTGAAGGATCCAAGTGTCCATGTTGCCCCCAACGCCAGTGGACGGAACGATCCTTCGCTGTGGCTCCTGTGCAAGACCTTCTTGATGGGCTTCATCGACTTACTTACCGACATGCGAGAAGCAAAATCTCTCCGTTTGCTGTCGCAGGAACTTATCACGATGTTACGCCCCGTGCAAAAGGCAATCCGGGAAGCCGGCCGGCTGATTGAGACGAGCCCCTGGAGGTACCTTACCGACAGCGCCACCGCGGCCATGCCTCCTCCTAGCGTGTTTAATTCCACCTTGGGTCAGCAGTCCGGCGTGAATGGGAACACTTATTCCAACGGTATTAGTAGTATGTCGGGGTACAACGGTACAACCCAATTGGGCAACCACTCACTTCCCAGTCCCTTTCCTCCTCCCGTAGCGCCTATCCCGGCAGTGCCAGGGTCATGGTCTGCTACAAGTGTTAATAACATGACAACGAAATATACGGCCAATGGCAATGCCAATGTCAATGGCAACGGCAATGGTGTGTCTGGCCACGCTGGCGCTAATGGACTCAGCCCGGTCTCTGCACCATTACCAGCGACGCCCTTATCTGCAGTGTTGGGTCCGGCTGCGCAAGCGACGGTGCCGATGTCCACGCCCATACCGAGTACACCTGCGAGTGCTTACGGAGATCAATTTTTCAAGGGCGACGTGTTTCAACGAGCGGACAGTCTATTGAACATGCAGCAAGCAGGGAGTATGAATTTCCTGAGCCGACGGTGACCTTCACGGGGATCGACATGAAGTAATTGAAGAGGAAGCAAACCAATTGGATACCGGCATAGCAGGCAAGGGAAGGAGATGGAGGCGCATATTCGCCGAACTTCAAAGTCGAAATCCCGACAGAATCTCCAGCCGGGGACTGCGACCGACCTTGATGTGTCACAGGGAGTACAATGAGTGAGTGCGATTTGTCAACTATGACATGGAACACGGCCATATTTTTATATTGTTGCCTGTCACCACTATCAGGTATCGAAACCGACCGGGGTCTAGGATTGGATTTCTGAGTGTCAAGGCGCCCGGATTTTGGATTATTTTTGGATCGATCCAGTCGCCAGTCATGACTCGATGTCTCGACAATACGACATACTTGAGTAATTTTCTCTATTGGTGTTTGCACGAGCTTGAGCTTTGATGTGGATGCGAACGATACGAGCTAAGAGGGGAAAGGGAATAGAAGGACAAGGATTATAAGGGCAAGGAAAGGAAAAGAAAGGGACGAAATAAAATTAGACTATACTAACAGGAGCAGAAAGGGCGATGGAGTCAATGAAATCACCGGGTCGGACGGAACAGAGCAACGAATGAGACGGTCGAAGGCTGGATAGCTGGATGGCTGGATGCTGGATAGCTGGATAGCTGGATAGCTGAATAGCTAGCTCAGGATGAATGACTGACTGACTGGGTGTATATATAGTATGGCCGTTGAGGTATCTTACGGTATAGGACAGGACAGGACAGGAAAAGAGGATGGAGACCGGGATAGGATGGCGTCCTGATATCTGATATACTACCAATACTACCACTATGTACATTTTGACAGGAAATCCAATGACAGGAAATCCGAGTGTGGACAATGGACAAGCTGACAGGAAATCCAAGTGTAGACAACTTATGCCCGACGTCGACATGGACCATCAAGCACGTACATGTACATGCAGAGTATCCGTACATACATTGAGGATTGAAGTCCAGCATAAGTACAGTATCTGTAGTTCGCACATACGGACTACACACATTGAGAATTGAAGTCCAGCATAGGTATAGTGTCTGTACGGATAGTCTGATGCCGATGCCGGATTCAATCAAGAAGGGGTAGTCATATCATACATGTACACACATACACATACACATACAGGGGATCCTGCTGTGTTGCTGTTTTGCAGTTGTGCTGTCCTGCTGGTGTGCTGTTTTGCTGTTTTGATGTTGTGCTGGTGTGCTGGTGTGATGTTTTGCTGTCTCGCCGTGGTGTGTGCTGCACAAAGCTATTTTGTAGATTGAACCGCCATTGACGGAGTATAGTGTAGTGTAGTATAGTGTAGTGTCGTGATTTGTTTTGTTTGACCTTTGTTGCCGTCGTTGTCACCCTAGGTATTATGTAGGTTCATAGAACCACTACCATGTTGTAGAGATGAGGCCCTTGGATGGATAGATGACCGTGTGGTAGGTAGGTAGGTAGACACTAGCTGTGGATGAAGAGATGACCGTGTTGTAGGTAGGTAGGTAGGTAGGTAGACATAAGCTGAAGCATTTCAAACGTCTGCGGCGGAAATGGGACGGCACAAGGTCTGGTCTTTTGGTTAGGAGAGTATCGATTGGATTGGCTCGTGTGACGTGTCGGTGCCTGGTGTCTGGTATCTGGCCTGGCGTGGGTGAGTGGGTGAGTGGGTGAGTGGGTGGTCTCTGCAGCTGCAGCTATCGACGACCGAGATTCGCGAGATATCCTGTATGGGTACGGGTTCTGGTTCGAGTGGGAGTACACACACACACACACCCTCCACCCCTTCTCTCTCCCTCTCTCCCTGTGTGTGTGTCTCGATGTCTCTATGTCCTGTGGCACGGTTCTTCTCGGCCATAGTAGGACCCATTGTGCTCTTATGCATAGAGACTGAGTCGATTCTCTTACCGAGTCGATTCTCTTACCGAGTCGATTCTCTTACCGAGTCGATTCTCTTACCCACTTGATTTCTTTGACAACACATCCTCTGTTCGATCCTTCACCTAGCTCATATCTGAAACATGTTGTTCATCGAGCCGTCGGCATCTGTAAAGCCGGTCCAGAAAATATCGTTCAACGGGTCCATCTCGAACACGCCGTTGTCGAAAAACTGCTGTATCGGTGCATGTATGTTTGCACCCACGGCCACACCAGCATTCGCACTCGCATTTGCAGTTGGATTCCCATTCGCATTCACGCCCCCACTCGCACTCGTGGGGCCGGTCTGTGACAGATTTCGGTGAATGCAGGTCTGATGGTAAACTTTGATGGCCGACCACTCGCCCGCCATGCGCTTCAAGCCGTGGTCCTGGGCTGGAGGGGCGCCACTCTGGCGATGCAGTTCTTTGACCCGGACGCACAGGGTGTCGAGACACTTGTACAGCCAAGCGGCGCCCTGGCTGGCCTCGGTGGCGCACTGGGCGGAATCGAGGATGATGGAGGATTTGGTGCACAGCATGACGGCCAGGTTCAGGTAGCGCCAGTCCATGCTGGTCCAGTCTGCCATGTCATCGAGAGACAGGTCGAGCACGTCGGATAGGAACCGCATGGACGACGTGTAGCACTCGTAGATGATGGAGATTCGAGTCGCGGACGGCGTCTGGCCTTGCAACAGACCGTAGAGCCCGACCTCGTGGATGTACGCCCGGGACATGTGGCATAAGCGTGATAGGGGGCCTGGGGGGAGGTTTGTTAGGTCCATAAGTTCGCCATCAGGGGAGACGGTGGATGCGAATGAAGGACAAGGCAATTGGTGAATTGTACAGACCATTTTGGGCCCCGCCCATTGACAGAGATGCCTTGTAATCATTCAGATGCTTCACTAGGGTCTTAACCAGCAGTTGTACCTTGTCGTCGCTGAGCTCGCCGACGCGTTCGCGAGAGCCGTGGTCGAAGGACACCGAGACCTGTTCGGCGAGACGCATGGATCCGACTTGATGGATTAGGGTTGCGTCTGAGGGATATTGCGGATCGGCCGCCAGCGAAGAAGCACACTCGTCGAGGTACTGCGTGTGTGCTAAGAGGACGGGCTTCCGGAACAAGAGCAGGCAACTGAGAAAGGAGAGACATCAATCAGCCATTGGCAATCCAATCATCCAGGTCTCGTAGACACAGACAACCACGAGAGGCTCTTACAAGGTCGAGATTTGGTAGGTGCCAACGTATGCTCTTCGGGCTTCGTAGCTCCAGAACTTGGACGATACGGTCTCGTTGGTCTGGGAGAAGGCCGAGGCCGAACCGACAATCATGTCGTGCTGGTTCATGTTGGTCGGCCGCTGGGTGATGCCCAGCTCGATGGCCAGGGTCGCAATCAGAGACGCCTGGCGGTAGGCCTGGTTGGCGAACGGGGTGGCGTACCAGTGGCACCAGCCAAAATAGACAATCAGCGCCTGCAACAGATCCAGCGACCGTTCCGACTTGACAAAGTAGCGGTCGCTCAGCTCTCTCATGAAACCCAGCTGCAGAGCAGCCTGGCGGGCATGATTCCTCCACGACGCCACGGTGAAGATGGCCCGGGCCAGCAGCGGCCGCTCCTCGATCAGGGCCGCCGCCGAGCAGCCTTCAGGGATGATCACGTAGCCGAAGTTGACCGCCGACATCCGCCGGTAGTGGTGTATCAGGGCCTCGCATTCTTCGAGAGTCAGGTCGTCGGCGCCGCGCATGTCGCAGCTACTGGCCGAGAGACCTGACCCCCGCGCGGGAGAGACAAAGTCGGTGCTCTGTGACTGCACATCGCTCAGGCTCAGGCTCATCGACGGTGGCGGCGGAGGACAGTCAGAGCCCGCCCCAGTGCCGGTGGTGGAAGCAGGGCCTGGGTTCGGGGGCTGTCTCAGCAACGACAGGATCTCGGCGTAGCTGCTTTCTAGCTGTTCGACCCGGCCACGCACTGCCCAGGAGGTTAGTATAGGACGGTGGTAGGGGCAGTAGGGGCAGTAGGGGCGGTAGGGACGGTAGGGACAGTATTAGGGACTGTAGGGGCGGTAGGGACGGTAGACACACGCTTCACTTTCCGCGTCCTTCGCTTGACCTCGGGTAGTCGACATTCTTTCCCGAGCCGGGCACATCTGGGGTCGGTCAGAGGACTTAGCATACACATAGCACACACATATCTGGCCCGGGTCGATTGGCGGTCAAGCCAAGGCTCAGGCCCATATTGGCATACGGAGTCCTGCACGGGAATACACACATACCTGTGGCAGCGCTGGCCTGGGCCTGCGCCTTCGTCGTCGCCCGGCACACAGCGCAGCTTCTTCTCTTTACACTCGGCACAGGCAGGATGTTTCCTCTCGCCAGACATAGTACGGCGGCGGCAGCGGAGGCGGAGGCGACAAGCCTGGACTGATGCTATAGTCTATAGTAGTAAACGCATGGTACAGTAATAACTATTCCGTACACCAGGACAATATAACGGCCCGGTGTGCTTTAGTAGCCGTGTCCGCATTGGCGCAGCCGGCACCCGGAGGCAATTTGGCAGCCGACGCAGCCGACGCAGCCGAGGCGCAGGCAGCAAACCCCTCAAAGCTCAACCTCAACCCTGAAATCTCAACCTTCCTCTCCACCCCTCGACCCCGGGCCCTACAGACGTACACTCTGCAGTGCACCACCCGCTCCTCTCTCCTTCTCGTATCCGTCCAGTGGATCTCAGCCTGGCATGGCAGCCTCCTTAGCTAAGGCCCCCGTGCCCGGTGCAGGGTTCACGGCAATGGTGCCGAGGATGAAGCTCTTCACTTGCCAGGCCACGCTGCCACGCTGCCACGCTCCCAGCTCCCGGCCAAAGCCTTAAGTTAAGGCTAAGGTTAGCCTGACCCCGGACTCGGGGTTAAGGGGGGCATATTCATGCTAGTCTCCGTTCCGGTAGGTACAGTATCCATATATGAGTATGCACCACCACTACTACTATCTCCTTCCGTCTATCTTCTCTGTAGGTCGCGTCCGTCTCGGTCCCAGTCCCAGCAATCTTCAGCACTCTCGCCCGCTCGTCAGGCTGGTCTTGGTCTGGAGGTGTCGACATGGCGTCTGAGAAAGACCACTCCGTCCAGGCGGTGACGAGCCAGCCTGATACCCAATCCCCTACCAACTCCTCCCCCCGATCCTCGCGCGAAACCCAGAGCGACGAGAAAGTCGAGAGGTTGCCCTCCGTCAAGAGCAGCCACAGCCACCGCCAGAGTCAGACATCGCAACACCTGGCCGTCCCCGTCACCGGCGACGGCGACCACGACCACACCCCCGTCGACTGGTCGCAGCACACGCTGCGCAAGAGGCTCTGGCGCCCCCAGGTGACGGACTTCCGCAAGATCGCAGAGCACAAGTATCACGGTGCAGGGACCCTCGCCGACCCGTATATTGTGCAATGGCTGGATGATGACCCCGAGAACCCCAAGAGCTATGCGCTGGGACGCAAGATCGCCATCACGGCGCTGGTCGCTTTCATGACGCTCTGTGTCTCGCTGGCCTCGAGCGCGTACACCGGCGCCGCCCGGCACGTTATCCAGGCCTTTCACTGCAGCGAGGAGGTCTTTCTGCTCGGCCTGAGCCTGATGGTGCTCGGCTTTGCCCTGGGCCCGCTCGTGTGGGCGCCGCTGTCCGAGACTCTGGGCCGGCGCAACATCATCCTCGTCACCCTGTGTTTCTATATCATGTGGACCGCCGTCTGTGCCGCCGCGCAGAACATCCAGACCCTGATCGTCTTCCGGCTGTTGTGTGGCACCATCGGTTCGGCTTCGTTTGTCATCCCTGGCGGCCAGATCGCCGACATGTTCGAGGCGGACCAGCGCGGCGTCGCCATCGCAGCCTTCTCCGCCGCCCCTTTCTTGGGCCCGACGGTGGGCCCGTTGATCGGCGGCTTTTTCAGCGACGCTTACGGCTTTCGCTGGCTCTTTGGGCTGTTGGCTCTCTACGCCACCGCCCTGACCATCCTGGGGGCCTTATTTATGCCCGAGACGTATGCACCCGTGCTGTTGCGTAACCGCGCGAGGCTACTGTCCAAGCTCACCGGCAAAACCTACATGACCCGCATCGACCTAGAACACCCCCTGGATGTGCGTGAGGTCGTCCGCAAGGCCCTGGCTCTTCCTTGGGAGCTGCTGTTTCGAGAGCCGGTTGTGCTCCTTCTGACGGTATGTGTGCAATGCCCCCATCTACCATGGCTGTGAGAGGGCCATGAGCTGTCGTATGTGTCTGTTTATCTATGTTATGGCTAACCCTTTCTCCCACGTATAGATCTACACCGCCGTTATCTACGGCACGCTCTACCTCTGCTTCGCCGCCTTCCCCATCGTCTTCCAGGAAGGCCATGGCTGGAACGCCGGCCAGGGCGGCCTGGCCTTTCTCGGCATCATGGTCGGCCTCTTCATCGGCATTGGGATCATCATCTTCGACAACAAACGCTACCGGCGCCTCCACGAGGCCACCGGCGGATTCGCCCCGCCCGAGTCCCGTCTGCCGCCCGTCATGTTGGGAGGCGTGCTCGCCATCATCGGGCTCGCCTGGTTCGCCGCCACCACCTCGCCCGGGGTGCATTGGATCGTGCCCATTCTGGCCGGCGTGCCGTTCGGCACGGGGTTTTTGCTCATTTTCATGGCGTGTTCGAATTACCTGTAAGTTTAAACGGGTCTGGATTAGATTGGATTGGACTTTTGTCTTTCGTGCCCTTGTTTGCCCTGAGCTTGATTTCCTTCCCCCGGGGACGTCTTTGCTTTGGTTTCCCTTCTCACCGCCATCGGTCAATCGGTCAAACCATCCATCCTCACTAACACTCACTCACCACCCAGCATCGACTCGTACGTCATCTACGCCGCCTCAGTCATGGCGGCCAACTCGATCCTCCGCTCCGCCTTTGGCGCCATCTTCCCCCTCTTCACCACTTACATGTACCGCAATCTCGGCATCCACTGGGCCTCGGCCGTGCCGGGCTTCATCGCCCTCGCCTGTTTCCCCTTCCCCATCTTCTTCTACAAGTACGGCGAGTCCATCCGGCGCAAATGCAAATACTCGGCCCAGGCCGCCCGCTATCTGGACAGTTTGCGCAGCGACATGGAGCGCCGCCGCTCAAGAGCCGAGTCGGCCGCCGCCCCTGCTTCGGCAGAGGAAGAGGAAGACGTTCATGGCAAGATCGAGGTCAAGCTTGAGCCAGAGGATGAGAATGAGGCTGAGGTTGAGACGAAGGGTGAGACTAGAGCTTGAGCAGAGCATGTCCAAGGTCGAGAATGACTTGACTGCAGAGCACGGCACGGCACGGCACCCATATGGGATGGATGGGTTTTTGCATATTCTAATCTAATCCGATCCGATCCCATACTGGCGGATCAGGATCCAGACACAGTACGGATATAGAAACAATAGATTATGGATGGATAGGATAGGCTTGGAAATACTACCTACCTACCTCGCGTAGTCAGTCGGTAGATATTTATATGGTGGCATTCCTAGCCCTGATCAGATACTCCGTCTCGACCTCAGCCTCAGTCTTGTTGAAATACGTTCTGGATCCACTGGACGGCGGCCGACGGTAAAGGTGCAGGCGGATCTGCCGCTGCTCGGGTCGAAGTTCGCGGCTCCAAGGAACTTGGTCTTTGCTTTTCATGATCACCACTCTCACTCTCATGCTCACTCTCACGCTCATGCTCATGCTCACGCCCACGCCCACTCTCACGCTCATGTTCATGCTCGAGATCAAGAGGACCGCCCTGCTCATGCAGGAGAACCCTCTCCTCGGCGAAGCCTCTCTCTCGGCCGAAGAAACATGCCCTGCGCATAAGCTCTGCGAGTTCGATGCCTTGTGTACGCATCAGCGCCGCTAGACCTAGGCCGACATCCACTGGCTGTGCTTTGCCGTCAGAACCAGTAGTAACAGTAGCACCACGTCGCTGGCCTTGGCCTTGCACAAAGACCTTGACGTGTGGGAGGAGCACCGAATCCGGGTTGCCGACTGCCGGCCAGCGATGGAGGACTTTTCGTCTCCGTGGAGTTGGCTTGGAGACGGTCGAAGAAGCTGCTGAGTCGTCCGGAACCAGACCAGCCCCAGCAGTCTGGTCGTCGGTGGCAGCGGGAGTTAATGAAGTGGGAGCTTGCGTGGTGCTACCCCTAGGCAGAATCCCAGCGTCCTCGTCGTGGTCCCATTCACCCCCGTCGCTGTGGTCCAGCCCCATCGCCGCCACCAGTCGGTCACCGACCGTGTTGCCCAGTGGTGTATCCCGGCCCGGAGCTCGTAGGAACAACATCGGGCTGGCAAAGGGATCGAAATACGACGAGGGGGTCTCGAACAGCTTGGCGCGCAACCTGATCAACTCCTCGGCCGCCGCAAGCACTGAGCCGTTGTCGACTCCGTACCGCGCCGCCGTTTTCGGTGTGTGCCTCTTTCGGGCCTCGGCGACGAGCAGTTGTTCCACCACCTCATCCAGTCCGACCCAATCCACCATCGGCTCGAGTGCGGCGAGGGCATGGACGTTGTTTGGCTCCGTCAGGGCCAGCATGGTCGCCAGCGCACCGCCAATGTGGCTTCCCACGAGGCAGATCTTGGGCGGGGAGTCGTGGCCATGGTTGAACGGCGATGTCGACGAGGTCAGAAACTGGAACGCGGTCGACACGTCGTGGATGGGGATGGGGAACCGTCGGACTTCGCCTTGGCCTTGGCTAGAATCCTGCTCTGGTCCTAGTCCTCCTAGACGGTAGTTGATTGTGACGAACCAAGTCGCGGGAGGGAGGGCAGCCCGTAGATATGCCTGTGCCTTTGTGTCTGCGTCTATGTCTGCGCCTGTGTCTATGCCTGTGCCTGTGTCTGTGTCTGTGTCTGTCTCTTGGGACTGTAGCGGGGTGGTGGCAGGGGTACTTTTGTTGGAAATCCACGGTCCGCGAGGTAGATAGACCACCAGGTTCCGCGACTCGTGTGGCTGCGTCGCGGGCGCATGAGCGTGAGAGGGAGAAGGGGAATAAGGAGAGAAGACACTGTTCAGCTCATCAGTTAGCCCAAGTTCACCACTGGACGCTCAGCCTCCTTTGCACATACTCAAGCCTGACTCGGCCGCTCACCCCGACGGGCAGCTCAATCGTCTCATGGTTATGCTTCCGCTTCCAAGGGTAGGCTTGCGACGCTGAGCCCACTGATCTGCGTGGGATCCAACATGTCAAGGCTGCACGTCTCACTTGCGACCGAATGAGGGTGACGGTGACGGCGACGGCGTGAGTGTGACCACAGAGCTGAAGCATCACATGGCGAGGTCGCATGAGGGTTGGCCGTGGGACGCGCTCACACTCACACTCACACTCACTCAATTCACGCGCCGGTCACCCTCTTCCAACAGACACGGGACTCTCATTCATCCGGACACCAACCCAGGACGAGGACGTAGAGATCCAACACAATAATTACAGTGACGGACGGAAACGGAGCTCGGCGGGCCGATAGTGGGGAGAGTGGCTACTAAAAACACTCGATATAGCGATGTACGGAGTATGGATTTCCTCTCCTGTTTGCCATATAGATACCCGACAACCCCAACCCCATTAGAAGAGTGGAAGAGTGAGTTCCCATTCCCAGCATAGCTTCTGCATCAGTATGCACTACCCTTACCCTTACGATCCAGCAAGATGCCCGGACTTTCCAGATCGTCCATGCTCAAATGCGTCCGGTACAGCGCTTCGGCCTGACTCCCCTTGTCCACAATCATGATCATGCCCCTCAGGTGCTCCATGGAATTGAACACCTCGTCCACACATTCCATCATCCAGTTCGCCAGCCGCTTCCCTCGGTATTCCTGCAAGATGTATACGTCGTTCAAGTACACGACCGTCACGCCGTCGGTGATCCAGCGCGTGAGGCCGATAAGCTTCTTCGGCCGCGGCTGGGGCGGGGGGTGGTTGTTGTCGTTATTGTCATCCTTGTTGTTGTCGTTCTCGTACAGTGCAAAACACACCGATCGGTGGACCATTGCCTCCAGTTCCTTGAATGGGAGAGGCTTTGCCCAGCTCATGTCGTCCGAGGCCAAGAATTCATTCAGTGTGTCAAGGGGTATGAGGGTCGGATCTGTCGAGATCTCAAAGTTATCTCGGTGCCACGTCCACGTCGGGGTCGGCATGATCGATGTCGATGTCGATGTGGGTGCCGATGTCGATGTGGATGTGACTGTCGATGTTGGCGGAGCCATTGCCATTGCCATTGCCATTTATCTGTATAGTATTCGTATATAGTATATAGTATAGGTATGGTACAGGACTGGGCCAAGGCTCAACGAAAAAATATATACTGTCGGGATACTAGTACTGTACATTCGGACGAGGCAGGACATGTGAAAGCGCCTTAAGTGAGTCTGGAGAGTTCCACTGCACAATACTTATGAGATGAGTGACTCATACTGTACTCATTTTATTATGGATCTATGGTAGATACTAGATAGTAACACCACTCCGAGCACGTTGTGGCACGAACACCCGACTCTTGGATTCTCCTTGGTTCACAGACCGTCGATCGATGGACTATCATACACGAAGCCTATGCCGCTTGAAGATACTTGCACTCACCATGTTCTAGACACTAAACAAAAGGTTTCGTGATACTTGGACTGAACTGGAGATGGAGATACCAAATACCATAAGGTAGCTAACACATACCAAGTAGCTCACAACTCATGGCACCAAGTGGCTCACAACTCATGGCGGAGGCTGGTTGCTAAGATACAAGGTACAAGATATCTAGACTAGCATATGTACGGAGTAATGTAATGCTGTTCACAAATCTCGATGATCATCTTCAATCTTCAAGATTCGCTCCACCCAAATATCTTGTTGGAGAATCGACCGTAGTGGTGCTTGTGCTGTTGACCCGGTATCTCAGAAAAGCCATTGCATGTCTCGCACCACCGTTCTCTAGCATTTGTTCGTGGAGCTATTGTCTCGGTCTCGTCAGCTCGGCGGTAGCTCCCCGAGCTGGTCATCTCCGCCAACCTCGTCGACCCCAAGTCGTTCATGGTCAATGGATGGCCGATCCGTCTTACCATCGTGGAGTCTTTTGTTCGACGCAGTCAATCCGCGTCTGCCTTGGGAGTAACCCCTATCTAACATGGCTGATGTTGAAGTTCCCCCCACGGCTGTTAAGCCCATGCATCAACCTGCCATGGAGACGTTCGATCTCTTCTTCATCACGGAGGAGGCATTTCTCCATCTCATCAACGACGCTACTGGCGCCAGATACGAGCAGTCGTATGACGCCTTGGTTGTGCAGGCTCAAGCTGATCTCAAGTTGTTTCCCTCACAATCTCATGCATCCTCATGGTCATGTGCATCCGGTTCAGTAATGCAATATCCTCGCCTATCAGATCAGGTCCCCTCCAGAACGGCATTCAAGCCCCATCGACTCTGCGCTCACGGATTGTTGACTGTCGCAACTGCTGCGGCTCAGAAAGTCCACAAAGACCAAGGAGTTAGAGAACCTCCAAATCACCCGTACCTCGATGGGAAAACGTGTCGTATTCCAGGCTGGGCCTTTAGGCTTAGACGGATTGGATCGGCCCTGCTCCCGTTTTGCTTGGTGCTCGACTCTTTCTTTGTGAATCTGTCAGATGGTATCCAGGCTATCGACCTTTTGGTTCCAGAGGATAAGTTCTGGTGCTCTCCAAGTATACCTTAGCTTCAAGCACAAACTGGTGGATGATAACCTGGAAGCACGAAGCTGCACACGATCACCTCGAAGGACTCAGGGGTCGGTTGAAGCCTCCAACACGATTCATATACTGTCGATATTCCGTCTTCTTCTCGGTTCTGACGCCATAGATCTGGTTTCCTGGAACTTTGGTGTTTTGCGTAGTCTTGAATGTGGTGAAGCCCATCAGTTTCTTCATAACCTCTTCTTCATCGTCGTCGTCGATCGCCATACGGTCGCCGTTGGACGACGGGATCTCTTTTTCCGCTGCATCTGCTCGTGATTTTGCCCTTGAACCGTCGACAGCCGCCCTGGGCCTTTCTCTCGACCGCGCCTGGTCGCGATCGGTCCGGCGAGGAGGCGAGCGTGTCCGAACAGAGCTGGTGGCGCCGTTCTTGAAAGGAGACCGAGAGCGTGATCGTCGATGCGAGCGCTCGTTGCGATAATCTAGTCTGCGTAAGTCCAGGACTTCATCATTGGAAAAGTTCCACGCACCTCTTGAGCCGCGGTGCTTGTCCCGGCTGCGACTTCTCTCACGCCGGATCCCTCCGTTTGTGTCTCGATCTCTGTCTCCCTTCCCCCTGTCGCGATCCCGATCTCTCCTCTTCTCATTGCGCTCACGAGATCGGGATCGTTTCCGGCGATCACCTTCTCTACCATCGCCATTTTGCGACTTGTTCTTGTCTCTTCCACCAGGATTCGGGCGCGAATCCGCCTTGTCGTTCTTGTCCCTTGTTGCACCACCGTCGGTTCGCTTGGGCCGTTTCGTGGGAGGTCCGTCCATGATCGCCAGCGGAGATCTATTGCAGCCCACGTCAAGCCTTCTGGTGATCGGATAGAGCTGGACACGCTCTCTGCCGAAATTTGCTGGTCTCGGTATTAACGCGGCCAGCAATACTAACGGAACGGGCCTGTAACTAAAGTTAAAGTTGCGCCTGGGTCATGCCAAGAGACTCACTGATCCGCCGTATTCCAGTTTCTTTTGCTGAGAGTACGGTGGACTTTTGCTTCACAGCCGTCAGCGTCAAGGCTGAAAGACAGCGAGTGACTGTGGCGGTGCATCACGGGGACAAACATAGCAAACATCGTCATCCCCCTCACCGTCCCGTCGCTGCTCGCAGTCACGTCGTGTATCCAAGTCGAGTGCAGCCTGCGTTCAGGTGTATTGCCATTCGAGACACCTCCATCTGACACGACAACCCGTCTGCGTGTTATCCATCAAAGTACCTGGTAGTCTACATTACACCTACCGATTATAGACGTCGCAAGACACAAGACCCCTAGACCACCTCTCCCATCTCTTCTGCCTATCCCTTTGCAGGATATCTCACAAAATGAATCTCCTTCATTCGGCTCTAGATAAAGTGCGTGACCGATATGCACCCATCAAGCATACTTCGACCTTTCGATCGACCGGCCAACTCACTCCCGAGGAATTCCTTCTGGCCGGAGACTATCTGGTATACAAGTTCCCCTCCTGGTCCTGGTCTGACGCCTCCAGCCCAGCGCGACGGGTCAACTACCTGCCTGCGGGGAAACAGTTCCTCATTACACGTGGGGTGCCCTGCCACAGACGTCTAGATGAGAACTTCGCCGGCGGCAACGGTGCGGCGGACGATCTTGTCCGGGATGGCTTTCTGGGCGGTCCGGACAATGAGACTGGTGGCGATGACGAGGGTTGGCTCCGAACGGGAGGGACGACAGAAAAGGAGCAGGAGGGCCTAAGAGGAGAGGTCCGCACCATGAGTGAGAGCGGGCAGCTGGGCAAGAGGGCCAGTGAAGAAGAAGACGAAGAAGAAATCCCGGACATGGAGGATGAGGATGATGACAATGAAGCCATCATCCGAGACAAGGGCGAAGGTGCTTCGGCGTGAGTTTCCTCCCTTGTTTACCACTGGCAAGACTATTGACAATTGTTGAATAGCCCACTGCGGACTTACACCCTCTATATTACCTATACGCCCTACTACCGCACGCCTCGAATGTACCTCTCCGGTTACCTTTCGCCGTCGGAACCGCTCCCTCCACATCTCATGATGGAAGACATTGTCGGTGACTACAAAGACAAGACCGTCACTCTTGAAGACTTCCCGTTCTTCGACACCAGTGTGAAGATGGCTTCCATCCATCCCTGCAAGCACGCCAGCGTCATGAAGATCCTCCTTGATCGCGCCGATGCGGCGTTGAAGCTCCGACTGCAGAAACAGTCGGCCGGCGAGGCCGCGCCAGCCAATGCGTCGGGGATGGAAGGCCTCATCGACGACACGGCCAGACTGAGTCTGGGAGACAAACGACAAGTAGAAAACCGAGGACACGAAGCAGGTGTCAAGGCTGCCACTGGCGGAGCGGGCGGCGATGAATGGGAAGTGTTGGATGAGCAAGATGCCGATAAAGAAGACGAGAGCGACAAGGTGGCCATCCGGGTCGATCAGTATCTCGTTGTATTTTTGAAGTTCATGGCTAGTGTCACGCCCGGCATCGAACATGACTTTACTATGGGCGTTTGATTCAACTCATGCGGAATTCTAGCAAGGGCTATACCGGCAGAATGATGATGTGAACCAGAAGCCGAATTATCTGGGTTTGGTTTTTATGAACAAAGCATGGCTTATGACGAGGGACCTCACTCCACGGTTCCAAGGTTGAACGAGAAGCGAGAAGCGAGAGTTATCTTTGGTGTTGGACGTGAATGCGATCAAACCGGTTGTCGCCGAACTAGCCAATGCTAAGCATAGTATTATGGAAGGGAAATCAATGCTCTGCATAGTATCGTTGAAGGGGAATGTTTTCCTTCGACATGGCCCGAGATCAAATACTGTGAATTCTTCTTCTTCATTGAACCCGAGATCAAATACGTTGTGAATTCTTCCTTGAACCCGAGATTAATTGCCCTTGCCCTTGCCCTTGCCGTACTTCCGACCGATTTTTAAAGACCGACCTGTATGCCGAGATCTTCAGAGACAGACAGGAGATACTGGATATAGTTACGGTTATAGTTGATGGGATGGTACAGGGCTTCTTTGACGCTCGAATGCCTATGTAGACCTAGGACCTAGGACTCAGGACCCAGGACCGAGGATCTAGTGTCTCCTTTCCCCAACTCCACTCTCAACTCGCAACTCGCTAGTGAATGGTGTCTGGTGTCTTGTGTCTGGTGTCTGGTCTGGTTTCAATATAGGAAGCAGACATGGCGTACTCCCAACGTAAGGCCTATTCAGCTTGTAGTATTGTATTCTTCGCAGTCCCAAGGCAAGGCCAGGTCAACTTGTAGTGTCGTATGGGCCTGGGCTCCCTTTTCCCTTTTCTCATCTTCCATCTCGCATCTCCCTTTTCTCTTTTCCTTTTTCCCATCTCTCATCTCAAGTGCCATTGGTCTTGGTCGCATCTCCCATCTCAAGTCCCATTGGTCTTGGTCGCATCTCCATCAGCTCCGTCTCCATCTCCGTCGGCAGTCTTCGCAACACCATTGACCGTATCGGAGACTTTGGAGGGGTGCCCGGTCGAAGAAGGCCGAGGCGCCTGCTTCCTCTGGTGGGTGGTGCTGGGTTCCTTTGTATCCGAGTGATGTTGAGCACCGGTGGAGGTGGAGGTAGCAGTGGCAGTGGAGCTGTTGTCCTTTGCATCCGAGTGATGCTGAGCACCAGTGGAGGTGGAGCTGTTGTCCTTTTTGTCGAGTTTCGCCGGAGCACGGTGGGCCTTGGACGTAGAGTGTGTCTGTGGCTGCGAGTGTCTGTCGTCATTGCCATCGTGGCTGCCATTGTCATCGTGGTGTTCATTGTCATCGCGGTTGCCATTATCATCGCCGGCGCCTAACGCAGAGCCATTGATACCAGGCAGATCGCTCAAGCCAGTTGCCTTGGCCAGACCGCCCGCAACGTCGGTGTGGATTCCCGGGACATCCTTCTGATTGAACCACTTGACGATGTAGTAAGCGGCGACGGCCCAGAGCCAGATAAAGACGGCGGCGCCGGTGGTGAAGAACAGGACAGGCAACAGAATCAGCAGGGCAAAGCCGACGGCGGCGACCACGAACAGCAGCGCGCCGAGCACGCCGACCAAGACGCCCGCCAGCAGGGCGAAGACGAACACCGTCACCGTCATCAGTGCGAACAACGCCAGCGGCAGCCCGCTCATGGCGACCTGCGACAGCAGAAACGACGCCAGGTATGGCCGCTCCGTCGCGAACTTGGTCAGCCATTCTTTCCACTGCTCGCGCTTTTCCGCTGGGAAGAACCGGTCCAGCCACGTGCTGCCCATGTTGATGAGGTTGTTGACGCCGCCTTGCAGAGCCCCCGTCAGACTGCCGAGCCCAGAGCCCGTCACGCCGCCGCCGGCCGAGGATACCTTGTCTACGGACATGGTTGTGTCGTGGGAATGACTTCCTTTCCCGCTCTCCCGTGTCGGAGCCTGCCAGAAGACGTGCTGATGTGTAGACTAGTATTGGAACTGGCGTGTAGATGTGCAGACTGGTATTGGAACTGGCGTGCTGATGTGTAGACTGGTATGGAACCAGACTGGACGCCGCACAGGATCTAACTCGAATCGAGTCGAGTATGCTCTGAGCCGGCAGATAGATCGTAACGTCTGAGACTGAAATGCCGAGTGAGGACCAAATGATAGAACGTTTGAGACTGAAATGTCGAGTGAGGAACAAATAGATAATAGAGTCGGTTGACTGTTTTGATCGATCAGTCACAGTCAGTCGGTCCGTCGGTCTCTCTAAGCTCTGGACGCGTCTCTGGTCTCTGGTCTCTGGACTCTGGCTGGTCTCTGGTCTCCGGTCTTCGTCTCTAAGTTCTGCACGCGTCTCTCGTCTCTCGTTTCTCACAGTGTCGTTTCCGTCACCGGTTCCTTTTAAGCTGCAGTTCCAGCGCGTCACCGTCCTTTTCCTTTTCAATCAAGGCCAGAGCATGTGAAACCTAATCAACGGTGCACAGGTGATGTTGGAGACAGAAACACAAACACAAACACAGGATTCTCTTGACCTGTCCTCCGTGCGCGGTACTGTCACGAATTCCATAGGTTGAGAATCCTGATAGGTAATGCTAATGGACAGTGGACGGGACGGCGTGCAAGCTGGCCAGCAAACTAACTGACTGCTGACACCAGTGCTGAAACCTGTCGTGATGACGTCTGGGTGGCAGGGATTAATAGACACTTGCCATGGCATTACAGCAACACTTTTACATGTGCTCCATCGGCATCGTGTGGCGGTGCAACCATCGACATCCCGACACCAAGATATCCTGATTCATGTGGTACGCGCGACTAGAATCATCCTCCGCGGTTCCACAGAGTCTAGAATCGATATCGTCCTCCTCTACTTGCTGTAGTCAAGCCATCCCACGTCAGGTTGACTATTCGAACGTTCAAGCAATAAATGAACGGCGCTGATTAGGAGGAAGGAAGAATAAGGAGAAGGTGAAGGAGCTGGAGAACAGTCGAGTTCTATTCCTATCCACAGGACAAGTCAACTTTTTACAAAGGTGAAGCTGGAGCTGCTACCAACTGGCCTGCACAGCTGTGTCACTGGCTGGGGCATCATCGAAGGCACATCTTTGAAAGCCTCTGGAGAGCAGCATTTAGCTAGTAGTGGTGGGCAATACACGCAGTCCACCTCGAGATGGTCACACGCACTCATCAACCCGACAAGCAGTTCATGGCCCGTGAATACCATGTCCTTGCCCCTTTCCGCGCAAGGTTGTCCAACACCCGTTTCAAGTTGGCATGCTCGTAGATGAAGGATGAAGCACAACCATGTCCTGAGAAGCCATGCCATGATAATGATCTTGTAGGAGATAGTGTCCAATTGGCCATGTTGGGGGAGGCACAGCATAGTCATTGCCTCCCCAACTGACCATCTTGACGTCGGTGCCATCGAGACGCATCCTGCCAGCCGTTGCAAGGACTGCCTTGATGAAGCCGACGTCAGCTCCAGCATGCATAATGTGGTCTGCACCAAGTATGTCGCTAGGCGCAGCGCATCGCCATTGCGCGGACCACCAGTCGTAACGCTGATTGCATATCTGACTTTGAGCCCAATATGCCTGAGTCTGTCACCTCCAATGGTAGCAATACCATTACCCGGTAGAAGTACTGAGCGGCCTTGGCCAAGGTATGGTATGCTTTTAAGCCTAAACCCGCCGGTATGATCATCTTGGTCGGCTCCTGTTCCGGGATCGAGCTTGATCATTCTACGCGGCCCGGTCTGGAGGTAGTCGTGATACTGATCCTCCTCGATGATTCTTGAGAGGATGCTGTCTTCGGAAGGGACGTTACCACTGAGCACTGATGCACAGGGAGTGCGGTACGGTGACTTTGCTACCGACATCTCACTTATGACGGTATCACCCACACCATGATTGATTGGGCATTGGTCATTTGGCCGATAATCCAGGGCAGCGGCAGGCCCAACACATAGGCCTGTTAGCCTTCCAGGATACGAGTGTTGAGCTGAATAGAATGACATCTGTCTTGCAGCGAGGCGCGCGGAGCTGGCTTCGACGCTACCGTACAGGGTGTACAGCGTTGCCCAGATTGCCTTTGTCCAAGAAGGCCAGTAGATAGAGCAATGCCAACGGTGGCAGAAGCCTCCAGTCAATCTTGCGCAGGATCTTCTGTGTCTCTGCCGACGAAAGAAAGCTTGAGTCAGTCCAATGACAGAGCTATACCTTTCCACTTCTTCGCTTCGGCTTCTGCAAAGTTTGCTAGACTGCCATACGCAAGCACCAGGAATCCAAGGTCCTCTCGGTCAACGTCGAAAACCTCCCACCAGTTCTGTTCGACCAACTTGATGCCAGTCTCGCGTGCTGCCACGTAGATGGCGGCAACGGCGAGAGCGTGAGGCTGGTGGGTAAGGTGCAGTAGCTGTGGAGAGAGTAATCCTGCATTGAGATGTTCAAAGACCCTCCTTGCCAGACTTGCAGATGACACTCCCAGCACCTGTATATATGTGAGGGCCAGACTGTAAGGTAAAGCCACACGAGTGTCGAACCCTATGCCGACAAGAACCACGCTCTCGCAGACAAATAGCCGTTGTCTCTCTCTTTCGTATGTCCCTTCTGAAACATAATAATCTGCCGGATCCGGATCTGTAGGCGCACCCTGCGGATTGACGAAAAGAAGAGGTGAGGCCTTTGAGGTCAGATAGGCATAAACATTGACCACAGAGCGAGGGGCGACTGGAGTTGCGGAAAGCTTTGCGGCAAGATAAATGGTTGCGGCCGAGAATGTCTTGGGGCTGAAGCCTTCACGGTCCTCGGGTCTGCTCGACACCCAGAACCGCTGGAGAAGGACTATGGCTTGCGCAATGACTTCTTGCGGCAGGCGCAGGAGGATTCCGGCCGCAGAAGTGAGTTGAGCCTGGGCAAATCGAACCGACAGGCCATTGTCGCGCTCGGAGTTCTTGAGGTCTAGGAGTTGATTCGAGGTCACCAGCGGGTTCGATAGGTACTCAACGGAAGATATCGGCGCCATTCTTCGGGCATGACAAGTGCAAGTCGTAGGTTGTAAGAACCATCATCAGATCGGGTGAAATGTCTCGTGAAAGTAACGCTAGTGTCTGAATACTCGACAGAAAGTGGGCTACGGTCGAGCAGTATTCAAAAACCATACTTCTTCGAGTTCTGCATCAGTTTTCTCAACTATGGAGGGCTTTGAGAGACAGAGGGACCTTCGGGTTGGTTGATGATTGATTATTATTGCTGTCTAAATGCGGGAACATCAGTAAGACTGATCGTGGTCGGCCGTGGTGGACCATGGTGTGTCCTCCTATGTTCGAAATGACAACCGAGGATCATAGCTTCAGAAACCGCACAAAATGGATGCCATACAAAAACGACATAAAGTTCTTCATGGGACGGAGAGAGACATAGTGATAGGCCCTAGACACAAGAGCGCAACATTACAGGCTGATTATAACTACGATCTCGAGGGCGCATCGGTAGGAAGTCCCGGTTCAGAGGCTGCACTCCGACATTGTACTAGGATTAAGCCAACAAGGCTGAACGAAAAGGATCAATCGGTCCTAGCCCACCACACACCACAGTCAGGCACCGGATACCCATTCCCGACTCGCCTCGAAGAGACTGGAGGCATGTCACACGCAAGCCTGTCTCATCGCCGAACCCATAACCTCCTCTTGATCTCCAAGCTGTTGAATCAGCGCGACCATGCCTCACCACTCACGCTGGTGCTCGATACGCTAGAGCAGCCCGCAAAGCCTCTGTTGTGCGACTATCTGCGTCGTGCCCGGCTCTCGCGGACAACAACAATCTTTCTGTCCTTTGAGACGTTTGTGAAGCCGCGGGATGTGGAATTCTTCGTCCAATGCCATGGTGACACGAAGGCGCCGGAGAGAGTGGCCAGGCAAGTAGCAGAGGCGGTAGGAAAGAGTGGAAACAAGCGTATGTCCTGATTTTCACATCAAAGAAGAAAGCCGAGTCACTGATTTACTAATACCTGATGTCAGGATGTTTGATTCTGATAGACTCTCTGGCTACCTTGGTCTCGATGTCAACGAACCCAACATCGAATCTGAATCTGACGGCATTCCTCTCCTCACTACTGCAGCCAGCAACGCAGCTGCGCAACGACGTACAGAGACAGCCACCCCAAGTCTCGGTGGTTGCGGTCTATCACACTGACATTCCACTCCCGTACCCGTCCACATCGGCTTCTGCATATTCCTACTCTCCATCCCCTTTCGCACTACTCTCATACCTTGCAACAACCATCATCACAGTGCACTCACTATCCATCCTGCAGGCGGAAAAGTCGGCCCAAGTAAAGTCACAGGTAGCGCCTGTGTTCGGACTGGCCGAAGAGGTCGAGGGAGTGGTCATCGGGGCCAAGCCGAAATGCATGGGGTTGAGGCCTGAGGAGCGTGGCATAGTCCTGGAGTTGGAACACCGGAGGAAAAGTGGGAGAGGGGTACTTGAATGGTTTTTCTTGCCCACGGTGGCGGAAAAGAACCAGAGTGGTGTTCAAGCGGCCCGGGAGATCGTCACCTTACTGGATGATCATCCTCTATTCCGCAAACCAAAAGACGATGAGGACCCCGAGCAAGCCTTGTCCGGAATGACCTTCGAGTTGGGCTTGACAGATCGACAGAGACTAGAACGCGAGGGCGTGGTATTGCCGTACTTTGACGCCCAAAAGGCGGGGGGCGGCGAAGGCGGGAGAATCTTGTACGATATGGGCGTGGAGGATGATTTCGACGAGGAGGAAGACGAGATATGAACAGGCCTTTGCAAACAATCATTTCAACCAGGACCAATTTTAATCTCGCCTGCAAAATAGCATCGGCTTCTAATCCCGGTCCACGATACGGGGGTGTTCATACACGTTGGTTTTGCGCTCTTGCGCCGCCATCATCACAATCCTCGAAATGCTGCCGCCGGCGTATTAGAAGAACCTCCACCAGAGGAATATAATCATGATGAGCCCGAGACCTGCAAAAGGCCCATACTGCGGCCAGTGTTAGCGTTGCTGGGGGGGCAGAATATGTCCTCGCGTACCTGTTTCAGCATTAATTCCCAGTTTATCCGCACGGCGGCCTTTCTGTATTTCTTGCTGTCCTCTCGCAACCGGCCGCTCATCTCGCCCATTCTCTCCAAGCTGTCTCCGCGATACAGAAGATCCTCAATGTTCTTGGTCATGACTTTCGTGACATCTTTCAATTCGTCGTTCAGTTTATCCAGATTGGCGCTCGCCCGGCTGTCTTGGTAGGTTTTCTTCGTCCGCTGAATGAAGGTATCGAATTCGACAAATGCGTAGGGCCGTAGTGTTGCAGACAGGTACTGCTGCGAAGGATAGATCGTAGTGAATTCTTGCGCAAGATCGGAGAGGTACGTGAAGGCCAGTTTTCGGGGATAGGACCGGTCGCAGATGCAGAGGAAGCACACAGAGTCTTGGATAACGTAGCTATGGGTTCGGAATCAGAATCTAGGTGTAGCGGCTAGAGAGGGAAGGCATTGTTGCCCACTTACTGTAAGGTGTATTGGCCCGATTCGATGCTCGCTTGCTGCTCCGAATTACGATTGAGCCGTCGAAAGATCATTTTCGCCTGCGATTTGACCTCGGCGAGTTCTGTTTCGACCTAGACAGACGACAAATTAGTGCTTGAGCTTTGGAGTTGAGCCCATGAGGCCTTGTAGAGTCTCGTCCATATCCATACCTGTTCATCGTCCACCGAGGCCGCGAGCATAAGGCCTATTCAGTCCCCTATTGATTAGCGGATCTGCGCCCATTGTTTGTAGGGCACAATGGCCAGTCGCATACCGTCCAGCCTGGCAATCTGTGTCGATTTCACCATTGTTGCCGTCTCTACTGAGGAGCGTGTGTCTTCCCGTGTTGTGATCTCGCATTTCGTGGTCTCTACGGTGTCCAATAATTAGGGAGCTAAACCACTTTGAGTCCGCGGCTAATCGAGGCTAAACTATTCTGGGAGCGCGACGAGCGCGGTAAAAGCTTGGCTGCTCACAGGCTACTTAAGCGCCATGTCGTCATCGGCTCTTCTTTCCTTTTTCTCGCCACTACCTATCTACTCCGTTCTCCATAAATAACTCCGTGCAGCTTCTCCACCGTCGGCTCATCCAACGACAATTTGCCAACAGCCGCAAGACCAAGGCCCGTGCACAGCCTTAGCTACGTTCGTCGTTCGACATGGCGTGAGTCTCCCCCACACCTTGATTTGTCTTGGGCGCGTTCCGCACTGCACATCGACACCATCCCCAACAATGTATCCTAAGCACTCTCATCTCACATCGTGCATGTCCTTTGGGCGCGCTGCACTCACATCGTTCATGTCCTTTGGGCGCGCTGCACTCATATCGTTGTTGTCTCCTTCGATGTGTCCTAAGTAATCTCACTTATCTCATATCGTTGGCATCCCCCACGATATGTCTTGCGCACTCTCACGGGGCATTGTTGACATCCCCTTTGATGTCCCTTGAGCATGCTATACTCACATCACACATCCCTTACTTCTATTGTTGCTCGTTGAAGAGGCGGAGTACTCTATTCATATATCGTGCACCCCTCTTCTCTGAACTACAAACGCTCTAGAAGCAAGGCCTTTATCTCTCTTCATGTCTGGTGTTCGCCCAATCTCTACCGTGAGGGGATGGTGTGTGTGGACCAAGGACGCTCCGATTCATCCTAGCTCACTGTTGCTTTGATTGAAGCGGAGGACGACTCATACTCAGCGGCAGACAGGCATATGCCGTTGTCGATGGGATCAACGCACGCTCCAGGGCCTTCAATACTCTGATGAACCAGTCACTGACATGCCTCCAAATTCCCCTTGTTTCCTGCCTCGACTGAGCTGGTGGACGTTTCATTTCCAGATAATCTCCCCAGTCAACCCATCTTTCCTACTGCTATTGTTTCTCTCAGACTCAGAGGCTAAGATCTGGATATATAGCAACAACAATTCCACGAACATCAAATTCTACACTCTGGTCAGTGGACCCAACTCCGTCTGGCAGGATGGGGACGAGTTAATATACCCTGGGCCGCCCTTCGAGAGGGTGAAGATTGCTTTCGTGGGGGGTCGGCCTGAGAGAGGCCGGAAACGAGAGTCTTTCGTCTGGCTGGTTTGGGTGCCTGTCACCTCTGGGGTCGGGAATTGGATGCGGCTTGGAGACGCCACAGGTCCCAAGGAGCTTGAAGAGCGGATTCGAGCTTACAACGGTTTGCTTGGTTCGGTCTCCCAACACGGTTGCTGGGATCGCTTTCAATTCTGGCCTCAGGGTCAGTACCAGTACCAGAACCAGAACCAGAGCACCCTCAATGACGTGAGGAGGAACCTGGCGGCTGGTCCCGCTCCAGCTGCAGCCGCTGTCATCCCGCCTGTTGCTATTCCCCCGGTTGCGGTCCCTGCTCCTGCGCCCGCTCCTGCTCCTGTCCCTGCTCCTGTGCCTTCTGCTCTGCCTGGAGCCAGTACGGCTCCCGCTCCACAATCTTCGGCGGCTCCAACAAACAACCCCTAAGGGGCCGGGCCATTAGGGGCCGTTTTCACCTCCCAGGATCCGAGCAACATGCGGACGACCCTGGCAACTCTTCTGTCTCGATAATTTGGCGGTGGGGTTTTCGGTTCCAAGGGGCTCTTCGTCGCGTCATCAGCCTGGGGTGTCCGGCATATCAACGCCGTGACACGATGATATCGAGCTTTGAGAAGTGTTGCTGGGATGGGGTCTTTGCTGGGTGTTGCTGGGCTCTTCCTGGCTCGGGTGTGTTCTTTCTTCGGCTGGTTGGCTGGGTCTCTTTTCTCATCGACTGGCTCGGTTTCGTCTCTACTCCCGGGTTGGTGCTCGGGTTTGTGCTTGGGTTTGTGCTTGGGTTTGTGCTTGGGTTTGTGCTTGGGTTTGTGCTTGGGTTTGTGCTTGGGCTTGGTCTCGGGCTTGCTTGGGCTTGCTTGGGCTTGCTTGGTCTCTGCTTAGTTCAGTTTCTTCTTCGACAATCGTCCGTTGTGGCCTGTGGGCGGGTTGGGTTGGAAATACAGATGATCGTCGCACACAAACACACACAAACACACACAAACACACACGGCCGCTCAGTTCTTCGTTTCTGCATTCTCGTATTTCTTCGATTGCTTTGCGACCTCACTATGATTTCACTGACCTCCGAACTATCACTAGAACTGGTTGTGGTTGTGGAAGAGTTGCCACAGCGCTACATTCGGCAGCAGGCAGCAAGAACAGTACAGAAACACATCGACGCGATCGAGTCTACACTTTCAAATCTCCGACCACGGGTGACCAGACCGGTACTGGAACATGTCCTAAGCGCGGCAGGTTCATCTTCCGTGCGGTTGGGATACCGAGTTTCCAGGGCTGGGTTGCTGACCGATGACAATCTACGTCTACGGCTGAGTAACAATTAGAACATCACAAGCATATCGCATCTTCGAGTCTATCCACTGGCATAGCATGAACGAGCCAGCCAGCCAGCGACGAGCGACGAGCGACGCGTGGCATGCAAGCCCCTTCTGTTCGGTGATTGGCACCGTCGAACGGGATCTCATCCCGGCCACCCGCACATGATACGAGTGTGTATCATACATATATGTTAGGTAGGTATGATACGGTGTCTCTGAACAAGGGCTTGAATTCTGATACGGTGTCTCCGAGCAAGGGCTTGAATCCGACGCCGACGGACGGGAGAAGTATCAGTAGTGCGCGAGACTCGAGGACAGGGGACTGACTGTGCCACGGAGCCGGAGCCGGTGGTGGAGATGGAGGTAGAAGTGGAGGTGGAGAGGGAGAGTTCATGTCGTTGCGTCTAAAGCACTGTTGGTGTTGGTGTTGGTGTCGGGTCGGTGTCAATCAACCATGCCGTGCAACGTTCAAGGGAGCCGTCAATCAACCATGTCGTACAACGTTCAAGGGGACCAGATACAGGGATTAGAATGGCCACCACAGAGGGACTGGACTGGACTGAACTAGACTGGACACTGGAACGTGATGGCGACCCGAGAGTTGTGCACAAGGCAAGGCGACTCAGGCCTAAGCCCTCACTCGGAACATGGACAAGGTCATGGTCATGGTCATGGTCATGCATGGATGATGGTGCACTACAGTTGCAGTGGTATTGCACAACGTGACCACCAAGGTCGAATCAGGAATCACTCATTAATATCCGTCCAGCGACCAGGTTACTACTACCTATGTCCCCCTGTAGCTGGCGGTGGCGGGCAAGGTAGGTAGTTCTCCCTGATACGACTCGTGCATGCATGCATCCATGCATCCATCATGCATGCGCACGTGTCTCACATCATTGCTATTATCCGTCAGTCCAGTCAGTCAATCAGTCCAGTCAGTCGAGAGCGAGAGAGCGAGGAAAGGAGTGAAGGGAGGAGTGAGTGGACCAGCCACCTACCAGCTACTCAGAAAGAACTGAGTACTCGACCAAGCCTAAGCCACTGCAGTAAGCCACAAGCCAGCCAAGCCAGACCTACAAGGGGGTAGTAGTACGTAGTGAGTGAATCAGACACCCTCAACCTCAGCCACCGTGCGGCACTGCATATGGAGTACTGCATGCACGCCGTGCCGCAGCAGTACAGACATGGGGTTGGGGTGCGACAGTATCCGGACAGACTAGGCTCAGCAAACGGATAGATGGTATCAGACCCAGCAAATGGATAGATGCTATCTGCCTACGCAAACAGATGGTTGGTATGGTATCAGACTCAGTAAATGGATAAGGTAGTTGGTATGGTGTCAGTCAGCCTATACCTGCGCCCAAATGCAATGCTCAGCAGGTGCCATGGTCCATGTTCCATGGTCCATGGTCGATCTTCGCTCTTGAATTTCTCTTTTCCCTTGGGTTTCCCTTGGGTTTCCCTTGGGTTTCCCTTAGGTATGCTGTCTGTCCACCACCTTGGAATGCAGACCGCTTTGCCTGCCCGCCGGGCTACCACTGGCTCTGCCTACCACCTGACCTACATACAGTGCGACAAGACACGACGCGACGGTCGACCTTGTCTGACTAGAGTCTAGTGCTGCAAGACACGACACGACGGTCGACTTTGTCGGACTACAGTCTAGTGCTGCAACTTCCCTGCCGCCCTAATGCTGTGGACTGAAACGGGCGATGGGCGATGGCGAGAATCGATGGTCCGGGGGGGAGGGGGGCCGGGGTATGGGAGCACACACAGACCAGGGAGAGGGGGGCCGGGGTATAGGAGCACATACACACACAGGGCAGCGGGTGCGAGGGATCGAGACCAAGACCAAGAGCAGTGAAGAAGCAAAAAGAGGAGAGGGAAAGACCATATCAATCAACACCACCACCACCACCACCACCACCACCACCACAAGTCACGGAGACGTGCGTCAAGTCGCTAAATGATACCTACATACCTATCCCAGGCAGGCATAGGCATGCATGGTCCTTTTGGATGCGTCGCTCAGCGGCCTTCCCCCTTCTCTTGGTTTCTTGCCGTTCCATCACACCGCGTTGCATTGGTATACAGAGTAACACCGCATTGCATTGGTATACACTATACAGAGTAGACTGGGTGGGAGTCCGGTCCGGACTATGCAAGTGGAACAGTTCAGGCTGGGGTTTAGAACCCACACCAATGCAATGTCGGTGTCGTGGCCCTCCTCACCCCTACCCGCGGACCTGGGGTTTTCATTGTTCATTGTTCATTCCGTGAGGCTGAGATTGGGAATTTAGGCTGGCAGTGATTGCAACATAGCTAAGTAGTTATGAAGGACGAGTCTTTGGCCCAGCAGTCGAACATGGGATAGGACTCGGCCCATAACCAAGTATCAGGGTCATTTTGACCATATTCCAAACACTAGCACATGAGCTACGTATATCAAGACTTCATCGTCACAATGTCATCATCTAGCCAACCCCGGCGGTTTAGAGAACAGCAATTGGCCAAACCCCCATTGTTTGATTCTCTATGAATAAGGTATCTATGTCGGCACAAGGAGCCATCAAGCGTGTAGGGTGGCCATGGGATCATGTCGATCTTACTTTGCACCCAAGAAATTTCGTCACTGTATTGCCCTCTCCTTTATGATAGATTCGTGCAAACAAGTCGACGATCATACACCTCATACACCCCAAACTCCCATAGGCATGCAAAAAGAAACGCAGGTACCGTCGCTCGATATATGTACCTACTCAATGGTTCGTCAAGGCTCGTCAAGGGCTCGTCAACTGCAGACGGTGACTCGGGTATAAGTTCAAGTCGAGTCTACCACTTAACAACCTTTTGTGGGAAGAACTCGTCAATCAATTCCAGGTAATATGGCTGTGACCTTCGTTAGTATGTTGATCGACAGGAATAGTTCTTCGGATATCATACCTTGAGTTCTTCAACCGAGGGCTTCTCATCGCTCTTGCTGTAGAGATCATATGGGTTGAACCTCTTGACAGCCTTGAGCATCCTCTCGTCGTGCTCGGTCATGAACTCCCGATAGGCGCCCTGCTGGTGCCAAGGGTAGAAGCTGTGGTATCGGATCATGGCGAGAGCTTCGTCGGGGAGGGTGCTTTGATCCTTGGCCACATGATAGAGATACTCATCGTGGCCCCAGGAGAGCATGACGTTGTCCAGACCACAGCCTGGAGAGTAGATGCCGAACTTGTTGCTGTAGACTGGGTCGTTGAAGTCGGGGTTGGCCGCGAAGGACTTGGTGCCGTAGATGATCCGGTCATCAAAGGCACAGCCAACAGGAAAAGTGTCACCAACAACATCCCACTGACCCTGGGCGTCAAAGAAGAACAAGAGCTTGCCAAGGTCATGGATCAAGCCGGTCAGTTGCATCCAGCGAGGACGACCGTCACGACGCATTGCCTCGGCGGACTGCAAAAGATGCTCGATCTGACTGAGCTCGGTGTCTGGGTCGGACTCATCGATGAGCGTGTTGAGGCGTTCGATGGCTTCCCATACCGTCATCTCGGCGCGAGTCTTGGACTTGAATTCATTGCGTGCCTTGAGGTTGTATGCGACGGTTTGCTTGGTGTGTTGCTCCAGATAGAAGTTCTTGACCCGATCGCTGGCAGTCTCATACTGGCGGAATTGAGACTTGTCTTTGTCGGCGTCAAATTTGGATGGACCGTCGTCATCTTCGTTTCGGGCTTGCTTTTGCTTGACCGCTTGGTCAGCAAGGATGTCGGCATGTTCAATCTCGTCACAAAGCTCTTCAAAGGCCAGACCGTCGCGGTCGGTGCGGAAGGCAGGAGCATGCGAGGGTTGTTCAAGCAGAATGCCAACCATCTTGAAGAGAGTGCTGGAGAGTGATTGAAGCTGCTGAGAAGTGCCAGAAGAATGCGGGGGCAGAGATTGCGCGGATGTAGCAAGGTAGCAAATAGTGTCTGTACTGGCGAGTAGAAGCTGTGTAGAATGTGAGATATTTATAAGTGTACCGATGTCGTTCACTGCACCACAACAGACACACGAAAGTGAAGGCAGTGAAACAGTGACAAACAGTGACAATGAAAAAAGAACACACTTTCCGTCACGGCAGGCATGGGTTAATATACAGGCAGCTGGCCTGCGTCAATTGTCTGGCAGTGCAAACACGAACCTGTTTAGCACGGGCTTCCAACCTGCTTGCTATTCACAACTTGCCAGGTAAGTCCTGAGGCCCGCAAAATTCCACCAGATGGATCTCGAAGCATGGGACACTCCACCAATCCCTGGACCCGCGATTTGACATGCTTCTCTTGTGACATGCTTCCATGAATAGATGGATCCCGGGGAGCTGCGACAGTGAGAAGTTACTGGATTCGGATCATCACTTCGAGGGACCAAACTCTCGCCGGAACCATCATGGGGCGCTAGCCCTGATCTCCAACGTCGGGCCGTATCGACAGCATTGTTGTGTTCGTCCGGCTCCTGGGCTAGATCCTGCGATTGTGCCCTACTGTGACCAATATTGTGGCCTCCATCGTCACCGTGCTCCGGTTTCAGCCCTGGCATGATCTCGTCGGCACCAGGCATGGAGCAAACAGGGAAATTATGCGCCGCAGCTTGAGGGGTGGATGGTCAGCAAAGTCGGTGAGAGAGAAAGATCCTAGGTGATGTCTCGTCGCTAATCCTTTATCTCTGGAATCGAGGTTACACAGGCGTTCATGCAATGCGCATACGGCCAGGACCCTGTGACAACCCCGGGGGATTGCGAGGCGACAGCTGTCGTTCATGCTGTGTAACCCACGATTGTGTTGGCACGGCATGACCGGAAAACAAGGGTCTTTTCGATCAGAGGACCGCGGCACGGTGCTGTGGCCAACCCATTCGGGGTTGCAGGCGATTTTACGCTGGTTTCTTGAGCTTCATGAGCTGCGGTCGCTTTCGAGATGGAGGAAGTGGACGTGGGACGTGGAGCAGGGACCGAGATTTCGAACTCGGAAGGCCATAGAGCTTCCAGTGGCACCGGGGGGAGTTGCCATTTGGGGCCAGCATGGGAAGGGAGGAGAAAAGAGCCAGACATCCAGAGGCGCAGGCGCAGGCGCAGGTGGAGGAGCAAGATGGGGCTGAGGGGCTGAGGGGCAGAAGCTTGGTGAGAGGATCATGCCAGACGTCACGCTATGGGCATCCAGAGCCACTGTGGCTGGCGTGACTGTGCACCCCGGGGATTCGGTCCCGAGTGTCGCATACGGTAGAAAATCGCCGAGTTGCAGACCAAAGGGAATGAATGGCACACGGCGTGCAGGTATGAGACAGGCAAGCACCTACAGGTCGATTCACCACTCTCGGAAAACTCTGCCCATATGGGAGAGGGAAGGACCGCAAGGGGGTACAGAGTATGGTATGGTTTACAGATGACAGATGCCTGTTCCCGGCTATTGTTCGGGGTGTTTAGGCAGAGACAGCCTGAACAGTCCAGGCCACGGGCGAGCCAGTCGCCAGTCGGTGCGGACTACAGTACTAGGCTTAGGAGGCCCCTAAGCCGAGTTTGAAGCGCTACGTACCTACCTATGCAATTAGTGCCCCCCGCACTCGACCTTACTTATTCGGTACTGTGACTTCATCAATCGCTTGTCTACATGTCGAACTTTTTTCCCGTCTCTCTCCCTCCGTACAATTCAATTGCCAGATTGCCAGATTGCCCTTCGAGTTGAGACGTAAGGACAAGAAACCCTCACCTGATCATGACAGACGTTCGCTTCAAGCTCAACACCGGTTCATCCATCCCAGCCCTGGGTTTGGGTAAGTCCTGACATCCCCTTCCTGTCGACACCTTGTCTCACGGCTTGCTAGGAACATGGCAGAGTCCAGAAGGCCAAGTCCGCGCCGCCGTTGCGCATGCCATCAAATCGGGCTACCGACACATCGACTGCGCCTACGTATATGGCAATGAGAAGGAAGTGGGCGAGGGGATCAAGGAAGGTCTGGCAGCCGCGGGCATCTCCCGAGGCGATCTCTTCATCACCACCAAACTATGGTGCACTTATCACACCCGAGTCGAGCAAAACCTGGATATCAGTCTAGGCCTCTTGGGGCTCGACTATGTTGACCTCTACCTCATGCATTGGCCCGTGGCCATGAATCCAAACGGCAACCATGAAAAGTTCCCTAAACTGCCCGATGGGTCAAGGGACCTGGTGCGAGACAGATCCCACATCGACACCTACAAGGACTTGCAGAAGCTGCTTCAAACAGGCAAGACAAAGGCCATCGGCGTGTGCAACTACTCCAAGAAATTCCTGGAGGAGCTATTGCCTCATGTCGACATCATTCCTGCCGTCAATCAAATAGAGAACCACCCTCTGCTCCCGCAACAAGAAGTCGTCGACTTGTGCAAAGAGAAGGGAGTCCACGTGACCGCATACAGCCCCCTCGGCAGCACAGGTTCACCCTTGATGCAGGATCCCCATGTCGTCAAGCTGGCCGAACAGAAGGGAGTGACTCCGGGTACTATTCTGCTGAGCTATCACATCGGCCGAGGAAACTCAGTACTCGCAAAATCCGTCACTCCATCTCGCATCGATGAAAACAAGAAGATCGTTCCGCTGTCTGAGAGTGACTTGGCTTCTCTCGCCGAAATCTCCCAGAAAGGTGTCACTCGCTTCGTCTATCCAGAGTTCGGTGTCGATTTTGGGTTCCCAGACAAGTCATGACCTCTGTTCCCCCTCGATCAAGATGGAGCCTCTAGCATCGTCAATTTCCTGAGCAGTTGATTGGATCTAAAAAATTCTAGATTGATAGACAGTACGGAAGGATGATAGACGGAGAAGCGCGACGTCGGGAGAGAGCGCGGGTTAGAGGCACCTTATGCCATACCAGACTCATCCTTCGGAGCCATACAAGCAGTGAACAATTTTGGTCTGCTCGACGCCACAGACCAGAGAGAGAACTCGATTATCAAGGCCGGAATCAATATTCACTTCGTTCTATTCTTATCGTGTCTTCGGCATACCTTCCCGTTCATGTGGGCTAGATGTTTAGCAGACGAATCCTAACACTATATCTCTTGGCGTTTGGGCAATCTAAAAAGTACTCCGAGTCCGTCTGTCAACCTCTCTGCCTCTCTTCTTGACAGGATCTCTCCGGAGAAGAGACTCCTGGAGAATATAGTCTCTGTTGCATTGCGATGGAGCACGAGAGTGACCCATTCAAATTGTGTGTTGGCTGGGACCACTTCTTCAAGACCCTCGAACAAATATCGAGCTTAGCCAGAGAGCATATACTAATACACGATGAGAAGAACTTCGTTTGAACTTGCTCGACATCACCGCAGTGGCCTTACTCGCGCGAAGACTGGGTGCCTGACATGCCGACGACGCCGAAAGAAATGCGACGAACAACGACCCTGCTGCCGAGGGTGTGCTCGCAATCACCTCCATTGCTCCTGGCCCACTGGGAGTGATGCAGATGCGCATGCTTCAATCACTGCCGACAGTATTGAGAAGACAGTCTCCCCACAACGAGAACAAAGTGGCGATCAGATACTTTCCGAGTCTTCTCCAAATATGCATGCCGGAGATGCCAGACATGCCAGGTCAGAGTCAGCAGTGAGCTCTTTCAATACTCCTCCACACGTGCCGGAGATCGAGTCCTTGCACGATTCTGCTTCGCGGCCAGCGGTCTTTATTCAATGGCAGGCGGATGCAAAGTTCTTTCTCAGCACGGAACGTGCTCTGCTGCAAAGTTCCACTTCTCGTCTGATGCTACAACATTTTCTTCACGTCACATGCATCCAGTTGGCTGCGAAACCATTGAGGAGCAATCCGTTCTTAACTCACGTGATGCCAATTGCCTGCTGTGACGACCTGCTGATGCACGCTGTTCTGGCATTGAGTGGCAGCCATATCGGTTTCCAGAACTCCGGATCACCCGACATTCGGAAGCAAACTGAGCAACACTACTCCTTCGTTATCAGCAGTTTACGCCACGAATTCAGCCATTTGTCCTCTTTGCATCGTGCGAAGAATTTGCGGCTCTTACTGGTCTTGATGGTTCTCTGCCATGTTGAGGTGGGTAAGGTCACTCCTCGACATGATAAACATTCGCTAAGTCTCACAAAGATAGTGTCGGATGTATGTGAGGGTGCCATGTTTGCGCACTTGCGTGCAAGTCGGTTTCTCATTCTCAAACTGCGTCAACAGCCAGATGTGTCCGAGACTGCCGAAGACAGAGAGATCCGTGGCTTCGTGCTCGAGGTCTACGCGTACCTAGTGTCGGTAGCCCACATCACGCCCTATGGGACTCTCGGAAGTTCTACCTTACCGGTAGACGACTTCGTTACGTCGTTGGGACCTTTGCATGAGTTCAATGTCTTTGGGTCGCTTCTTGGGTGCGGTTCTGCTCTCTTTGAGAAAATCCCCCTTATCGCACAGCTCTACCGCCAGCGTCTCGAAGAACGCTCTACGGGACAGACCGGGCACGACTCTCTCGCCAGGTGCAATGAATTACTGGCCAGCTTAAAGGCCTGGAAATCGCCGCCCTTGATGCCAGACATGGCAGGGTTTCAAGCCGATCATGACAGCACGGGTGAGATGTATCGCCAGGCATTGCTGATTTACCTGGAATTGGCTATACATGGTTCGCCAGTGGTTCACCCTAAGCTCATATACCAGATCCAAAATCACATCGACACTATTCTTTCTCTTCGGTCGAATATGGCCTCCTCGCCCTATGAATCTGTCCTTATGTGGCCAGCAATGATGGTAGGATCTTGTCTCATAAAGGAGGACCAGCGCCAGTACACGCTCAATGAGTGGCTCGTACTTCATTGCCGCATGAATCACTTTAAGCAAGCTATCACCCTGCTCAAGCTCCTGTGGGAGGATGAGGACGAAGCAGCTTATGGGCCTCTGGGTCTCCATCTCATGATGCACAAGCATTCCATTAAGCTATGCATGGCATGAATCTATCACTATCAAGACCGAGACGTTATCGATTAACGACCCTCGTCCGGTTATCAATGCTCGCGACCTTGAGGTGACTCATTGAGCGGGCTTCGATCCGTCGAACCATTCTCCAGGGATGTCCTTATAGGTATGGATTTCGTCCAGAGTCTCTTTGATGATGGCTGCACCCCGATCGAGTTCATCGTCGGTCATGGTCATGGCAAAGCTGATACGAAGACCGCGAGGACTCGGGTGTGTGAAGAGACCTTTGTGCATGCAAAGTGCAGCCACTCTAGGTCCTCGCAAGTTGCGGAAGAAAAGATTCGAGTCGGCACCCATGCTGGCGACATAGTCAATCTCGGGGTGTTGCCAACCAGCGACGATGGCCTTCCACCTTTGCCCAATTGCTACGGCTCGATCCATCAAACCCTCGTTGTCGATGACCTCAATGCTGGCTCGTGCAGCTGCGAGAGCAAGAGGAGTGTGGCCGAAGGTGGTGGCCATTTGGAAGGTGCCCACCATCGACATGACAGCTGCGGTCCCCAGAACGAATGCTTGCGGATAGAAACCACCTGTGATGGATTTACCCATTGTGACGATGTCGGGCTTGCAATCTTCGCCCAGGTATTGATAGGAAAGGAATTTGCCAGTCTTGCCGGCGCCTTGTCGGACCTCATCGGCAATAAAAAGCACATTGTGCTTGCGACACAGGTCATATACACCTCTTGCGTATGTCGCCTCCTCTTGTACCGTCCGCGTCGCGCCATGGAAACATTCCAGGATGACTGCCGCCACCCTGTCACTGTGCTCAACCAAGCACCGTTCCATGGCTGGCAGGTCAAGGTATGCCAAGGACTCGCCCGTGGACGGGTTGACATTCATCAGCAATGCATTGTCTAGGCCATATTCTCTGCGATGAGCCGACGGATCCATCAAGCCCCATACGGCCGACCCGAGGCCGTGATATGAGGAACCGACGCCTAGGATGAGACAGCGTTCCGCCGGGATACCTTTGGATTGGATCCCCCATTTCCTGGCGACCTTGCAGGCGGTGTCGGCGGCTTCAGTCCCGGAAGTCACAGAGATGAGCTTGTCATAGCCGAAGCGGTTGCACATCATTTCGGCGAAGGGCCCGTACAAGGAATTGTGCCCGCATAAGTTAGCCAGAGGAAGCATCTCCATCTGTTCGATGACCTTTTGAGCGATATATGGATGGGCGTGGCCCTGATTGACCGCGCTGAACATGGCAATAAAGTCGATGTATTCTTTGCCGTCCACGTCCTGTTCACCACTTGTTAGCTGCGGTGTGAAGTGAGGAGACATGATTGCTTTCCAGCAGTGCTCACCCATAGCTTGGAGCCTTTGCCTTTGACGAAGAATGCAGGTACGGGCTCGAATCCCCCGGCGACATACTGCCGTTCCAGCTGCAGCAATTTCTGGGTCCGTGATGACAACTCTAGACCCCTGATAGTGACAGCAGGTTTGTGTTCGCCCGTGGCTGATTCTGAGTGTGCGGATAGCAGCATTGCAGAAGGACTTCGCTGGTGGGAGGCGAGGTGTGTAACGTTCAATGTTGGCAGGTTGAAGATGACAGATAAAACTTCAGCGCACTCTCTTGCGACTGACAGCTCGTTTTACTATGCTATGCTATAGCATTCGAATCGCAATGAAATTCGGCATATCCTAGTCGCCCGTGCGGCAGTTGGCACCACGGAAACATCCCTCCATATCAATCGCGCTTGTGTGGGGCGCGTTTGATAAGGAGGTACGGATGGCTTGCGCGACTACACTATCAATTTGACAGCTCCGCGCGGTTCGCAGTGGGTCGTTTCCGATCACCACGGTGTAGTGGCAAGATATCGATGTTGACAATGGATGACTGCTGCTGGTGTATCCTCCATCTGCCCAGGCTTGGAGTTTCGGGACACCCCTATCTCGACACCGAACTGAAGGCGTGTGAGGCTAAGGCCGACAACTGACATGGCCCAACTCCCCCGTCCATGTTCAGCCGAGCGCCCTAGCTGTACCGGCAGGACTTGTCTTCAATACCTATTTACATGTACACGTGTGTTCGAGCAAGGAGGAATGCCACGGATGGATCGAACCGATACTATGCTGTGAAATCAATGATCAAACTTCTATGTAGGTTGCGCTGCTTCACTACCACTCCGAGTCACCTTCGCCGGCGCTTCAATGACTGCAGCAATCCTTGCCACAGCTTCCACAACGCGTTCGTCATCCCACTTGCGACCAACCAGTTGGAGCGAGATCGGAGCCCCTGCCGACACTACCGGGTCATAGTTTGCCCAGTTATATGCATCGAATTCATTGTTGCGAGGCTGGTAAGTCAAGTCCTTGGGATGGAGCTCTGGAGAGACGCTTTCTCCGGTGGGAAACGCATAGGCTGGCCAATCGAGAATGTTCCAGACGGCAGTATAACCCCAGTATCTTGCGGTTTCGTGGGCGGGCGCAACCCCCGGCCCTACCGGTGCAACAATGAAGTCGACGGAAGGGCGTGCAGCCCAGTAAGACAGATACGCAGCTGGGTAGGGGGACCCAATTAGTATGAGCATTCTTGGAATCAGTGCATGCGGGACAGGAAGGCCTTACCACGATATGCGTCACGACGGCCGTTCAGCCGCGAAAGGTCAGCAATGGTCTGTTCTTTGACATGGCTCTCCTTGAGAACCCATTCGGTCAAAGGCAGTGCAGGCTCCCCTGATACATCCAGCAAGTCCTTGTAGACCTTGCCGCCGTCCGGAAAGTACAAGCTTCGGACCACTTCATATCCCTCCGCATGCTGGAACGGCTGCCAATCAACAATCTCGAAGTGGTCGGGCAAGCTCTGCAGCTTGGCTTTGATGTTCTTGAGCGCCGCCGTTACTGGAGGGTGTGGCTTGACAATCTCGTCGTCCCAGAGCAAGGCAACAGTCAGCTTCTTTGGCAATGCAACTGACCTCCAGGACAGCGGCACCAGATCATGGCAGACTCTCCAAGGCTCGGTTGCCAGGATTGTCTTGAAGAAATACGCGTTGTCCCTGGCAGACCGACACACTGGGCCCACAGCCACCGGGATCGAGTCATAGCCTACCAACGAGGTAACAATCCCAGCCAGAGGAACGCGCCCTGCCGTGATCTTCGCCCCGTAAAGGCCGTTGTTGGCAGCCGGTGAGCGAATGCTGCCTCCAATGTCAGCTGCCAACCCGATAGGGGACCCCCGAAAGGCAACCAGAGCACCCTCTCCACCACTGGAGCCTCCACATGTGAGGTTGCGGTTGAAGGGGTTCAGGGTGCGCCCATAGACTTGGGAAAGTCTGTCAGCCGCGATTGAGAGCAAGGACGGAGCCTACTGTACCATTGGAAGATGTCTCCAGGTGCATCCCAGCTATCAATCCCAGCCGAGTCAGTCATTGGCGGGGCCGTGGTGGTGCTGCAGCTGCAGTTGCACTTACTCTGCGGTTGGGTCGTCTTGCAATAGAACACTTGAAGAAGACGAAAGCATTAGTGGTGGGCGGTCGCTGGCTTTGCTCAGGGGGCGACGGGGGACACTGGCAGTACTCACCGGCACCAGCCTCACGGAGCAACCGGACCACGACAGCGTCTTCTGTCGGGACTTGTCCAATGAGGGAGACGATCCCAGTGTTGGACTCCTTGGCCTTGATCGCAAACTGATCCTTGATGGAAAAGGGGAGACCATGGTACGGCCCGACGACTTTTCCTGTCTTCTCCCGATACTCGTCGAGCTCCTTAGCCCTCTCCAAAGCTTCTTCGACGAACATCATGGTAAGGCAGTTCAGCTGTTCGACTTAGCACATGTCCATCGTGTTCCTGCCCGGCGGCTCCGGACTGGATGCTCCCAAGGGTCAATACACACCAGTTGTTGTGCGATTGCGGCACGCCGGCAGAAGGCCAGCACCACATCATAGCTCTTGAGGTGCCCGGCTGCCATGCGGCTCAGCAATTCCGTGGCATCGAGCTCCGTGATGGCCAGTTCCTCAGCGCTCATTGCGCCACAGGAATACGGCCAGTTCATCACGTTGGCCACCCGTTCGGATGGAAGCTCCTTGAGCAGCCATTCTTTCGGAATTGATGCGTCTCGCTCGGCCCGCTTGCTTGCGCAGAGCTCCTGCCACGTCGCTTTCGGCATGATGAATCTGGTGTATCCGTTCTGCCAACTGGGTAGAAGGCACAATGGCGCGACCCTTAAGTACTGTCGGAGGGGCTGACCGCCCCAATCCACTCAGTCCGGTGTGGTGTCTCTCATGATCTTCTGCTCCTGCGCCCGCACGTCGAAGAGATGGAGATGAAGCTTAAGCGCGAGGGGACCAAGACCCACTCGACATCTCTTTATCTCCCCATTATCTCGTGCCGGGCGAGGCTAAGGAGGCTAAGGAGGTCTTGATAAGTGGCTGGCCGCACAGTGGACCCGCGATTAACGAAGCGCGTAGCGCGCCAATCTCTTTCTTTATCCAGATGTCTCGACGTGCGTTGGTACAGTATCAGACCAAGGTGCGTATCTTGCGATAGGAACCTCATCCCTCGATTTGGGTATCTGATATTCACCGGATGCGCTGAATATGAATTGAACTTGTCCCCGGCCAAGAGCTCGATATGATTGCCTCTTGCAAGAATCACGGTGCCATCACCATCACTCCAACTATTCGGTGAGCTCTTTGGACAGAACACAAGATTTACGACCTGCCCGCTCTACCAACATGGCGGCTCCCAACCTGAGCAAGTGGAGGCTCAATCGACCATTCAACCAGAATCTCGTCATGGCATGGTATGTCACCTGCAGCTACACGGTGTCCCTGTGCGCTGGAAGAGGCCATTGAATCGCTGACTGAATTGCCGAGAACCAGTCTCCTGTTTTGTCTGCCCGGGATCTATCTCGCCCTTACAGGGTTGGGAGCGGGTGGAGGCGGTCCCAATGCCTTGGTGGTGGCTCAGAATACAAATGCGTGAGAAGACTCGGAGCTGGCTCGTCGGGGATGGAACAATCCCAAGCTCACTCTTCCCACAGAATTCTCTACGGGATTTTCACCCTGTCTGGTTGGATCGGCGGCGCCACGCTGAACTTGCTCAAACCAAGAGTGACCATGTGAGTCGTGTGTCTCAGCCTGCTAATCCAGCCCGCTGACCATCTGCAACAGCGCTTTCGGCAGCATCGGGTACGACTTTGGAACCGCTTGCTAAATAATAATGATAATAATTGGCCTAGATACCCGATCTACGTCGGTGGTCTCTTCTATTTCGACACCACGGGCCACAGCTGGCTCGCGTACTTCTCGGGCGTCGTTTTGGGTATTACCGCCGGCTGGCTCTGGACGGGCGCCAGCTACATTGCATTGTCGTATGCCGAAGAGCAGTACAAAGGAACGGTAAGTTTAGGAGGGACGCACCAACAGCAGGTTCAGCTTCAGGTTCCTCAAGTCGTGGCTGACCCCGTCTAGTACCTTGCCATCCAATGGGCCTTGAACTCGCTGGGTGGCACTGTGGGAGCGGCGATTGCCTTTGGCATCAGTTTCAATGCCACGGGCGCGACGGGGGTCTCCAGTGCGGTGTATGGCACCTTCATTGCCATCATGCTGGCCGCCTGCATCGCCTCGTGGTTTCTGGTGCTCGATCCCAAGACGATCGTACGTGACGATGGCACGCATATCGCCGAATTCGAGCCCACCAACATCCGCACCGAGCTGGGCCATCTGAGGGCGCTGGTGGTGGATTGGAAGATGTACGCGCTCGTGCCGACCTTCATCGCGTCGGAGATGTGCCTCGCCACCGTCAGCAGCATCAACAGCTACTACTTCTCCCTGCGGGCGCGCTCGCTCAACAACGTGCTGTTCCAGTTCATCATGGTGCTGGCCGCGATTGCGCTGAGCTTCCTCCTGGACATGCGGCGGCTGTCTCGGCGTCGACGCGGCCTGATCGCATGCAGCTGCGTCGGCGTCATCACCATGGCCGCGTGCGCCGGCCTCGTGGGATGGATGAAGGTCAACGGTCTCGACGGCCGGCTCCCGGTCTCGCCGGACGTGGACTGGACCAGTGGCCGCTTCGCCGGCGGCGTCGTGCTCTATCTGCTCTGGGGCATCGTGTACGCGAGCTACCTGATCAGCGCCAACTGGGTGGTGGGCTCGTTGAGCAACGATCCCGCCCGGTGCGCCATGTACTGTGGCTTTGCCAAGGGCACGGCGTCGCTGGGTCTGTGCATCTGCTTCATCTTGGACACTCAATCCGTCACCTACATGACGCAGGTCATCATGCAATTTGTTCTGTATGCAGTCGGCTCCTTGACCGTCATCTACATGCTCGTCTACCACGTCACCGACACCAACTATTTCACCGAAGCGCATGTCATTGCTCCGACGCACGTGCAGGAAGAGGCCGCGACCAAGACGGCGGTTGTTGAGACGAAGGACGCCATGCATTGACGTCGCGTCGGTCTGCACTTGACTTGAAGTTGACTAGGATGTTTCCGACCTGAGCACGGCCTGGTCTAACGGCACAGAGAATGAGTTGGTATTGACTGGGCCGTGCTTGAAGGAGAGGTGCTTGATATGCAATCGGTATCATACAGTGCTACAGTCGACTTGAGGCACGAGGAATCCGGGCACTGGTAGCTGAGGGGGGAGATTAGGCACGACGACGGAATTTAGTATGGGGCGAGGAGTTAAGTCGAGCGAGAATGGCAAAGTACAAGTAGTACACACACACACACACACACACACATATATATATATATATACTACTTGTATGTATACATACCACATCTAAGTGTCCATTTTCGATCGTCGCTCCGCATTACATCTCACCCGTAGCGTAGCCAAGTTAGAATGCTGGGCTCTGGCATGCATGATCATACGACTACCATGCGAGAGAACTAGATTTACTTAGAATAGTATATCTCTCCTCTGGAAATATGTGGAGTATATAGTAGCAAGAGAGTCCGACTGGAAGGACAGGGACTACTCTGTATGTATTACTTACCAGTATTGTACTGTAAGCTCGACTCGATCTGCTTTTGGAGGTGAGGGAGGGAGGCTGGAAACCCCTTCCCCTTGCTTGCTTGCTTGCGCCTAATGGGTAGGTAGGTACTGAGGCCGTGCTTGTCAGTGTATTGACGTTCTGGGAACTGCCGTAACTACTGTGGTGGTAGTGGTAGTGGTGGCAGTGGTAGTGGTGGTAGTGGTAGTGGTGGTAGTGGTAGTGGTGGCAGTGGT